CATAATTTTCCTTTCGAAAACAAGTACAAGTCGTTGTCGCTTCAATGGCTCTCCATAACTTCATAAGAATTCATTCAATGATGAATGTAGAGTTCCAACCATATGATGATGATGAAGAGTTACTTCCCTAAACAGATGATGGAAGGACTAGTACGGAAGAGATTATTGTACAAGAAAATGTAACTCGTGCACGAGAGATGGATGATGAACACGAGAGAAATGCAAATCTTCTTATCTCTACTTGATATTTGTGTTGCTTAACAATATATTTTCTCATCCTAAAAAAATATTTATTCATGTTTTTTTTCAAGAAGTATGTTGAAGCTATAGATTTTCAATTTTCATTTAAGAATGCCCAAGATTTAATATTATGTGATTGGTTATCAATTTTAAAATGTTTGATTATGAAAATACAAAAAACAAAAAAAAATCACTTTTTTCTTTGGGAAGCCAAATGCTACGAATAACATCAAAATCACCTTTTTACAATATAAATGCACTTCTATGTTGGTAGCCAAACAATAAACTGATTTTGCGCAAAAGCGCTACTAACATAAAGTGATTATGCTAAAATCACTAATAAGTAAAATTGCTTCCACCTAATCACTCTCAAACGAACCCTAAATGAGCCCAAAGTGATAAGGGTTTTCGACCAAAATAGTCCCCCAACTATTTGAAGGAAACATGTATATAATGCTTAGGAAAGGAACTTTAGCCACAACCTATACAACAAAAACATTCTGTTGAGGCCCAAAAAATCCATGGATTGGGCCCGAACAATTATCAGCCCAATACAATATTTCATAAGGGAAAAGAAAAAAGGGATCTATCGCATGCAAGTTATAACCCACACGCCACGCTAAATAAACAAATTATCATGCTATGATAAAATACAATCATGCTAAAAAATTAAAACAATCCTTCAAAAGGGCGATAAAGTAAAATATGCCGAGCAACATGCCGTGCCGTTATCTCGCACCCAACCACGCTACAAGCCTAGGTGGGCCCAAGCCACTCAAAAAAGACCCGGGGCTTGCTTGAGTGGGTTGTGGCATGGATGGTAATAAATCAACATGAGGCCCATTGATGGACCAGGAAATGGAAAGTCTCGGGTTGCTTGGGAGCCTCGAGACTCAAGCCCATTTCTTAGGTCCAAACATGTGGGTAAGCACAAGAGAGAAAAATAGCCCAAAAGCCCAAGCAAAATAACCTAGCCAAAAGATAACCCAACCAAAAAATAATAATAAGCCCAAATCAAGCCCAATAAGCCCATTTGCTTAGAAAGCCATCTTGGCCCTTAGAAAAACCCAAAAAAAGGCCCACAAGAGCTTCAGCCTTTTTTGAAAAACAGAGAACACGTGAGGGAGTAGATGGCAGGCTCCTTAAGTAAGCTGCTGGAAACCAGTCTCAAGCCAGAGACATCCAAAGAACCGATGAATACCATCCTGCATGCTGTCAGAAGCATCCCTTGGACCAGCATACATTTGCACCTCCTTTCCTTCATCAGATTCAGCCAAGGAAGAGGAAAGAAAAGGAAGAAAAACAGCAAACTAAGAGTGGAAGCCCTCATTGCACAGCCGCGGGAAAGAGGGATGTTGAGCCCCCAAAATCTCCTAAATTCATGAAGATAGACAGAAGCCATATTGGCCAAGAAAGGGAAGTCAGAGAAGGGGAGGAGAAAGGAAGAAAATCTCAGCCAAAGTAAGAAGGAGCCATTAGGGTTTCTTGAAAAATGGTGATTTCCGGCAGCTATAAATTGAGCCTTCCCCTACCCAACAAACACAACTCACAACCTGCAGAGAGCAAGCTTTTCTCTCTATCTTGCAAAACTTAGATTCGTGCACTGTTCATCTTCTTCTCCAATTTGTTCTTCTGGTAGCTGCTGGAAGAACCCTGTCTCTCTTTTTCTCTTTCTCTAGCCAAAATTCCTCACAAAACACCCCATTCCTTACTTAAACGCTTTCATTCCTCATAAACCAAGCCTAATTTCTCTCTTAGTGCTAAACCCATGTTGGTTTTGCTCTCCATGCCTCATGCCACTCATGCTGAGCCTAAAAACCATCTGAAAGCATGCCAAAATTATCTGTAAGTCACTATTATTCTCATTGGTGAAGATTACTCAAAATATCTCCTAAGGTTTCGCTGCCCTTTCGAGGTATTTTGAGGCTTAATTTTCGAACCTAAACGAAAAGGGGCAATCTCCTCAGTCCACCTTTTGCAGCAGCCCAGCCCGTTAGCTGCAGGAAGAAAAAGTCCCCTACATAAATTGGCGACTCTGCTGGGGATTAAGCCATTATCTTCATCAATGCCTCCAAGAAAGAAGACCAGAAGCAACAACATAACTTCCCAGGATGGGCCAAGCCATGCTGACTCAGAGTCAAGGCAACATGCCTCTTCTAGAGAAGAAGAACGTGCAAGTGAGGGAACTTTTACCCTCACAGATCTTGTTGCAGCCATTCGTGCTATGGGTGACACCCAGAGGGAGATGGCAGAGATGATAAAAGAACTCAAAAATTCGGCTCCAAAGCCAAGTGAAGTGAATGAGAAGCACCCACAGGAGGAATCTGCTGCTGCCGGAAAGGAGTCTGAGCAGAAGGGACCATCTTTTGTCACTCAGGAGGACGTTGTTGCCATGCTGGAAAAGGAGCTGAGTCGAAGTCAGGAAGATTGGAAGTATCTTCCTCAGCCGCCGTATCCATCAAGCTTACTCCAGCAGCCATATCCTAAAGGCTATGAAGCACCGACCTTTGTCCTCTTTGATGGACGAAAGGGGAGCCCGAAGGAGCATGTCAATCGCTTCATCGATGCCTTGGGACCGTATGCTGGTGATCATAATCTTCGACTTAGAGAATTTTCAAAGAGTCTCACCGATCGTGCTTACACATGGTATACAACGTTGGCACCAGGCTCTATTCATTCCTGGGAAAGTCTGGCAAGCAGGTTCTGTAAGAAGTATTTCCAGCATGAAGAACGAGTCACCACCACTCAACTCAACAACACTCGCCAAAAGCATGGTGAGGATCCCGTGGACTTTGTACGCAGGTTCCGGGACCTGGCATTGGATTGCTATGATGAGAAGGACGAGGAGGCGCTTGTTGAAATTTGCATCAGCAATATCGTGGCAGATTATAGGGTGTATTTGGAGAATATTGGCATTAGTCAATTTTCTCGGCTGCTGGAAGCTGTAAGGAAGACGAGCATGTCCGTCAGGCCACCAGGACAAAGGACTTGGAGAAATGAGAAGAAGGAAGCGCATCAGACATTAGCAATAGATGACAAGCCATCCAGCGACTACAATTCACGCAAACGCAAGGATAGAGAGACGTATCCACCACTACCATGCAAAGATGAAGAATTTCATGCTATCCTTGACACAATGATTGCTGATGGCGTAATCAAACCTGTCAGACCCTACAAGGTTCCTACTCGAGAGGAAAAGAATGATCCTAGGTACTGCCGTTATCATCAATTTGTGGGGCATCCAACCACTGCCTGTCAGAGCCTGAGGAGGATTTTACACGCCAAAATACATGAGGGAGTCCTTGAACTTCCCTCTAGGAAGCAAACCATTGATGAAGACCCCTTGCCAAAACGAAGGGGAAAGGAGGTAGCCGCTGTCATTACATGTTCTGATGATTTGCTTGATGATGATGAATTGTGCCACCCTTGGAGGAATGACCCAAAGCCGCCGGAAGCCATATGGGAACCTTGCGGAAACATGGAAAAGGCATATTGGTGTAAATATTCGAGGCCTTCAAGTTACAACACACCATGGCCACTCGCTGATGGATGGGGTGACAACTCGGGCAGCGAAATTTTTGTTTTGGACATGCCGGAAGAGCGCTACTCGGGGGCTTTATCGGAGCAGCAGGAAGCAGCTGCCGTGACATTTCATAATATCACGGAAGCTGAAACAAGTGTGATGGAACGTTATTTAAGCATGAAACAGGGGCCCACAGCTTCACAGGTCCTTCAAAGAAACCCAAAGTTCAAATCACTCTTTGACCAACTTGGCTTCGGGCCGCAAGCAAGGGAAGCAGCTGCTGTAGCCTTGATGAATATCTCTGAGGAGTCTAATTCTCAATGCTTTACAACTCAACCACAAAGGTCATTCTTGGGAAATGACAATGCTATTGTCTTTACGGACGAAGACATGGAAGTTCCATACCCGGACCATAGGAGGCCGCTTTACTTGGAGGGACAGATCAATGATGTGTTCATAAGAAGAGCTTTGGTGGACACGGGTTCCTCTGTCAACATATTACCTCTGTCTGTGCTTACGGCAGCTGGTATCCCATTGTCCAAAATTGTCCAATCACAAACAAACATCAGTGGTTTCGGGAATAAGAGTGAGGTCACAGTCGGGCATCTACAAGTACACTTGAAGGTTGGGCCAATTCGGTCACTTACTAAGTTCTATGTCGTGGATGTGGATGTGGCTTACCATGCTTTGCTTGGAAGGCCATGGCTCAACAAGCATAAGCTTGTGGTCTCTACCTATCATCAATGCGTAAAAGGAAGGATTGGGCTGAGGCCGCTACGCATACCTGGAAACCAAGCACCTTTCAACAAAGATGAAGCTCACTACTCTGAAGCAGAATTCTACACTGAATGCACAGGTGCTGGAAGCAATCCATCCAAGGATTTCGGGACCTACCTTCCTTCATGGACTGAAATTCGTGATTTAAGCAATGAGGAGCTCATCACCATTGTCGATCGAGAGAGAAAGAGGCACTCGGAAGTCAACAACCATGCCTATGATCATCCCCAATGCTCAAAGGTGACGCTGCCCGATGGACGTATCGTGTACCGCTTATGACGGGGTTGGGGGCTTGACCGTGTCTTACGGGAAAGCCCCGAGTATGGAGGAAAAGTAATGCAAACAAATAGCTGTGGGAGTTCCAACGACAAGGCACCCTTGCCTTGTGCTTTCCAGGAGCCAATGGCAGCACCCAGACACATGCAAGATGGATCGTCAGCAGTAGCTGAGCAGCTGGAAACAATTGATTTGAGTGAGGATCCCTCTGCCCCAAGGCCCATTTCCATAAGTGTTCATTTAACAAATGAGAGGGCGGCCTTGATATCTTTGCTAAAGGAATTTCGAGATGTGTTCGCTTGGAGCTATGAGGAAATGCCTGGTCTGAACCCAAGCTTAGTAAGTCATACTCTGAATATTGAGCTTGGTACAAAACCTGTCGTGCAGGCAAGAAGGAATTTTCATCCTGAAGTTGAGAAGCAAATCAAGGTAGAAATTGAAAAGTTGTTAGCTGCCGGATTTATTAAACCAATCAAGCATCCTACGTGGCTAGCAAATATTGTTCCTGTGAAGAAGAAAACCGGTGTGATCAGAATATGCACGGATTATCGAGATCTCAACCGAGCTTGCCCAAAGGATGAGTTCCCGCTGCCAAACATGGATATCTTAATTGATTCGACCTCGGGTCAAGGCTTGTTGTCATTCATGGATGGGTTTAGTGGCTACAATCAGATCAAGATGTCTCCCAAGGATGCTGAAAGGACAGCCTTTCGAACACCGTATGGGAATTTTTATTATACGGTCATGCCATTCGGCCTCAAAAATGCTGGCGCCACCTACCAAAGAGCTATGACAGCGGTGTTTCACGACATGATGGGAAAAGAAGTCGAAGATTATGTGGATGACCTTGTGGTGAAGTCCAAAACCAGAGAAGGCCATCAAGAAGTCTTAAGAAGAGTGCTGGAAAGGTGTCGGCTGTACAGTTTGAAGATGAATCCAAAGAAGTGTGCGTTCGGGGTTTCATCTGGTAAGTTCTTGGGGTTTCAAGTACATCAGCGTGGCATAGACGTGGATCCTGAGAAGACTAAAGCCATAAATTCTCTTGCACCGCCTAACAACCCAAAAGAATTGAAAAGCTTTATGGGAAGATTATCGTATATTCGGCGCTTTATCCCAGGTCTTGCTGCCACCATGAGTGCTTTTACTCCATTTCTCAAGAAAGGCAAGAGGTATGAATGGAGTGAGAAGTGCCAAGAAGCTTACAAGAAGGTGCAACAAATAATCGCCAAGCTGCCCACTATGAAAGCACCTATTCCGGGGCTTCCTCTCAAGCTTTATTTGGCTGCAACAAACACAGCGGTTGGGGCCTTACTTGCTCAAGATGATCATAGTGGGGAAGAAAGTCCTATTTATTACGTAAGTAGGCAACTAAGGGGGTCTGAAGTAAGATATCCGAAAACTGAACTTTTGTGCCTTGCTCTTGTCTATGCTGCACAGCGCTTGCGGCATTACTTCCTTGCTCACAAGCTACATCTCATGGTGAAGGCTGATCCCGTAAGATATTTGCTTACAAGGCCAATATTATCCGGGCGCCTTGCACGTTGGTTGCTACAGCTGTCCGAATTTGATATCACCTGCACCACTCCAAAAGCCATCAAAGGGCAGGCCGTTATTGACATGTTGGCTCTATTTCCCGAAGTTGAAGAATCGACAATCTCTAAGGAAGTTCTGGGGGAGCTGCCGGAAATGGTTGCTGTTGTCACGGAGGCAGAACCATGGACCCTCTACTTCGATGGGTCTTCTACATCAAAGAGTGGAGGGGCAGGTGTGGTGCTTGTCAATCCCGAGGGGCAAGCTACGGCCCTCTCGTTTAAGCTAAATTTCCCATGCACGAATAATACGGCAGAGTACGAAGCTTTTATTGCAGGGATGTCTACAGCAAGGGAAATGGGTGTCGAAAGAATTAAAATTATTGGGGATTCAAACTTGGTGCTGAATCAATTACAAGGGAATTTTGCCGTGAAGGAACCAGCATTGGCACCGTATCGTACAGCTGCTGAAAGGCTTGTTCGTTCGTTCAAACAAGTTGTGTTGGAACATATCCCGGGAGTCACCAATAGATATGCTGATGCGTTGGCCACTTTGGGGTCGAGGCTCTCATTTATTGACGAACAGCCCAATATTGCAGTAATCAAGAAGGACATACCAGTTGTTGAAGCAATGGCTCAAGAGGAGCAGCTGGAAGAGGATGACTGGAGGAAGCTTGTGAAAGAAAAAATAGGCAAAGGAAGCAACATCAAAGAATTGAAGGATTATGCGATCATCTTTGGGGAATTGTACAGACGCCTTCCGGGAGGTATTTTGACACGCTGCATAGGGATAACAGAAGCACAGGAGAAGCTTCAAGAGGTACATGAGGTCACTTGCAATTTGGAGCCAATAATCAGCCTGTACCGGCGCCTGCAGCGCAAGGGTTATTACTGGCCAGAAATGAGGGAAACAAGCAGCTGAAATACAAGCCAATTGTCCCAAGTGTGCAAAAATACCTTCCACCGAGGAATCATTCACCGTCTCATTTGCGGAGGATTGGAGGGCTCCATACTTGGCATCCTTCATCAATGGAGTCTTGCCAACCAATCCCAAGCATGCACGCAAGCTCAAAAGGACAATGAAAAGATACTTCATAGATGGGTCAACTCTTTACCGTAAGGGGTTTAATGGTGAGCCATTAAAATGCTTGGGAAAGTCAGAGGCACAGCAAGTCATGCAAGAAATTCATGCTGGAGAATGTGGTGAACACCAAGGAATGAAGAAGCTTTACCGGCAGCTGCTGAGTGTTGGGTATTATTGGCCTACAATGAAGAATGATGCATACGACTTTGTGAAGAGGTGTCACACATGTCAAGTTCATGCCAATTTAAGTCATAAGCCTCCCACGCTGCTGCAAGACATGCGCACCCCTTGGCCCTTCCATACTTGGGGGCTTGATTTGATCGGGACTATTCATCCACCATCCGACAGCTACATATGGATCATCACGGCCACCGAATATTTTACAAAGTGGGTAGAAGCGGTTCCCTTGCGGAAGGCCACGGGAGCTGCCGTTGCCAATTTCATCCGTGAAAATATTGTATGCAGATTTGGGATCCCATACAAGATTGTCACTGACAATGGCACCCCGTTTGTCAATAAGCAAGTAAGCTCGACACTTAGTGGTTATGGTATCAAGCATCGCCGCTCCACGCCTTATTATCCACAAGGAAATGGTCAAGCGGAAGCCACAAACAAGACTTTATTGAGGATCCTAAGCAAAATGGTTTATGAGTATGAAGGAGGTTGGAGTGTTCACCTGCCGGATGCTTTATGGGCCTACCGCACCTCTTCAAGAAGTGCCACAGGTTTCTCGCCATATTCACTCGTGTACGGGTCCGATGCCATTTCACCAGTAGAGATTACCATCCCCACTGCCAGAACAGCAGCTGTTAACGACCTCGAATGGGATACAAAGTCATGCTCGGAATGGCGCCTGCTGGACCTTGAAGCTTTGGATGAAAAAAGAGCGGTAGCCGAAAAGAAGACAGCATTGTACCACAGAACCGTAGCTCAAGCCTATAACAGGACAGTCAAGCCTCGCGCCTTCAAGCAAGGAGACCTCGTGCTAAAAGTTGCGGAGCATGTGAGAAGACAAGTGTCGGGACCTTCCAAGTTTGCGCCACAATGGGAAGGCCCGTTTGCAGTCAAAGAGGTTCACAGCAGCGGCTATTATCGCTTGGTCTCTGTCAAAGAAGGCACGCTAACCGACCCCGTCAATGGGAAGTGGCTCAAGCTCTATTACTGCTAAGTTAACTTTATGCCTAGTACTTTTGTATTCTCTCTCTGTCAAAAAAAAAATAAACTCCTTCTGTCTTATTTTCACGTTTTGAAAAAAAGACACTTTTGTATGATGCACCATTATGGTAGCAAGGGCTTTTGCAATGAAAATGAAGGAATATTTTGAAAAATATATATTGTGTCTCCAAAACTTTACTATTATTAACCCTTTATCAAATTTTCCATATATATATATATATATATATATATAAACATGCTACTTAGCAGTAAAACATGCCGGGCAAAGTCATTTAGATGGGGTCCCCAAGCATCACGCTTAAGCAAAAAAAAAAAAAATTAATAGCATAAGGCATAGAAACATGCAATTCTGAGATGCCGGAACAATACGATATAACACCTGGAAGCTTTATAGAGCCTAGGTAGAAATCATGCACGTATTGGTTCGACCCTTTGGGAAAGGTGGGAAGCTATTTTGTCAAGTTTAGAATCTGGATAAGCCATGCAAAAGAAGCTTTCGAAGATTTGGGTTTATAAAAAAAAAAAATTTGACAGCATATACCCTGTTTTCAATGATATCCAACCTGTCAAAAAAATTTCAAGCAGTCCATAAAGACAATTCTGGCCAACAAAGCAGCACATATACATATCTACACAGGAAATATGCAACATGCCTCAAGCATCCGAAAATTCATACAAGCTTCAGTAGTTTAATATCAAAATTACAAAGGCATAACGACGTAGTCGTTAGAGTCAAAAAAAAAAAAAAAAAAACAACTACAAACAAAGCAAAATAAAGCTGCATCTGCTGAAGGTTCACGCGCCCTTAAGTCACGAAGAAAAGCAGGATCACGAGCCAAGCTAAATGGTCACTAAGCCAAGGATGGGCAATCTGCAAAAGATAAAAGAAAATGTGTGTCAAAAAAAAATAGCTGCTGCTGGAATACGTAATATAAAAAATATATAATGGAGGAGCTGAGTACCTGTAAGCTATGGGGAATGTCCGAAAAGAACAAAGGAAGCCCCAGGAGATAATCTGGCTGCTGCCTCCGTCACGCACTCAGCGCTGTCAACAGAAACTCCCTTAGCAAGAAGAAGGGCATGCATCTCCCGGCGCTGGTTTTCCAACTCTTGCTGTTTAATATTCAAGGCGTCTGCAGCAGCTTTTACTTCATCGGAATCATGCGATAATTGCGTACTATGAATGGCCCGTGCTCCAAAGACGGCACGTGCTAAGCTCTTCACGAGTTTAAGAAGAAATTCCACAGGAAAGCCCAGAATCATGGCCTCGCATATTGCATCTCGCCAACAGAGCAGTTTATGATCTGTAATATCAAGGAGTTGCATGGTGTCCATCCCATGAAGTACTAAGCCAAGCGCTCGAAGGGCAGTACACCTTGAGAAAGAAGAGGTGACATCTGTAGCTTCCAGCAAACTCCCGTATTTGTCCATGAACTTTTTCAAGGCTCCAACCGTCTCTGGATACACAAGGGCGCCTTGGAATGTTGCATAACCATCAAATCTGTGGCAAAGCGGAAGAAGTTCATCAATGGATCTAAGAATGGTGACGCCACCATCAAAGAAGGCTTTGAATGCCATGTAGGAATTCTCCCAATCTTGCCAAGACATGCCTTTCTCGAATGAACGCCCTTTTGAGGAACCTGCGATAAAAGCATCACCATTCTTATGACTATTGTCAATCATCTTGGCACAGAGATGTGCTGCTGGAAGAGGTGGAGCGGTGCCGGAAGTTATGTCAGGTGTGCTCGAGATCGGGGGAGTAAGGGGATGTGCTGCTGGAAGAAGTAGAGCGGTGCCGGAAGCTACGGCAGGTGCGTTCGGAATTGGAGAAATAGGAGGAGGAACTGTTGGAAGTAGTGGAGAGGCGTCAGCAGCCATGTCAGAGGTACATGGGTCAGGAGAAGGAGGAGGTTGCACTGCCGGAAGGCTCAGGACAACTTCAGCGACAGTAGTGGGAAGGGCAAAATCAGCCTCCGATGAAGCACCTATCGTGCCTTCAATGGCGGGCACGACCTGCAGAAGAAAGACGGAGTATGAGCTAGAGGACACAACGGGCAGCATGCAATGTCAATATTCCAAAGCAAAACAAGCAAGAGGGATATTTGATACCAGTTCAATATCGACACGCTGTCCATGATCGCCAGTCAAAGCAGGAGTCGTATCTGAGTCATCAAACTCCCCCAAGCTAGTGCCGAAAGCCGGATAGGTGTCTTCGTCGTGACTATCGTATTGGCCTTCATCAAAGTCCTCATCCATGCCACTCGTATCGCGAGCGCTCTCTTGCTCATGAATGTTAGCCTCAGTTCCCGCAGTGCCATCGTCATCACTATCATCATCACTGTTATCATCAACCGTCACCACTACTTTGGGTCCCGAGTCTTCACCTTTATTCTTTCGGGTATTAGCAAACCGCGTTTCAAGAATACGCATGCTTCGACGTTTCGGGGTCACGGAAAACCCCTTACCCTTGCCTTTACTTTGGGAAGTACCTGCAAAATAAGATGAAAGGGATACTTATATATACGCAAAGAGCGGGGAACAAAGGGAGCAAACAAATAGCAATACTTACTGTGAGGAGATGAAGCTTTTAGAGCTGCTCGCTCGCTGCTGCCGGAAGCTGTAGGCTGCTGCTGTAAGGACTCGGGCAAGGCAACCTTTCTTGAGCTGGGAGGACCACCTGCCGCTACCTTGGGGATGAACCTTTTCGGTTCTTTTACAGCTTGCCTTTTCTCGGCGCTGCAGCTTTCCTCACGCTTCCGTTTCCCATGTGCAACACTCTTCCCGGCACTATGAGAACCCGACTTTTCCAACTTCCGCTTTAGCTTCGAAAAATCACCAACAATTTCTCCACTCTTGGAGATAAAGGGCAGATTTTGCTTCTCGCTCAGGGAAATGGCTTTCTCTTCCGACACTAAACGGGCATGATGAATGACGGTGGGAATCAAGCTATCACAATGGGCAGCATGGAATCGGCTGAACGAGGCAAAGCAGCGGTTCCAATAATTTTGGTAGGCCTTTGAGAGACCACCAACGCGCTTCCGGCTGGCCAGAGCAAGGGCGAGAGGCCTGCCGTCTCCCGGCACGCTGTCACCAGTCCAGAAAACCCTGTGCAAGCTCAAGGAATCTCCATGGTTGGGACGAGAGGGCACACCTTGGTCAAACCCAAGCTGTCGTCTAACCGGTAAGGGGGAATAATGCACAGAAGTCTCCAAGTGGTCATCACCGAATGTGGGCAGAGGGAGGCATGCGGCACTCAACAATGCCTCTCTGCGTAACCGACAACCTTGTGTTGGCATGGCCAGGGCCTCCATTAAAGCAGCAGAATCAGCATAGAAGGGCATACTTCTAAAGCCCTCTGATGAGGCACAATAGGGACGGAAAATAAATTGCTCAACATCGTCCAGCAGCTCTAAAAAGTTTTGGCCCTTCCGTTGCATGCGACGGAACCATCTACAGATCAGAGGAAGACTACCCGGCACGTAGGAATTCTCGTCCGAAGCAACCAGTGACTCAGCCTTTGAATAAGGGAGTGGAGATACCTCTATCCCTTTGAAGCGTTCCCATAAAAAGATCTGCAAAAAACTGGAGTTTACAAAAGTCTCCACAGCCATGGTTCCGGCCGCCCCCTTCTCAAGAAATTGAATCTGGTCAAGCAAGCGATATAAGTGCCCCAAGAACATGGGGGCTAAAGGAATCATGCTACCTCGTGCTATTGCCAAAGCCAACGGAAACACTCTCCCATGCAAGCAGTCTTGGGAAAAATCACAAAAGAGGAACCTCCCGAGCCACAAGGACACAAACGCAGCAAGGCGACACGGCTCGTCTCGATCACTGTTCCCAAAAAACTGAATCCAATTACTGAATCTTAGAGAGGTACTAGGAGAGGTCGGAGCACCCTTCCGCAAAATCTCAAGCTTTGGCCCATCTTCCGCGGTTAATGCAATATGGAAAGGGTCTTGGCTGCCGCAAAGTGGGAGATGGAAAATATTAGCTACATCCTCAAGCGTGGGAGTGAACTCTCCCCACGAACAAATAAAGTGTGCGTCTCAGTGCTCCACCGTCTAACCAAGTGTCGAAGCGTCTTGACTTCAATATGGATGTCGCAAGCCTTAGAAGCAAAGATGGCTTCCAACACGCCTGCCCGGCTTAGGATATCACGGGTAGATGGGTTCTTCAGTTCAGCATCAACCCACTCCGACCAACCCTTGCTGGTGCTGCAGGGATATTGAAAGAACAAAGGAACTGCCGGAAACAGACCCCTTTCTATGCAGCACCTTGATACGGATGCAGGGTCAATCACTGAAGTAGCTTCTGGCGCTGGTTCTTCATCAATAATTACATCCTCGTCGGCACCCTTAAGCAAAGGAGGAGGTCTCCCTCTCTTCAACCTGTCATCTACGGAGTAAAGATGATCCCTTATGATAAATGGTGGATTACCGGATGCCATAATGGGTACCTGCGCATAGAAATATGGAAAGAAGCAAAATAGAATCAGCACACGTAAAATACGTGGCTAGTTGAGTTTATCCAAGCAAACATGCAATTTAAAATTCAAGCTCATGACAAGTAAGAGTCTCGCTTTGTGATCAACAAGCAGGACAAGCAAGTCCCTTCTCAGAATAAAAATAAAAATAAAAAATTCAACCAGGCAGTACAAAACATGCACTCTGTCAATTATCTTCCTCCACAGGCAACACACGCAGAATTCCATAATCGATCAAGCATGTGTTCTCAAGAAAAGAAAAAAAGAGAGCCTAGGCCAAGCATCAGTCTACACCTATTCTAAAATACTCAGAGTTAGCAGAGTTATTGCCAAAGTCTAAGTTAGAAGACTGAAGGGTTTGAAGGTTCCAGCAGCAAAATGTCAAGGGTTTCCAGCACCTACCTATGCCCAAGATGCGTGTACCTGCACAAAAAATAAAAGCACGTCATGCCAAGTCAGCCTTTTACACACAAAAGGGGAGGCCCGTGCAAAATAAAAAGAAGGGGGAGAAACCCAAGCCAACAAGAAAGAAAAAAAAAGTTACCTTTCCAGCAGCTCGAGCAAAATCAACGAAGGAAGAAACCTAGACAATGGCACGGGCCCTTCCTTGCTAGCACCCACTCCGTGAGCACTATTGGTGCAGTGGAAACAAGATGGGTAGAAAAGGGGGTTTTGGGTATTTGGCTGCCAAAACAAAAGGCAACATCTATGGGTATGAGAAACCCAACAAATTCTCCAAATCCATCTAAAGGAAAACTGGAAAAAGGAGGGTACCTTGTTAAATCTTCCAAGGGATGACGTCGAATGCACCAAAAAGAGAAGAAAATCAGGGATTTGAAGGCAAAATTCGCACAGAGGAGGACCTTTCCAGCAGCGACGAACGGGCTCCTTTGGAACGAAGATGGAACGATGGGGTTGGGTTCGACTTGGGTCTTCTTCCCAGCCGCTGGAGATGGGTGATTCCTACCCGATTGCACTTTCTTCCTTGGTCTGGCTTCGTGGAAGGGCAAGAGAGAACGCAAGAAAAATAGTTGGAGAGAAGTTTTGGTCTGGAGCGTGAAAAGGCGAAGGAAAGTTTGGAAATTAATGTCTGGTGCAAGAAAAGAGAAATAAAAGGGAGGAAAATAATAAATAACGAGAGGAAGGCAGTTGGCGTTGGAAACTGCAAGTAACCACCGGGATCAATCATGGCACGCCGTCATTTTGCACGCGGGAAGAAGAAGAGTCCTATGCAAATACAAATCTGATTTTTTGGGTTGGGTTTTAATTATTCGGCCCATTCCAGCACCTGTTCATGGCCCTTATAATTAAGGGGGCTAATGTTGAGGCCCAAAAAATCCATGGATTGGGCCCGAACAATTATCAGCCCAATACAATATTTCATAAGGGAAAAGAAAAAAGGGATCTATCGCATGCAAGTTATAACCCACACGCCACGCTAAATAAACAAATTATCATGCTATGATAAAATACAATCATGCTAAAAAATTAAAACAATCCTTCAAAAGGGCGATAAAGTAAAATATGCCGAGCAACATGCCGTGCCGTTATCTCGCACCCAACCACGCTACAAGCCTAGGTGGGCCCAAGCCACTCAAAAAAAGACCCGGGGCTTGCTTGAGTGGGTTGTGGCATGGATGGTAATAAATCAACATGAGGCCCATTGATGGACCAGGAAATGGAAAGTCTCGGGTTGCTTGGGAGCCTCGAGACTCAAGCCCATTTCTTAGGTCCAAACATGTGGGTAAGCACAAGAGAGAAAAATAACCCAAAAGCCCAAGCAAAATAACCTAGCCAAAAGATAACCCAACCAAAAAATAATAATAAGCCCAAATCAAGCCCAATAAGCCCATTTGCTTAGAAAGCCATCTTGGCCCTTAGAAAAACCCAAAAAAAGGCCCACAAGAGCTTCAGCCTTTTTTGAAAAACAGAGAACACGTGAAGGAGTAGATGGCAGGCTCCTTAAGTAAGCTGCTGGAAACCAGTCCCAAGCCAGAGACATCCAAAGAACCGATGAATACCATCCTGCATGCTGTCAGAAGCATCCCTTGGACCAGCATACATTTGCACCTCCTTTCCTTCATCAGATTCAGCCAAGGAAGAGGAAAGAAAAAGGAAGAAAAACAGCAAACTAAGAGTGGAAGCCCTCATTGCACAGCCGCGGGAAAGAGGGATGTTGAGCCCCCCAAAATCTCCTAAATTCATGAAGATAGACAGAAGCCATCTTGGCCAAGAAAGGGAAGTCAGAGAAGGGGAGGAGAAAGGAAGAAAATCTCAGCCAAAGTAAGAAGGAGCCATTAGGGTTTCTTGAAAAATGGTGATTTCCGGCAGCTATAAATTGAGCCTTCCCCTACCCAACAAACACAACTCACAACCTGCAGAGAGCAAGCTTTTCTCTCTATCTTGCAAAACTTAGATTCGTGCACTGTTCATCTTCTTCTCCAATTTGTTCTTCTGGTAGCTGCTGGAAGAACCCTGTCTCTCTTTTTCTCTTTCTCTAGCCAAAATTCCTCACAAAACACCCCATTCCTTACTTAAACGCTTTCATTCCTCATAAACCAAGCCTAATTTCTCTCTTAGTGCTAAACCCATGTTGGTTTTGCTCTCCATGCCTCATGCCACTCATGCTGAGCCTAAAAACCATCTGAAAGCATGCCAAAATTATCTGTAAGTCACTATTATTCTCATTGGTGAAAATTACTCAAAATATCTCCTAAGGTTTCGCTGCCCTTTCGAGGTATTTTGAGGCTTAATTTTCGAACCTAAACGAAAAGGGGCAATCTCCTCAGTCCACCTTTTGCAGCAGCCCAGCCCGTTAGCTGCAGGAAGAAAAAGTCCCCTACACATTCTAAATGACAGATTCATTTTGTTTATACTAGTTGAGCTAAACATTTTTCATTTTAAACCAAGTATCTTAGCCTAGTCTTTTTGAACACAAATAGAAAAAGGAAAAAGGGAATAGATCTTTTACCCTTAATGACATTTTCTTGGTTTCTCAAGAATGAACACCTTTGTTGGAAAGCCCTTTTGTTTCTCTTGATTTTGACACCTTAAGGCTCCAAGATTGGAGTTCTCTACCTCATCACACCAAATGCTCCTAGAGATGAAGAGAAGGCAATCCAAAAGTATGGATGCTAGTCTACTTCTTGATTGGGCCAATTTTTGGTTTATGGAAGATGAGATACAAAGATTATCACTCATCAACCAAAGTAGGAAACCAAAAACCCTAGCTAGGTTTTCTCCAACACTTAGTTTATATATGATAACACAAAAGGCAATTGGGTGGGTATTTGGGGCTCCATTTGGTCCATGGGTCATGTCATCTTATGCCACTTATCCCTTAGGCCCAATAGCCTTTTGGGCTATTTTGTCAATTTCCTTTTAAATCATATTTAAAAACCCAATCCAATATATTTATATGTCAATATTAATTCCATAATTAATCTTTTAATTATAATTTAACTATTAAATTATAATTATAGTCTTACTTAATTGATCCGGTCAAACTATTTGACTTTGGTCAATTGCTTCGGTCAATATGTTGACTTTTGATTGTTGACTTTGACATTTGATTATCAACCATTGATTTGTGTCTCCTCATTTGTACCTCTAATCACATTCTTTGGGTGTGCAGATCCATAGGTTCCCTTTAGCAAGGTAGTGAGTTGACTCAACTCCTCAAAGATAATATACGAATTAAATTTCACAATTTAATTCTTCCTATTAATAAAGGTTAATTAAAACCTTTTAGGACATCCACAAACCATGGTTGTCACCTGGTAGCAAGTCACGGTTATTCGAGCTAAATGAGACGTTGTGAAAGAACCTATTCAAATTGGAATAATCATGTAATTGAATCCTTCTCTTATATCAATACTCCTTATTCACATTATTAGATCATGAAATCCGATTGTCAATATCCTAATATGAATCATTTCTTTTATATGATTATCCTGGTAAGATTTGAAGACTTCTTCTTTCAAGTCTTATCCACTACTTTACGCAGAGATTTGACCAATCATATCTTTGAGCATTCTCTCTCCTTTACTGAGAGTAAATATTCCTTGTTATACATTCATTTGCTTCCATGACTCTATTAAGAATCCTAATGAGCACCTTTAAGCTGTGCCTAATTTAGGATGACCGTATAGTGCCTTCAAAGATTAACAACATAATCACAAAACATCTATGATGCCTCAGGTCTAAGGATTCGTTTGCACCATTGCAATTTATGAGTTCCAGCTTGACATGTGAGACCTTGCCATTCCCTATATATAGAAACGATATTGTGTGTACTGGTCTTTATGAAATATTGACGCCCAATCAATATTCTTATGACCAGGAACATATTCAAGATTTAGGGATGATGAGAAGTCTTCATGTATGCAATCTCATTACATAGCTCTCATATCCACTTGTGTATTCCTTGAACTATAGTTGTTCTACATATTGAAAGATAATATATGATGATTTAATGTATAAAACAATCTTCTTGCCCATTGATAACATAATATGTCTTTTATTAAAGATGTCCTTAATTCTAACTATTACATAATTAGTTGGCTTTAAGGACATATTTCTAACACTATTGCTCCTGTATCATTTTGGTCCGCCAACTAAAAATTTCATTTCAATCGTCCTCCAACTCTTCACTTGGTATCAAAATGGTCATTCCATCCAATTTTCCATTAAATTGAAACATGTGGATGGCACATGCTCAAATTTTAGGGGTAAATTGGACTTTTTGCCTAAAAAAAGTAATTTAAAAATTATTTTAACTTAAAACAAAAGTTAAAAAAAAACTAGAAATTAAAAAAAAAGTAATAACACAGCCCCTCACCACCCATCTCATCACGACCCCATCCTTAACTAAGCCCCCCTTTCCTAACCTCCTCGATCTCTCGCACAGAGTAGCAACTTCGAGCCCTAGGAGTCCTGAAAATCAAGCCAATCTGATTCAAATATAAGCCATACCCAACAAAAACAACCCCAAATTTATATATGGGTTGGTGTATAGAGACGGAGGGAGAAAAAGAGAGGAAGAGACAGAGAGAGATAAAAAGATGGAGAGGGAGAAAAACACCCCCATTCATAAGGTTTCTTTTTTGTAGCTTTTGGGTGGTGGTTGCCGTGGATTTGGACTGTATAGAGGGTAGGAAGTTTGGTGGTGATTGTGGGATATCGGGGTTTGGGTAATATGGGTTTGTTTGTTTTTCGTTAACTTAACCATGCTAGACACATTGTTGCTATTCAAGAATCGATTTTCAGGCACAATCCCTCAAAGTCTTGGGCTTTCACAGGGTCTCAAATCGCTGGATTTGTCAGATAATCAGCTCATCGGTTCAATCCCACCAATAATTGCTATGTTAATGAACAACTTTCTGGTTGGTCAAATCCCATACCAAATCAGAGGGCTGCCAAACTTGGAAAACTTGCTTCTTTGGAATAATTCATTGACATACGTCCTTCCCAAAGTTTAGGCTTCAGTGAGAAGCTTGTGAGGGTCGATGTCTCCTCCAATCTTCTCAACCCAAGCACCTTAGCCAACTGCACTTCCTTCTTGCGCTTTCGAATCCAAAACTCCCAAATCAATGGGTCGATTCTAACGAGTTTTGCATTCTTGCCTAATTTGACTTATGTTGACCTCAGCAACAATAACTTCACTAGCACCATCACTGAAGATTTCGGCAATGTCGAAAAGCTCGAGTATTTCCCAGAACCCACTTCACACAAGGAATGATTGATAGACTTTGACAGTAGGACCATTTTGATACCAAATGAAAAGTTCGAGGACTATTCAAATGAAAATTTTAGTTGGTGGACCAAAATGATACTGGAGCAATAGTTGAGGGACTATTTTGCTTGAAAATCCAAGTGATTATATGGAGAAGTGATTATCGGCCTATCCAGAATCACTCCCAAACAAGCCATTAAAATTTTGATTGTTTTAGTGTGCCCAACCATATTTAGGCATTGTTTGGTTCACGGAATGAATTTGAAGGGAAATCATTTTCCATGTCATTTCCCAAGGGATAGGAAATGGAAAATTCTTTTCCCTCGTTTGGTAATGCTGGAAAAGTAATCGAGAGATATCACTTTATTTCTTTTCCCATGTTTGTTTTGAGTAGGAACGGAAAACAAAGTTTGTATAAATTTTCAATTATACCCAAATTAAATCAAATAAAAAAAATGCATTTAATGATTTATTGTAATTCTAAATTGTTAATGGGGACAAAATTGTCATGAAAAATGTTTATTTAATATTGGCTCATTTTCCCAAACTTTTCCATGAGAAGGGAAAACAAAACCCAAGTTGGGAGGATGGCTTCACTTTCCCCCTTACTTTCCCATGGGCTAGGAAACGATTTCTCATGCTTGGACTTACTAAACATGGGAAAACAATTGATTTCCTATCCTCAAGTCTCCTTTCCCATGAACCAAACGGGATCTTATGATAAATTATTGTGTGACATTGGAAAATGGCCGTGTGGTATAATATGCGCACCCATATATGCTTAAGCACTGTTATGCTGATGTGGGATATTTTCAACCGGTAGATCTTAATTGATGGTCAGAATTAAAAGACAATTTGGAACAAGGAGAGGATCCAGGTAATTTCTGAATAGCAAAAACTTGAAAGAGCCAGAATTCACTTTGAACATAAAACCCTAGCTCTCTCTCTCTCTCTCTCTTTCTGTTTTGAACACTCCCTTTACTCTCACTCCTCTCTGTCTCCGTCTCTGTCTCCGTCTCTGTTTCCCTCTCCCTCTCTTGTCCGCGTGAACATTTACATCGGCAACGATGTCATCCATGCTGGTACTCTCTCTCTCTCTCTCTCTCTCTCTCTCTCTCTCTCATTTGTAGTTTCTCTGTTCATTTTCTGTGCGTATGAGCCACTATCTGTGACTCTTCCTCTTTTTCTGTGTTGGGTTTGCTAACTGTTTGTGAAAATGCCTGAACCGAAAAAATTGAAAACGAAAACAGCAACCACAGATCATACTGTTGAAGGAGGGAACGGATACGTCGCAAGGGAAGGCGCAGCTCGTGAGCAATATAAACGCTTGCACAGCGGTGGCCGATGTGGTGAGGACCACGCTGGGGCCTAGGGGCATGGACAAGCTCATCCACGACGACAAGGGCAGCGTTACTATTTCCAACGATGGCGCCACCATCATGAAGTTGCTTGATATAGTTCACCCCGCCGCCAAGATCCTTGTCGACATCGCCAAGTCGCAGGACTCCGAGGTATGGGTTTTGGTCTTTTCAGGGTTTTGGATGTTAGAAGGTTTCTATTTTACTTAAAGAGAAGATTCTTCTATGAAGTCAGTAGTAATGGAGATTTGGTAGTAATGCAGATGAAATCCCACTCGAACAATTTGTTTTGGGCATATGTAGTGTTTAAAAGTGGGATGCTTCAGAAGGTTTTTAACCATTGTTGCTTCTGGAGCAGGTTGGTGATGGAACAACAACAGTTGTTCTGCTTGCAGGGGAGTTTTTGAGGGAGGCCAAGCCTTTCATAGAGGATGGGGTGCACCCACAAAATTTGATAAGAAGTTATCGAACCGCTAGCTATTTGGTACGTGATCAGAATTAAGTTTTCAATTTCTAAGTATGATTCAGATGCTTGTTCTGATCTTATGCATCTTGAATATTATAAACTGAGTATAGGCAATTGAGAAAATCAAAGAACTTGCTGTAAGCATAGAGGGGAAGAGCCTTGAAGAGAAGAAAACACTGCTAGCTAAATGTGCCGCCACTACACTTTCTTCAAAACTTATTGGTGGAGAAAAGGAGTTTTTTGCATCCATGGTCGTGGATGCTGTCATTGCAATTGGTGATGAAGATCGTCTCAACATGATTGGAATAAAGAAGGTAATTTCCTGATAAATTATCTGAAGACCTCAAATTGAATGGAGTTCTTTCACATATGAAGACTTCAGTTTGACTGGAGTTCTTTGCCTTTATGAAGATCTCTACGTAATATGTCAATTATGTTAATAAGAGTGTGCTGGTGGTTCTTAGACTTCTTACTACATTTCAATAGACTGCTTTCATTGATATGATCAGAATAAGATATATTTTATGAGCCACTAGGATAAGCTGTTATATTTGTTCCCCTGCCCTTCAGTACGTGTGCTTTGAGGGCTCCTTCAACCCGAAACTTAAAAATTGGTCTCTTTTTTTGTTAGCCACAGTGCAGCTTATGCGGTTCTTTTGATTCATGGTAGGAGTTAAAAAAAAACTACTTTGAGCCTAGTCAATTGACTTCTGTGCTAAAGGACTGCTTTAGTGAAGTTCATAAAGAATAATATGGCTTCTTTTGGTGTCCTGTTTGCTTCTTAAATTGTTCTTTATGATGTTTTATGTTCTTAAGATGTCCCTTTACATGTAGCTGGATTGAGAGAAAAATGTGGGCTAGTTATATCGGGTGACATGAAACATGTGGCCAACTGGGCCAGACAATATTGATAATATCATGCTAAAGTTGGAGTGTTCAACCCAAAACCAATTGGCTATGAGGTGTTTGAGAATTCAACCAATTTTGGTTCTTGGGGTTGTTCCAGCTGATGGGTCTTTTAGATTTGTTTGGGTTTTTTAGGCTTCTGTTAGAAATCTTTTGCAGGTTTGGTTCTTTGGTGGTTTGGCTAATGGTTTCTGGTGACGGGGAAGAGCTTTTAGCTGTTAACTAGGAAGTTAACTTTGAAGGAGACAATAATGGAAACAATGGCAAAGGAGAACGGTGAGGTAAGGGCTGGTGTTGTGAGAGAGGGCTAGTGGTGAGGTATAGCATGAGAGGGAGGGAGAGAAATGGTTGACAATGAGAGGACGAGATAGAGTTAAGGGAGAGAGGGAAGGAGGGGGGGTTGGAGCTGGCGACATAAGGAAGAGAGAGATGAGAGCGTGGGGTAGAGATTGGATGAAGAGGTTATAGGATATTTGTGGAAAATGAAGAATTATACCAGGATATCACAAAAATCAGTAAGACAGCTCAAAGATTTGATTTGTTCGATTCATATATAAACTTCTAGAAATAAGCATTAAGTTCAATAAAAGAACTCCAAACATCTATCACCTGTATTAAATTTTTCCCCCCTCCAAAAATCAGTACTTTTATGTTTTAAGTAAAATTTTGAGACATGTAAACATATCAGTATGTTGTGCTTGTTTTACATTCATTACATCACCTTTTCTATCTCAACAAAATCTACATTATCTTTTCTTGCTTCAGACTGTCTCTCTTTTGTTTTCTTTGTTCTTCTCCTTTTTGCTTCAGATTCTGGGACTATGTTCTTGCTTTTGTTGGAATAAGAATTGTTGTGGGTATTGATATGGCTTGATTATTAGGAAGCTTAGTAGTGATACACCACCTTCTTGTGGTGACATTTTGAAGTTTTATGTTTGGCTTTTTATTATTATGTTTATTGTTGTTTGAGTGAATGACTGGTTTTGGCTGGAAATGATAGCTTGGATTGAATAATGTATAATAATAAGAAAATTGGTTTGCTTCTACAGGTTTCTGGTGGCAACATGCGTGACTCCTTTTTAGTAAATGGTGTTGCCTTCAAGAAGACATTTTCATATGCTGGTTTTGAACAGCAACCAAAGAAGTTTCTTAATCCCAAAATACTTCTACTAAACATTGAATTGGAACTGAAATCTGAGAAAGAAAATGCTGAGATAAGGTAGGATTCTTTTGTTCCTTTTGATATATAATACTTTGATCCTTTTACACCTTAGTTTATGCAACTTGACGTTCTTTCCACTGCAGATTGTCAGATCCATCCCAGTATCAGTCCATTGTTGATGCAGAATGGAATATTATTTATGACAAGTTGGATAAGTGTGTGCAGAGTGGGGCCAAGGTAGTTCTTTCACGGCTGGCTATAGGTGATCTAGCAACACAGGTGGGCATTTTCCCCTTTCTAAATGAGCTCAAAACTTGTTATCCCCTTGATTGTTTTTCATCAGTGTTAGGTAAAATTTTATTCTAGAGTACCAAGGAGACATTATCCTAGTACACAAAGCTTGGACTATGTTCTTGCTTTTGTTGGAATAAGAATTGTTGTGGGTATTGATATGGCTTGATTATTAGGAAGCTTAGTAGTAATACACCACCTTCTCGTCCTGTATACATGATTTCAATAATGCAAAGAGAAACACAGAGTTTTGTTTGATCATTCAAAAACACAAACTTCCCCTGATGCAGAATGCATATTATTAGTTTTCCTAATCCGAGTAGATTGCATATTATTAGTTTTCCTAATTCTTAAAGATTCCTTCTTGTTGAAGGATCTCTTATTAGTTAATTTGCTTTCCTATTTCTTAAAGTTTACTTTTCCTTTTCCTAGACTAAAAAGGGTTTTGCCTCTATAAATAGAGTTGTTTGTAATCTTTTAAGGCAGACTTGATTAATGATAAATTTCCTTACTTTAAACTCTCTGATTCCTTCCCCTTTCCCTTCATCTCTTCGATCCCTAATTCTTCTCCTCGATCTCTTATTTCTTCTCTATTCTATTGCTAAGTGTTTACTCTAAAACCTACGGCCCGTTCTACATCATCCCCTCAATTTAGGGTGGTAGTCTGTTTTATCCCCGATTATGCAATTTTACCATTTCACAAGAACACAATCTTCATGTAACTGCTGGAAATTTTAAATCAATATTTAGCTCTATGAGTTGTTTTAGTATGCATGAAATTTGGTTGTTTGGTTTTGACAAACAGTGAAATTACATGATTATGAAGTTTCAAGGTTTGAAGATATGCATGTGAATAAATTTATATCATTGTGGTAATTCAGTTGAAAAAATGTTTAATTCTTTTGTGATTTCAAGTGAATAGTATCTCTATGACCATGTTAAAGATGTGGAGTTTAATTTATACTCCTTTTTTGGATGAACAGTATTTTGCAGATAGAGATATATTCTGTGCTGGGCGTGTAACCGAAGAAGATCTCCAACGGGTAGCTGCTGCCACTGGTGGCACTGTGCAGACATCCATCAACAATGTTATTGATGAGGTTCCTACCTCATGCTCTGTCAGACCATATTTTAGAGTAGAATTGCGGGCATTTTTGTCCTAGAGTTCTTATGTTAGTGCCCTTCTATAGTTGAGAAGCATTTCTTTTGCTCTTTGTCAACTGAAACTGTTTTGTTTTGTGTATTTGTAGGTCCTTGGAACATGCGAGTGTTTTGAGGAAAAGCAAGTTGGAAATGAGAGGTTTAATATATTTAGTGGATGTCCATCAGGTAGGACAGCTACAATTGTTCTTCGTGGTGGAGCTGATCAGGTATTGCATTTGTTGAGGTTACTCATTTTGGCATGTGTTCATAAGATCTCTTTGTTTCTTTCTTCTCTTTTGGAGTTTTGTTTTGTCGATGCTGACCTGGGATATTCTCTTGGATTCTTACTTAGTTCATTGAGGAAGCAGAGCGGAGTTTACATGATGCTATCATGATTGTTAGAAGAGCACTAAAGAATTCTACTGTAGTTGCTGGTGGTGGTGCTATAGATGTATGTGTTTCTTAGCAATAGTGAGATCTCAAAGTATATCTGAGAAATATTGTATGTGTTGGTGATTGTTTTGTTGATTATGGTGGCAGATGGAGATCAGCCGGTACTTGTGGCAGAAAGCACGCAAAATTACTGGAAAGTCTCAGCTTTTCATTAACTCGTATGCAAAAGCTCTTGAGGTATGCTCTGTTGGGCTTTCTTGTTATCTGATAGTGGTTTAAACCAGTGCCAAAACTGCACTTGATGTAGAATTTAAGGGACCCCAAATTTTTTTTGTCTAATATGTATGATATCTGCTTCTGTTTTCTAAACACATTGAAATGGAAATTGGAGATGGACTCATGCATGCACAATTTCCAAATCAATATTTAGTTTGAAAATTTAAAATTTAACATATAATCTAGTTGATATATCTATTATCAGGATTCATCTTCGGTTGTATATGTGCAGTAATGTAGTACCATGAGGCAAATTTGTGGAAGTGATATCCTAAATATCTTTGGAGAAAGTTGGTTTCTATATGTGGAATAATGTAGCACTTGCCTTGATCCAAGTATTTCAGTTGATTCTCATTGGTTGTTGTTGGAACTTCAATGAAAGTTTCACATGAGCAACAAGGTTGTTTTGGGCTTCGCAGGATTATGCAGCTAGAAATTAGTTGTTTTAAAAACTTTATGTTTAGACTTTTTAGTTTAGCATTTTTTAGGTTTAGTCACTTTTATTAAAGCTGCGGCCCAGATTTCAACTCAGACACAATGTTAATGAGCTGTTCATAAGCAATAGGGCTCTGGGTTTTTAATATTTCATTTGGTTGGGCTTTGCAAGGAGTTGAACAGTTTAAGTACTTCAAAGTAGCTGGGGTAACTATTTCCTCAAGCACCAAATGTTGGTACTGCTATTGTCATGTAGTTTAGTAAGATAGGATTTAGCCTATTCTGTTTATGTTATGAAGGTTTTTATTTTTATTTTCGGTGATGGGGTTATAGGGATTTATATTGAGAGTGGCAGCAGACTGGATAAGTGGCATTGTTAATGATTCTGTCTGTTGGTTTAGGTCTTCTCTTTGGTTTTTGTGTTTCTTCTGTTGTTTTCTCTGAATCTCTGAATAAATATTGTGTTTCTTATTAAAGAAAGATACACACGCTGCTTGTTTTTGATATAATTGATCTGCAAATTATCTGGTTTTGACATTATAGGATGGGGAATGTGTCCATTGAGTTCTCATTGAACTCTAGATTCTAATTTCATTTGTTATGGATTGTCTTTCTGTGAGAGATAACCACCGTTAATAGTGTTGGACCATGAGCATGATACATTAATATTTGTATACTGGAACTATAAAGTCTGAGGCTTTTCTTTAGAATGTAAAGAATACACACTTCCTTTCTACTACGAATGGGAGTGTGATACTTATACTTTGAATGAAGGCATGCCATGTTTTAATTAGCAGAGTTCTGCTTATGTTGCAGGTTATCCCACGACAACTCTGTGACAATGCGGGATTTGATGCGACTGATGTGTTAAACAAACTTAGACAGAAACATGCGCTTCCATCTGGTTGAGCTCTAATTTTATTCGACCTCATTTATCTATTTATTTTATTATTTGTTTGCTAAAATAGTCAAAGTTTTGAACAGGTGAGGGTGCACTTTATGGAGTGGACATCAACACAGGTGGAATTGCTGATTCATTTGCTAACTTTGTCTGGGAGCCAGCAGTTGTGAAGGTATTCCTGTTATCTTTTTAATAGCATAGATGTGTCACACACGACTTGGTAACATTTTTTTAGTTTTTAACATCATGTGGCAATTGATATAACGTTGTTTTTTTCCCTGTAGATCAATGCTATAAATGCTGCTACAGAGGCTGCTTGCCTTGTTTTAAGTGTCGATGAGACAGTAAAAAACCCTAAGGTAATGTGAAATCTGTTTTATGTTTCTAGGTGATTAAATATGCCTTAGCTCACCTTCAAATTTCCTTTAAGTAGTTTGTTTGTCCGTTACTAATCATCATCTTTCCCTCCATGTCATCTGCATTGGGTTTCAAAGGAGTAAACAGTTTTCCTTTTCTAGAAATAGAGTTGATTGTTTGTCCAACAAATTTTGTCAATCGTGGAGCAAAATCCCATTTATTGGACTATTTATTTCCTAGGAGAAAGACCAAACTGGTGGACTCAGTATGGTCTTGCATTTTTGTAATATTGTAGTCCTTCAGAGATTGTCTGTTTTGATGTGATACTTGAAAACAATTCTGTGTATGGTCCTCCTTGGGTTGTCAGATGTTTCATATGTATAAATAAACAAAATCAAACAAAATAAAATAAAATAAATTTGTATTTGACTACATGTTTTAAGTTTTATAATTATCTTCTATTTCAGCTGTTTAATGCTCTAACTATTGATGTTGATAATGCAGTCCGAGAGTGCGCAGGGAGAAGCTGCTGCGAGTGCCATGGGAGGTAGAGGGCGTGGAGGTGGTCTTCGTGGTCGTGGGCGCGGGATGCGAAGGCGATAGTTGTGAGAGTTTTCTCAAAGGTGGTTAAAGCATACAGTTTTGTCATTCTGGTTTACGGTGTGCTTAGAAATTATTCTTCCATCTGAATGGACTGATGAATGTGGCTGTATCAACTTGCATACCTGAATGATTCGCTTCTCAAATGGCTGAGAACTGTTTGTGGATTCTGAGAATGATGGAGTCTAATGTTAGTTGGATGTGCAAAGTAGTAACTTGTGGGTAGCTGCGACGTACCTGTGGTTTGAACTAGGTTTAAAGAGCAAGAGTTGTGATATATTTGACCAGTGTTTTTGTTCTGGCTTTGAACTAAGACAAATTTTGGGACCTGTAGGTCCATTTTCCCTCTCCTCTACCCCTTGTTCTCTTAATACATGATGAAATTTGTATTCATGGCTTCCGTAGGATATGCAGTAGCATAGCCTGTCTAGACGTGCTTATGTAGGAAGTGCTTCTGTTCGGTAGCTGTTCTGGAAGTGCAGTTCTGTAGGAAGTGCTTCTGCTCGGTAGCTGTTCTGGAAGTGCTTTTGTTGGAAGCATGTTGAATAATTTATTACAAGTTAGGTTGAAGTGCTTTCTGCAATGGACTAAAATCTGCTTGACGCTTTTAAATAAAAGCTCTTTTCGCACCTTAAAACTCCCAAATTGCCCGTTTACCCCACTCGAAGAGTCCACAAATTTGGACTTAGGCGAGCACTTTGAGAAAAATCAAACATCTACAATTTCTGGATTGATATCTTCGTCCACATCAAATTTCATTTTCTGAAAGGACGAATTTGTGAAAATGAAAATGTCTGATTGAACGCTTGTTAGGATTCTTTCAAGTTAGTCTGCTACAGTTTCTGAAAGATTGAAAATGTCTGTAATGGTCTCATCCCATTCGAACGATTCAAAATTTGTATTGCATAAGGTGAGATGATGAGTTTTCTCCATTTTTCAAAGCTTCTGACTGGAGTTTCAGGTTAAGCTCGAAGAATTTTGAAGAGGTGAGCTAAGCGAGTCCTGCCCTATATTGAATCACCAATGATTGAATAGGGTTTGCTGAGAAGCAGCCTTGTTTCATCGACATACATTAGCATGAGCATCAGATTCTAATAAAAAATATCATGCCTACATAGAGATAAGAGGCCAGGCCCCAAAATCCTCCAACAGAAACATTTTGATTCTGTTGTGAACAGAGAGTTGGACTGCTCCATAAGCTGGATTGGATTGCTACATGATATTAACAACTTGTATGGACATAAATGCTAGAACAATTCATATGCTATGAAGGCTGCTAGCATTATTTTTACTCAAGTAAACATACAACACTTCAGTTCCAGAATTTAATATAATAAAAGTTCAGTTGAAGAAAAAACTCTCAACTACTTTCTTGATACAGTCAAAAAGAAATAACCATATGCATCATGTTGCCCATTTTCAGTGGCACTGCAATAAGTCTACTAAAATATTCTTTACCTTAAAAACTAGAGAGCTTATAGCAGAGAAGTCAGAAGCTTGTTCTGCACTTTTTTTTTCTTTTTTTTAACCATGTTTAACTATTAAGGACAGTGCAGGAACCTCTTCAAGCTGCACTCATTTTCAAATGTCATGTAATCCTAAATAAAAATCCTTTATTTATGCGAGGGATAGTAAACCCCATTGGAGAGCTCCAGCAAAGACCTAAAACTGGAACTGCATTTCCGGACTGTATCCCAGACTCTCGAGGTTAGCAGCCATAGCTTTGTTCATGGGTGGTGGCCCACATCTTAAAATCTGGAAACATCAAGGTTTGGAATTATGTGAGAGACAGAAGACAGACAGAGAGAGGTTACCAAAAAAGTAGTTACCTTAATATCAGGTGCTGGTGCAGGGCAGTAAGTTTGAATAATTTCCTTGGATATGAACCCAACACCACCTTCCCAAATTTCAGGAGGCTGACGATGATATTTAAGATTAATTATTAGAAATGAACAAAAAATAGAAGCAAAACATGTTTCATGGAATTATGCAAGTCAATTTTTCAAGGACAGAAGACATGGAAAAAAATTTGAAGGTTGGTGCATATAGTACCAAACCAGAACGTTTTAGTGTTTTACTATCATGGAGCAACTGGAAACATTCGGCCATAAACAATAGAAATCCGTTCCAATATAACAATGTTTTCTTCTTGCACTTTAAATATCAATTACATGTACCCAGTCAACTATTGGACTTCAAGAAAACATGATGCATAAGATATAATGAGGGTTACACTCCAGAAGTTGAAATTGTCAAATAGATTGCCAAAAAATGAATGAGAATGATTTCATTTAAAATTTGTTGTGATCAAATTTCTCGTTAGGATTGGCCTAGCTGAACCTTGCCCTAAGCTGCAAAAAATCTGTAGCCCCAGTTTTGAGCGGTTGACTGTATGCCTCAATAGTGCTTTCCATATATATATATAGATGTAGTAACCCTTAAGACATTGAGTTTTAAATGGCATATATCATGTTCAACAGAATCTAAAATGACTCTTGTACAGACTCAAATTTCTGAGCTGTCTTTTAAACTGTCTGACTGATGTGAGGGATCCAACTCTAGACTACCTATTTTAGAGCGGGTTTGATCTTTATCCCTAGATCAAACTCAAGTACAATCAAATGAATTCAATAAACACTAATCAGGTACTTGTAGACAATAGCAAGGCTAGTAGCTCAAAACAAAGAGTTGTAACTTATTCAACTTTCACAATAAATTCTGAAAGGAAAATAACTTTTTTCCAACTTCTACAATATAAATCTGAAAAGAAGAAAGCCATTTAATGAAAGAATTTTATTCAGAATTGTTGTGGTTTTCATCATCTTCAAAGTATGAGACTACTATGAGCCCCCATGAACCATGATCTCTATACTATTTCAGGATGATCCACATATAATGACAACATAGAAATTTGTAGAAAGGTCCCACAATGTCAAACTTCAGCGGAATGATAATTGGGTTGATGTTAATTGACACCAATAAGCAAAACCATATGAGGTGGTCTATCACATTTTGCAAGCTACCAAACCTTTCGGTATACCTAAAGCCTTTGGAAAAAAAAAAACTTTGCTGAATTAGCATGAGCCTTGATGCTAGTTTGACAATATTTAGCTCCCATCGTATTATGCGTACCACACTAGGGTACAGTACTTAAAATTCAGATTAGCATTGAAAACATATATTGTTATCCATAGATGTAAATACTGGTATGAATTGACTGCAACACAAACTACTTCCCTTTTGCTCTACTCAAACAGCATCTATGTCCATTTTATAACGCCCAAAAAGAGTTCATAATCCAAGAAAATTGAACTGATGTTATGTTAGACGGGTTATGTTAACCTACTCTAGTTCTGTAATTGGAAAAAAAAAAAAAAAAAAAAAAACTAAAATGAAAGAAAACAGAGAGGAAATACAACTTATCAACTTGGAACGTTACAGATATAAGAGTGGCTTCAAAAGAAATTATAGATACCTGATTCAAAACATAATAAATGTTGAAACGATTGGGGAAAATTACTGGAAAGATTATCCAACTCTTCCTGCAAAGACACAGGTTATACAAATTTAATACAAGAGTCAAAATCTCCCAATTCTAGGACACAAACTAAATTAAATAATAAATGTTGTGCAGAAGAAAAATATCGTCATCATCTAACCCCCATATCATTTTTTTTTCTTTCATCTACTTCCATTTACATTTTTTTATAGACCTCATTTTTCGAACTTAATAACAGTGCTTGTCAGTGCCCACTGGCTGAATCACATAAATCTACTACATACTTAAGCTTATTCAAATTTTTTTTCCTTTTGTGGTAAAGTACAAAAGATAATTGATTAAATAAAGATCTCCTAAAATATCATTTCCTATGTTTTCTTCACATTCTCCATTTTTTCTTTTTGAAAGATATTATTTCTACATGTGCTAACAAGAAATGATTCCATCTCTTGAAAGCATTGGTAAAAAGACACCTTACAATATACGTGTCAATGATGAGCACCTATAGCCTCATACCAGAATAACAGTGCAACTTTTTAAGCATTTTATTAGTTAATAACTACTTTTGCTTGGTATTACACTGTTATTATAAGTTCTGCACTCCCCTCATCCTCCCCTAAGCCCAACTTTTTATTATAAGTTACACTGTATGATAATACTTTTTTATTTATTTTAATAATATGAATATGCATAGAGGACTCTGCAAAACATTCTAAAGTTAAACTAACTGCAAATCACACTCATTTCCGAGTGGGAGAACTACTGAAGAGGCCTGAACATATTTTTATTTTAATTAGGCCTCTCTACTCATATTATTTTGAATTCAGAACATATTAATTGGAAAAATAGATAAAGAGACATAGTAAATGATATATACTTTCAATATGCATATGAATTGAAAGAGAGAGAGAGTTTTACTTTCAATAGAATGTCCTCATATGTGACATTGGCATATATAAGATGTACATTTGTTCTGTCACTGGGATTTTCCAATATGGCTCTAGCAACCTGTCGAACCAGAAAGACAAAGAAGAGAAGTTGTACCACTCAAATGATATACGTGGAGCAGAAAGAAGGAAAGGGCCTTGTGTAAAGTTAAAGCTCCACTAAATTACATACCTGGAACATCGGAGTGATGCCAGTGCCTCCAGCTAGCATCCCAAAAGCTCTAACTTGGTTAGGCTGATACTTGAACCGTCCCTGGAGGCATAATTTTAACTAAATTAGCTACTAAGGAATAAAGAGTGTAATTTTTTTAATGTTGGTAAATCAGACTTCTAGGATTCAGGTTTCTTAGATTAATGTGGACAGATCATCATCTCAGAGATCTTTTGAAAAGGAAGTAGTCCCTGAGGGGACTGAATGAAGGTGCTCCACCCGGACTAAAAGATTAATATGGTGTATTGCAAACTCATCAGGGATAAAATTATAAACACATTTCCTGCTTTCTCTGCATTCTAGAGATTTTAAAAACATATTGACTTTGAATGGTTCAATAATTGCAGTAATTCCTAAGAAAGTGGAAACTTCCAATGTTAGTTTTCATAGACCCATTAGTTTATTTGGAAGGGATTTGAAGTTCCTAGCTTAAGTGTTGGACTCACATGTAGCCTGCAGGGAGGTGCTAGTTAAGGTGGGGAATGATTCAAAATTCTGTAGAAGATAGACTGACTGGTTCAAGTTTTACACCCTTAAAGCTTAGACCTAAAACTGCATCCAGATTATCCCGGATGATATGGAGGACTGGAAAATCTGTTTGACCAATGGGTTTTAATGTTAAATGGAATCGATCTCTTTTTGTACTTCAACTTTGTACTTCTTGGTTCTTTTAGTTGATATGTAGACTTGAAAAAGAGGCAACAATTTACCTTAGGTCCTTTTACCGCCAGATAGTCACCTTCACACATCACTTGAAAATGGTGAGACATCCTTCCTTGCGGATACATCTACACACAAAGATAAAAAAGTTTAAAAATTATCAAATCAATGTAAAATAGGCCAAGAAGGATAAGTGATTTGTGAGAAAATGTACCACCAGTTATACGTCTAATGGCATACAAACATTAACTGTTTACGAAACAACAATGAGAAAATAAAATACCTTTATGACTAATTCAAAGTATCCAACATCTGAATCCAAAGTTGTTGGGGTATATGGTTTGACAACGTCTTCATTAAGGCTATCTTTTCCTCTGTATGAAAAAACAATGAGTCAAGAGAAACTACTGTGATAGATCATAAGTCAAGCATACAAGATCATAGACGTATCAAACATGTTGAAACTAAGCATGACCTGTTAAAAGAAAAGGAAAAGCATGGAACTGGATTATACTACAGAAAACCAACCAATCAAACCTGCAGCTAATATGCTGTCCAATAGGAAGTCCCAACACTGATGTTGGTGTTGGAAGAGCAAATTTAAATTTAGCCACATTATGGCTGAGCTGAGTGCGTTTAACAAGTTTAAATTCCTTGAATTTCTCAGGATCCAAGCAACCTAAGAAGACACATGGTGTGTTAGGAACATTCTGCAAAAACATATCAACAGAAACTCTAATATGGAGCATATAGAGAAAACAAATGTTAATCAACTAGATAAATTGCTTGAAAGTTGGACTTCATGTTGTCTTGGAGATATGACAGTTAAAGTACAGAATGGTGAATGCCACAGATGGTTAAAATAGTAAAATGCCATGCATGATGGAAATCATCTGTAATCTTATATAAAATACAAATCATGGCTCATTATGCTTCAAACAACACTGTTTTTGTAAAGTGCAGGTTATTCCTGTTAAAAAAATTATGATATAAATATCAGTTGTCTGCAAATTGTTCCGTTAAATGTCTTTACGATATCAAATGTATTTCCTTCCATTCGGTTTTAGTTAAATTTTTCCCGTAATCCTTCGGCCCCTGTACATTTGAAGCTCCACACTTGTCCCATGTGGCTTTTCAATATGGATGCAACAGATACTGGTTGCACGTAGTGCACACACAGATATAGTATATATACATATATCTGGGAGTTCAACAATCGTAAACGACTATCATTTAGGTTCATCAAGGATCAGCCTTCAAAAAATCAGTAAAATGGGAAACCATTTGATAATCTAAACTGTGCAGACAGACATAGTCTGTCCAATATGATGATGGTAATCAAATAGCTTTAGTAAAGGCACCCTGCTTGATATGATAAAAGTATATTTCGTTAGTAAATAATGAACCTAATCATACTGTTATCAACTGCCACTCACCCCTTCTAGTTTCTAATCTAATACTACTATTTATCCTGTTCCTAACACCATAACAACATAAAAGCACACTCCTCTGAACCAAAATTACAATCTAGAACCTAGGTCTAAGTTGCTTAAATAATAAACCTAGTGGCACTCCAATAAATTGTCAAAGCATAGGCCCCCTACCAACCTAAGTAAAAGGACTAGATTTAAGAATAAGCTTATTCTTAATTAAAGTTAGCCTCATGTTTTGATGTTACAGGGCTGAATTTTGAAAGGAAAAAAAAGGTTCATACACCTAGTAGGAATTAGGTTGTAGAGAAAATAAGAAACCCATGACAAATCAAATTTAATCATAGCAACAAACAAGATATTTCAACCATGTCATGATCCCTTGGAGCACATACAAAGTGACAATCTGCTTGAACTCATCAATCAACAACTAGATTTCAAGTTCTTTTTTTTAATGTACCACAAAATGCATCAGCTTCTAAGATTCTATCAGGGAAACTAAAAAAATGGAAAAAAGAAAAAAGAAAAAAAAGAATACATTTAAATCGCTAAAAAAGAAATCCATGCGCTATGAATATGAGATAATGAAGAATGTTGACAAAAAGAAAAGAAAAAAAGGAAGATGATTGAAAGACCTTTTGGTTTCTTGGTGACGTAGAAGTAGTAGGCCGTACCAACACCAATAGCCACCACAGCCATTGCTATGGTTAGCATTTCTGCTCGGTGGCTCTGTAACACATCCATTCTTCCAAAGCAAAGCTCAGAGCCAGAAACAGAGACACAGGATTCAGAACGAGTGGTTCGCACTCTCACTCCCTCTCTTTTCCGTACGGAAGAAGTTGGTTGCAATTTCTGTGCTATGTATATGCAACAGAAAAAGTTCTCGTTTTGCAGATGATAATAGCTCACGCGTTGAAATTTGCCTACTGAGAAAGACGGATTCGTTTCGCAGGCACGTGTGTGGCTCCTTGTTTCTTTTTGGCAGAATGTTAATTTTGTTACATGTAATTTGCCAAATTTGTGGGGATTTGACCTTGTAGTTTGACATACATTGCATTTCATAGGTTAAATGTTTTTTTTTATTTTTATAGAGGAGATATATTATAAGTCTTTTTTTCTCTTGAAACAAAAATGTAAATAAAATTTTATAAATCAAATAAGGCCACATTACGAGCAAATATAACATAAAGAAGTACAACATATAAATAAATACCAAATCAAACACATTGTCCAACTTAAAAAAAATATGCATGATTGCAAAAACATTTAAAGAGCTTATTAGTGAAGTGGAACCCTTCTCTCTTTGAGTGTATCAAAATCTTTGATTATTAAATATGAATCAATATCCACAGAAAGCTCTTTCTCAATGTAGACAATGAGGGAATCTGCGAGATACTCATCCTCCATTTTGTTACGAAGTATAGTCTTAACATGTTTCATAGCTTAAAAAGCTCTTTTTGTAGTCACCATAAAATCCAGAAGAGTTAACACTAAACGAATCAACCTATCAATCAAATAATATGCCTTTGCTCTGTCTGTTTTAATTAATACTTGACATAGTTCTGAAAGAGTAGACATAGTTTGAAAGATATCAAGATCATGTTGGTGAACTTCAAACTCAAAAAGTTTGAGCTAGCACCTCAATAAACGTAATTATTTAATAGTGAAATCTTGAGGATAAAATTTCTCTACAAGCTTGCAAATATCATCAATTTTAAATGATTTAAAAGCATTACTAAGGTCCAAAGCAAAGTTGAGAATAAGAAGTTCCCTTGTTCTTTCGCTAAATCTACTGTTTTACTCTTCACATTGATAATCTATTGTATCATTGAATAAATCAACTCGATAATGATATTCAATTGTAATATCATCATGTTGCTGACAAGAACGATGTGTACCAACTTTATAAGGAGCATTCATATCTGGCAAAGCATGGTAAACAATATGTCTTATCTCTTTGCTGGTCTATTATCATCATGTGACATAATATCCTAACAAGAAATACTAGACATAAAAAATCATATATGCTAATTAATAATTCAAGTTGCAAAAATAAAACATATATCAACAATCTCCAAAAGTTTTCACCCAAACCCTAAATCATAAAAACTTCACAACAACAATTAAAATTGAAAATTGAATATATAAAAAAAAAAAGAGAAAAACTTACCAACATTGAAGAACCCACTGAAGATAGGTTGGTACAATTTTTTAGAAGAGGAGAGCTATTTCCTCTAGGCTCTCAAAGTTCAAATATGGCGTTTTGGGTGGCTAGAAGAAATTTTTTGATGTTTGCTCTTTGTGGGTGTAGCTCAATATCAGTACGATTAGAATAGCTCAAGTTGGTAGAGCCCTAGTTTGAGTTCTACTTCTAATCAAATTTATATAGGTTTGGATTGATGTTTATTATTTCCTATATGCTTCAGGAGTGGGCTAATATTTATTAGAGCAGGAATAAAGCTTATAAAATTTAAACCATGTTCAATACTTTACAAATCTTCCCCTAGGTTGGAGCCCACTCCAACCTAGGCTTAGGTCCGCCCTTGATGTTAGAGACATTTTCAAATTTTTGTAAGATTTCGTGACAGAATAAGCACGTGTTACTCACATGGAGAGGTATTTTGTACGAAAGGTTAGACCTATAGTGTTTGAACATGGTTGATATATGGTCGGGTCAGGTCAACCGAAGCTTCGACAAACAAGATCTCGATTTGGGCTCAAACTACTTTCAAGTGGCCCTAATCAATAAAGATGGCTAGAGGTCCAAAAATCTTTAATATGGCTGAGCATGTAAAAGTGGCTACGAGCCTCGAGAACACATAAATGTGGTGAAGATGGAATGAAAATCAAATCAAACATTATTATTCACATCAAATCACAAGCATGAATCGAGGATTGAATGCATTTTGAGTGAAACAAGGCAATTGATACAATCAACATAGTTAGTGTTATTTATCAAGGATGAAATTATGACTGATTTGAAGACCAATCAATTATGTCTTTACATTTAATACACTAGTCTAGTTTACTTTCTTGTTCAATTCAAGTCTTAGCTTAATCTTTATAGTTTTTGTTAATCTAGTTTACTTTGCGCACTTTACTTTATGCACTTGTCTTTCAGTTATTTATTTTATGTATTTTAAATTACACACTCATCTTTAAATTATTTACTTTATGCACTTAGTATTTTCGGTAAATACCATGAGGTGTCTCCACACCCTAAGGGTGGGATTAATTCCCGTTTAGAGTTCGGCTTGCTCCTAGTTACAAAGTGATTCCAATAGGTTTCCAACCCCACTTAGTCTTTTTAATTTCATTTAAATTACAACACCTTTTCAAAGAAAAGGTAAAGTTTCTCATAAAATAAAATAAAAATTGGTTCATTTAAGCATCTAAGCAACAAAAACAAATAATGCTATGCAACAAAAGCCTTTTTAAGGGAATTTAAAGCTTAAATTAAAACCTTTAAGAGGATCTTTGAAGGCCAAGTGGTTGATGTGCTAAAACATCCCGAAAATTTTAGGATTTATTCTTATTTTGTTTTAAAAATATCAGTTCGATATAACTTGTCTTTTTATTTATTATTTATTTGAATTTGGAAAGTTATATATATAATTTTAAAAGTACCCAAATGCCCTTGTAGATATATATATTTTTTAAAACTTTTGTTCCAACGAGGAGGAAGGCAACTTCACCTCCCTATCCCATTTTTCCACCCTTCCCTCAATTCTTCCATTCACAAAGAATGAGTGACCTATTCTAAATTGATGACTCACCTAATCTAAGATACTTCAGTCATGAATTTATTATCTTCCTCATTCACCTTATGATCATCCTCATTCTTCTTGAGATTTTCCATTTAAACCTCACATTTCTCTTTGTTCACCCCATGTTCTAAGTTTATCCCAACTACTAATTTAAATTTTCACAATTTCTAATAAAACCCCACTATCTTCCCAATTTACCCTTAAATACACCCCAAGTTGGAATAAAATAAAATAGTTTTTCTATTTAAACACCACTATCTTCCTACTACAAACTATAGAAAAAAGCATATATCTAAACTGAATAGTGGGGGAAAAGATGAAGAAGGTCCCTATTTTTTGAGAAGAAGATGAAGATCCCTGTGCTTGCCCCAAGACAGACAGACTCACTAACTCTTACAGTATATCGCTTACTGTCAATGGAAAGAGATCCTAGACCAAATAAAGATTTCTAAATTAGAAATTAAATGGGGAGATATTTATTTGCATTGTAGACAAGAAGGTGCAACTTACCTTGGCAAGAACAAATTCACTTACACAAAGGTACAATAATCATCTATTGTTTACTTTTGAGCATATAAGAAGTCAAGTAAATATAAAATTTTAAATAAAAAATCAGAACAACCAAGCAATCAACAAAGGGAAGAGAATAAGATCATTACAAGCAATCAACAAGCCTTTCCATCAGCTCCCACACAGATTTTAAAGAGGTAGGCTCCTCAACGTTTTATATCTTTAAAAAGAAGAGTAATTTGGCAATAGGATGTAGAAGAGCTTGTATTTTTCTAAAACTTAATATGAAGAGTGGTGGGTGTGTGTATAGATGTACTAAGGTTAAGTATTAAGTTGGATGACCTTTTTTGTCTTTTTACACAATAATAAAACTTACAGCTTAATAATTTAAGTATTGGGGTGAACAAAGAGAAGTGCGATGTTTAAATAGAAAATCTATTCTTCTTTTGTTCCTTTTCAAAATCCAAAATTCGTCATTTCCTTGGAGCAGTTGAGAACTCAAATTTCGAAAGCCCAAATGGGAAAACTTCACGCATCAAAGTTGTTCATCTGCTCGAGTACTATGACATATCCAAAAATTAGCATCATCCGATCACTTTAGCTACCTCAAACCGGCTCTGATATTTCCATGTTCATCCATGGCTGGTGAGTTTAAGTAGGCTTGGTTTTCTAAACTTTTCTTTAATTCCCAGTGCTCATTTGATTATGTTTTCGTCATGAAAGTTGTTCCAAATTGTGTTGTATAACATATTCAAAAGCCATAATCATCCAACCACTGTAGACTTCTCGGCCTGGATTTTATTGAAACATGTTCATTAATTATATTGAATTTCTGGTTATAGATGTGTACTTTGGCTCCAACTGCTGCTTGTTCAATCTAGCGAATATCATCTCAATGAAATGACCCGTTGAAGGTATGGAGCTCATTTCCTACAATCTTCATATTGTCTCATTGTGCTCTATTAGTTGTAGACCAAGTGTATGTTAAAATGTTTCAAAGACACATATCTCTTTTGTAAAGTATGTTATTGTGATGTTCTATGTTATTTCAATGTAATTTTGTTTCAATCTTAGTTTGGGATTTTGATTTATCAAAATGGACATCTCAAGGGTTATTTCAAAGTTTGTTTTGTGCCATTTGGGTTTAAAATGAATTTTTGGTGGAATTTCAAAGTAGAGACAATGATGCTAGAATTGTTCTAATTCTTCTACATGCCCTGGTTTGAATACGTGTTTGAAAAACTTTATGTGTTGATGCGAAAAAGTGGTTCGGCACTTTTGGGCTCAACTTAGTGATGTCAGGGCCTTCGGAATGCTCTGGGCCTCAGTGGAGCGTGGTCCTATAAAAATAAGAGTTCGCTCGGTAAGACCTGGGGCACCGGTGTGGTACCGGCCGAAGGCTCTCCGATGCTTAAGTAAGTACGGATTTAGTTAGAGAATTGAACATATTTATGGGCAGTATGCCGAAAGTTCAGATTACCTCCATTTTGGGAATTGTGCCCCTCTTTATAAGCCTTGGGAGGTGTGCAAATTGTGTAGAATTTTGATGTGGGACTGTTGACATTCACTGCGGATACTCCACATGTCTAATGGGTGACTTGTGCTTTAACCGTGAGCTCGGCAGGAATGGATGCCGAGGGCTTCCTTGCCGATGTCATGTTTTGTCCACGCGCCTAGTTCTTATTGGCCCATGATTTTGGTATAAACATTATGGGCTTTGAGTTTTATGAAATTTTAGTATGTTTTATTTTTGCATATCTTCTTCAAACATGGAAAGTTTTATCCATTTTGGTTGTAAATTGAAATGTTGGTGATTTTTCAAAGTAAAGTGTACAAACCTGAAAAACAGAACATTCTGCAACCTAATCTGTTTTGGTTTCTATTTTGACATGCTTCCTTGATAACAGAAGATAATTCATAGTAGAACTGAGGATGAGCAACAATGAGTGTTTTGCAAGGTTTTAAAACCTCTCAATCCCAACAACATACACATAATTAAATCTTGTTTGATATGCATACTCGTCGCGATGCATCATCTGTAACGTAGGCTACTCTTGAAGCTTAAACTGCTTACAAAAGTGAATAAAATTCAATAGAAAGGAAAGAAAATATATAACTCTACATTGTGGATCAAAATGTAGTAAGCCTTTCTTAAGATTATTTGGAGATCTATTTTCAAACCAAGGTGTGGAGCTATCTTAATTTCCCATTCAGAAATTTGCATTAATTTGTTCACTTACAAGTTACAAAGATGTCATGTATTTCAACTGGTCTTCACATTTTCATTTGGGATATCAGCCTCTACTTTATCTTCAGAAGGATCTGGGTTGCTTGCAGCTTCCACATTCTCCAATTTTGAGACACGAAACACAGCTAAGTGTTCATCACCTGCAACAAATTATGTGATTTCAATTAGGCAGTTCAAGATGGACTTCCCAACTCCCAAATCCTGAACAGTGTAGTTTGCCAAAACACTCCATTCAAGACATTCATTATAAACTCCATAGAGAATAAGGAGGCTACCATAACACCATTCTTTTAGTTTGTTATGGTATCGTCTTGATTTTGGTTAAAGAACTCTAATACAATTCTTTTACTGTTCCATTGTTCAGTACTTAATCTAAATGGAAAAGAAAACAAAACGAGAGAAAATTACTCTAGATTTCTTCTCAAATTTCTCTACAACATAATGAGGTTTGGAAAGAAAGTTGGATCACAGAAACCATAACTTCTCTTGATTTCATGTCACTTTATCTATGTTTATAGCAAGATACAAGAACAGAATTAATAACTCCCTTTTAGTTTTCAATTTGCTTCAAGAAAAGGTTGAAGGAGCAGGATAGGGTGGAGATCTACAAAAGAACATCCCACAGTCCCAAAACGAAAGGAAAAACTGAAGGAAGTTGAGGCTCCACCCCAAAACCAATTGGCAATGAGGGGAGTAGCCCAACTCCTTATAAACCCAGGTTAGGTCCCTTAACTTTTGAATGTGAGACAGACACTCTCAACAAAAACATCAAACATTACATCTCTTCATTGATCCCAACTGCTTTTTATACTTCACCCAATTACTACATTCCTTATTTTCTCAAATTTATATCAAACCATGAACATGAGAAAAAAGGGAAAATAATTTTCAGGAGTACTTCCGAGTATAATCTGTTACTCTGTGATCATACGAGAGTTTTAAGGTTTGTTGATAACTTCTGTCATTGATAGAAAAAGCCAAACCCATTGTTCCATGACTTGTGCAGAAATCTCGTCAGGCTCAAGCTAAGAATTTATTGAACTTCAAAAGAACACTATAGTCCCTGATTCATCTACTGATTTCTACATACACTTAGAAGAGATGTACCCAGAAATCTACTATGAGCCTCAATTGAGAATAATTTGTCATAGAAAGCAAACTTGGAGTTTATGAAAGTAGAAAAGATGGTATATGTGAAAGGTTACCAAAATAAAAGGAGAAAACATAAAAAAAATAACAAAACAAAAAGGCTAAAACGTACCGAATGTAAGACAAGATCCAGGTGGCACAGTGGCAACAACTCCTGCACTCAACCGTTTGTCATCAATGAAGGTCCCATTTGTGCTGTCCAAATCTGTTACCAAGAGTTTCCCTTCTTTCTTTTGAATGCGAGCATGAACACCAGATACTATAAATTCAGAGACAAACACAAACATGAACTAAGGAATTACTAGATCTGTTTGGAATATTAACTCAATGATTTCCTGATGATAACTTATTATCTGCATAAATAAAATTGCATATATATAATATGCAGCAATATGAGTTAGCACAAAAGCTGCAATTTGGCTTTAGGATGACCAGGATTCCTGTTAAGATGGCCTAAACTTGCTGCCTCTCATATCAAATTAAAGTATCTCTCCCAAAAGTGTAAGTTGTTGGCAGAAGAGACCCGACAGGCCTACCGCCATGCTTTTATTAACAATTTTTTTTGCTAAGAGTATGTAAGTTAATTTATTTGTAACCAAAGTATTGTATCCACAATTTAAATTCATATATTTTCCTAATCCTTGTTACCGCAATGTTTCGGTAAATCAGTGACAATTTAATTACTCATGTACAATTGATGTTTCCAGAATAGAGAAATAGTGTATGGTTCATGTAAGCGACACATTTCCTATGTTGAACACATGACAACAATGACAGAGCCAGAATTAGACTGATTGACAATGAGAAATGGAAAGAACATAATGTACGTGCTTGAGCTACTATTTTGCAGTGCATTGGCAGAGACGTTTCCACATTGATACAAAGTGCCAATACATCTTGGATCTAATAGAGATGAGAAATCAAAACTAATTTTATACCCTCTGACAAGGTAACCATCTTTTTGCATGTGCTATTCAACCTTTCAGAGTATGTTTCTGGATAGGAAAATAGGAATATGATTCTCTAATACCTGTTGCAACCGAAATCACCATATCAGCTTCCCCTGGAAGACGGCCAACGGTGACCTCATCCTAGATTCAAAAAAAGTCAGTCAAGTTTTTGAATACTTTTTTGCAATCATTATAAACAGACCTCTGATGCTAAACCAAAAAATAAAAAAGGGAAAGGAGAAAAAAAACTTACAGAAGAAATTTCAAACGCACTTGGCATTGGAACCTTGAAACCTATATGCCTTGTATCTCCATCACCTGTTAGGTAGAAATTATATATGTAAAATGAGTCACCCCTTAATCAAAAACGAAAAACTAAGAAGAAAGAATGCACATGCCAGATGAAATGCAGCTATACGAGAAAATTGAAGTGGGATAAAGATAAAATGAATTATAACCAAATTGAGACCTGTCCCTTGAAACTAAGAAGACTGAAAATTCTAATGTTGGCTAAGAGGAACCTCCTTTTCTGTGCTACTGCTACACGTAACCTGTAAGGTGAACAAAGCTCTTACCACTCTTACCTAAGAAATAAACCGTATAGGACACACTCTACCAGACAAGCAGTTAATGAATGATAGAGAGAATTATGGGTTTATGATGCAGTGGTGTCTTTTCTGCTCTAAACTCAGAGCGTGCCACTGGACAATATTTCAGTCACACTCTCACTCTATAATAGGCTAATACACAGGTAGGAACCTAGGGCACTCAGTAAAGCTGAGTTAAGGCCAACATTGAGGTTACCACGGCATGCTATCATGGCTTAGCAAGGCGAGCTTTGCAGAACAGAATGTGTTGCAGCGCATGTATGTCACTCAAAGCGGACTAATACTAATAAGGCCCAGCGTGTAAAACATCTAGCATGCATGATGAGTGTCGAAATTCCCTCCGAGTCTAGCAAATCTATGTCACTCAGAGCAGTCTAGCACTTCTATAGCATAGAACATTGAGAGCACATATCTATGTCACTCAGAGCAGTCTAGCACTTCTATAGTATAGAACATTGAGGGCATACGATCAGTGCCAAACCTCCCTCGAAGAAGGTTTGAATTCAAATCACCTTCCAAACCTCCCTTCATATCAAGGATTATAAAACTTTATCAGGCTACGAATCATCCTCCAGATCAGTGAAACTTCCATCTGAACTCTTCCCTAACTAGGGCTCTTGGCACGTACTAGCCAGGTGCTCCTATTTTACGACGGTAGGCTTCCATTACTGACCAGAAAGACCTTTAGGTGCTTCCACTGCGTATATAGAAAAACTTGTTGTCACCTTTCTATAAGGGTTAGAAAACCATTCTTAACTCAAACTTAGTTCCCTTAGTTCTCTCAGGTCTTACACTCTTTCAGCTACTGACTTCATCATCAAAAGCTCCTTCATACACGCCACACTGATGTCCCCATATCTCCCAGGGGGTTTTACTTTTTGGTCTTACAAATTAATGCACTAAGCCATTACCAAAGATGCATATGAAACCCAAACAGTAAGCTAATTCCTTCGGAAAAAGAAGTATTAGGTTCAACTTCAAATATTGAAGCAATTTCAATTAACAATGGAGAAAAGAAAGGCAAATAGTTCGTTAGTACGTTAGAAATAATTACTCCCCAGATTTTCTAAGTACACACTCCAAAAGTCAACCATATATAAAAATGCTATTGGACTAGTCCTTGTGTGAGGGGTTGGGTTGGTAGTAGGATTCAAATTTATGGAGTAAAAAGGGGAAGAAAAAAAATTCCATGTTCAATGACAAAGGAAAGAACAGATAATTAAGTACTAAGTGACATGTTCTTGTCATTAAAGATACTGTATTCTATCCAGGAAATTGTGCCGCTAAAACCATGAAATTTTGAGTAAGCCAACTACTTTTTCTCTCTCTTGAAAAGAAAACGAACAGTAAACCAAGTAGTTTCTGACTGGGAAAATTTAAATCTTCAAGCATGTCATCAGAAGCAATTCACTACTTCTACAATTCATTTCGGTTGTTTACTTAAATTGCTGAAGCAACCTCTAGTTTATTATGAACTGCAAGCAAAGGTCAGCTAAGTTAAAGATAAGAAGAAAGATTTCTTGATGCTATTCCTGAACCAGAGATTTCTGGGAAACTCACAACTCACTAGCTACAGTTAGATTATTATGAAAAAAGAATACCCTGATGATCGTATAGCCTAAATTCCAAAAAAATATTCATATAGCATGTAACATGATGGGAAATAAAGAATGAATGAGATAGAATTGGGCATACCGACAGGTTCCAGAAGCCATTTTTGAGGTGGAGGAGGACTTTGAGCCTCAGAGGAGGAGGCGTAGATGGGGCCAAATGTACTTCTTAGCTGCTTCCCTTTGATCCTAAGTACACCTTGGCCTTGGAGAATGTTGTTGGAGCACTGAAAAGGTAGTGAAGTAGTAGAAGCAAGAAGAGAGGCAGCAGAAGCTCTGAAACTTGAAGAAGAAGAAGGCCTTGGAAGCTTTGTATGGGAAATAGACAAGTGATGCTGAGCGGTTATTTCCATCCTGCGCAATAAAAAACCCACTTCGCTTTGTGTGGCAGATCTGCTGCAATGAACAAGTTTTGTTTTATTTTACACACATGGTTTGGATTCGCACGATATTAGATATCTGTTTCTGTTGTGTTTACTTCGAAGTTCACATGTATTAGAATATGTGGCGACCATTTAATGCTTTGACAAGGATTTGGATAACAATATCTTGAACCGGCAATGTCTACACTCCACCCGGTGAATCAGTGCACACTTTGGCTATTTGTTTTTTTTATGAAGCATGTGCACGTGCTGTTTGAGTTATAAAAAAAATATTTAAAAAACACCGGCTATAAGACCATCTCCAACTATAAATTTGTGACCTATTTTTCTTCAAAATCTAAGGTTTTTTAGGTTTTAGACATCAAAAAAATTTCACTTTTGGAAAAAGCCAAAGCTTTTTCTAAAAAGACAAAAAAACCGCTCAACTTTCAAATCAAAAACATGCAAATATATTGGATTCCTTAGGAAATCTAAAAATAAATAAGGGCATTTTTGTCTATTTTTGCTTCTTTTAAAATTTTTCTCTCTCCTTTTGCTTTTTCCAAAATGTCCCCAAAATCTATCTATATATATAGTAAAGGGCAGAAAATGATAAAACATTCATAATATCAGAAAATGTCTTTGGTTATGCAAATATTAAGAATTGAAATTATTAATTAAATTAGGATAATATGATAAATTCACACTTTTTCATATTAAAAATAATTAAAAATAAAAAAATCAGATAATAGATCCTATTTTTATGGAACGCAATTACCCATTATCTTTTTTAATTCAAAATAAATTAAAAAAATTTTAAAAAAAAATCCTCTCGCAAGCGCAAAAACGCTTGCGGAGAGGCTAGTATAGATATAATATATGTATATATATATATAGAGAGAGAGAGAACTCGAAGAGAGAGAGAGAGAGAGAGAGAGAGAGAACTCGAAATAAGCGAGTGACAATGGCGCCACATTCAAAGCATTTGGCGCGGTTCTGAGCCATGGTTTTGCCACAAGGACAGGCACAAAGTCATGTGCTTGCAATTGCTTCCGTATAATTCCAATGTCAACATCCACTGCACCGTGCACGACGATTTCAGCGACAATTCGGTTGACATTTTTCCCTCCTTCGAAACCACAAAAGTTACCAAAGAAAGCAAAGAAGATCACAACTATGAGAAAAGCTAACTAGGGCTTTAGATAGTTAAGCTAACTTCAAAACAAGAGCTAGAGAGAGTAGAGAGAGACAGAGAAGCTTGAAATCGAGGAAGAGAAGGTTGAGATGGTGGACGACGACAGAGCCTGAGTAGGAGAGTGGTGCGTTTGAGATTGCGTTTAGAAATTTTAAGCCTCACCACAGTTTTTGCTTCTCAAAGTGCTTCTCCCCACTTTCTCTTCTAGCAACAAGCTCCATTCCAGTCTTCCATCCTCCCACTCCATCTCTTCTCTCACTTTGTCTTTCAATTCTTTCTCCCAAAATGCATTATAACTAACCATCTCATACTCCCTCAACCAACTCTACATCATTAGTCGGAAACATTTTCGGGGATTTTTTTTTTCCATCTAATCAATTTTTCACTCGAGGGATTATTGTATAGATTTTTGTGTTTCGAATATGTAACAGCATTGCTTGACCTTTGATAATGCTCCGTTGATTTAGGGGGTGTATTCAATTAGGATTCTAGAGAGTTTAAAAAGATTTTAAAAGTTCGGGTGTATTTAATTTGGATTTATACAAACTTTTTACAAGTCTGGGTGTATTCAATTCAAACTTGTATTAACTTTAAAAAGTCTATACAAATATGAGTGTACTCAATTAGGATTATAAAAAAGTTCAATAAAATCTAGGTGTGTTAAAAAATTCATATATTTGGAAGGATTTCAGTAACCACAAGAAAAAAAAAACAGAAAAAAAATATATATGAAGTTTCTTCCGAAATCATATAGCTATTGCACCATACTTTTTATATAGCACCAAATGAGAGAGCAATAAGAAACAAATGTCCTAAAGAAACAGAGCACCACTTACTGCTCGAAGGAAAGCAAACATCTCTTCTTGGCTTTTTGATTGTCTGCGTAAAGATGTCAAAGTTAGCATCCGTCTAAAGAAATATGTTAAAGAAAGAGTGTTGTTAAAGGAACCCTAAAATTAACTGAGTACACTCTAAGATCTAAGTACACTATAATATTTAAATTAAAATATAAAATTAACTAATTACACCCTATTTAGCTATCAAAAATACCAATGGATACAAATGAAATAATTGAAAATATTTATTCATAAAACTAAAATATAAAAAAACCTACCCAGTCCCCCACCCTCCCTCTCTTCCCACAACCGCCTCCACACCCAAACCCCACCCACGGCCTGCCCATTCCTTCCTCCACCACCACCCATCTCCAAGTTCTACACCCTCCCTCCCACACATCCCTTTGTATGTACCCAGCCCCAGACCCAAGACCCCGAAAATTTATCAAGGTACCCAACCCCTTGCCATACCCCTAGATTATCATCTTGACCATAGTACATCAAGTGGGCTAGCACTTATATTCTTTTATTCATCATGTCAACTAAATCCAAGATAATGTCATTTCCATCTCGATCAATCTCAAAGAGCTTTCCTACTTATATGAGCCAAATTCATGTCATTGTGCTCTTTGACTTGCCTGAGTGTGTTCCCATGGAAGATGAATGTTGCCACTCTTGAAATTAATGGTGTGTTTACTAATCAGGTATTGGAATTTTCTTTAGGAATTGAATTCCACTTATGGAGAATTCTTGCATTTACTTCACATCAATGAATTGAAAAGTAAGTGGGGCCCACACAAAATTAGGAATTCAATTCTTGATTTTTGAGGAATTCAATTCTTGGGTGGGAGGTGGTGTTCTAATTCCTAGAGAACTAACCCATTAGGAATTCATATTTTTTACCTATTATATCCTCACACAATTTTCAAAATTCCGAATTTGACATCTACTTTAACAAAACAACGAGGACATTTTAGTAATTAGTATCATTCGTACCCCAATTCCATATGGTTTAAAAAACAACTTCAATAGGAATCCGAAATCTAATTCTCCTCAATCCAACTCTTCCTCAATTCAATTCCTCCTAATCCAATTATGGATTAGTAAACATGCCATAAGTATAAATAAAGCCAAGGTGGTGGGGTTTTTTTTGTTTTTGTTAATTTTCTTTTATTAGTTGCATACTGGAATCAATATGTGACAACATTTTCTTTGATTAGGGTTGAAGACGGTGAGTAGGGTGTACTTATTAAAATTACATTTGTTTCACAATTAAATATATCATTTTTGGTCATTTAATATTAGGGTAAATTAGTAATTCAATAAATAGTTTGGTAGTAGGGTGTATTCAGTTAATTTTAGGGTTCATTTAGCAGCACTTTAAAGAAATTATAGAAGTCTGGAATAAAAGCCATACACATCTTATAATAAAATTATATAGAACTCTTCTCAAGTCTATGTGAAATCTAAAAGTTCCATAGAGTTCCATGAAATTTGGCACTTAAATTTTTTTTTTTAAATGCTCTAGAATCCTAATTGAATACACCCTTAATTTTATGTGGAATTTCTTTCCTTGTGGAAATTTTTGTCTGCAAATTTTGAGAAAAAAAAAATGAAGGGCATGTTTGGATGACCGATTTGGACAAGAGATTTGGGCTTTCATGGGATTTACAATATACAAATGGACCAAGTGTTGGGAAGAAAGGTGGAGTGCGGCCTATAGAGCACATGTAACGCACAGTTGGGTTGCTCACGCAGTAGATCTCTCTCTCTCTATCTCTCTCTCTCTCTAAAGATATCTAGAGAGAGATGTGAAAGTAATAACTTTATGTTATGGCCGCCCCCGACTTACAGCAGAGAGGATGATACATGGCGCGGTATACCTGATCATTTGGTCAACAAGACGTACACAAGTAGACATAGCTCTATATTTTTTTTTTTTTTTTTTTTTTTTTTTTGCTTTTAGTTTGTTTGCGATGGCAACTGAGGTGAGACGATGCTGAAATTTGAATGGGAAGCGACGGCGTTACCATTCACCGTGAAGAGAGAGAGAGAGAGAGAGAGAGAGAGAGAGAGAGAGAGAGAGAGAGAGAGAGAATACCGTGAAAAAAAAGGAATCGAGTCTTATACTTAAATTGGGAATTTGCAATATTTACGGTTATGCCACTACACTTCTGTAGATCATAACTTCTTCGTTTTAACTATGAATTGAACCTGCCGCCTGTCTACGAAGTCATATTCACGAGCTCTGCGCAACGGTACAACTCAATTCCCCAAATTCCTTTTCAAACAAAAAAGTGACTAAAAGTACCCCTACCCCTACCCCCAAGGGAAAAAATGTAATTACACAATTAAATAATTAAATAGAAACAATTTGTTGGGTCGGGGTGTTACAGCAGAGGTTAGGGAAACCAATGTGGGCAGCGCTATGATGATGAAAATTGAAGCCCCTTATTTCCAATGGCTTTATGTGTGTTTGGATGCCTACAAAAAAGGCTTTCTAGCTAGATGTAGACCTATCATAGGTGTTGATGGGTGTCATTTGAAGGACACATTCCAAAGTATGAATCTTCTTCTGTTTTTTCTTATTATAACTATATTATCATAGTTAAATTTCTTATTCAAAACACGTGAATCTATGTTGCACTAACTATGTTAATGTATGATAGGTTAATTACTTATGGCAGTGGGTATTAATGCAAATGACAATATGTACCAAATTGCTTATGTTGTGATTAAGTTGGAGACCAAAGAAACATGGTGTTGATTTCTTCAATTGCTTATTAAGGATTTGGGTCATGTTTGTGAACATGGATGGACTTTCATCTTAGACCGACAAAAGGTAGTTTAATATTCTTAGTTTAATATCTAGGGTTTAATATGCTTAGTTTAATATTGTGGGGGATAGGATGCTGAATTTGAATTATTTGTGCTTGAAGTAGCACATAGATGGTGTGTCAGACTCTTTATGGGAATTTCAAGACATTGCATAAGGAAAAGACTTTGAAAGATTTATTATGGAATGTCGTCAGAGTCAAAGATAGAATGCATATGCTTCTAGTGGACTGAGGTAAACTGGAAATTCTGCTCCATGAAAACCACCAGGAAAGGCAGCTACTAAAAAGCAAGGCATGCCTATTCCGAAGAAGTATTGATTTTTAAAGGGATGGGACTTTTTGATGTAGACTGATATAATTCAGGATATGTATTTTGCCTTATTTTGGGAACCATAGCCAAGTCTGTGTACTGCCGCATGTGTATATTGCTTCTAAATACATTGTATTTTGGCTTATTTTGTGAATCATGCCAAAGTCTGTGTACTACAGCATGTGTATATTGCTTTTAAAGACATTGTATTTTGGCTTATTTTGTGAATCATGTCCAAGTTTGTGTACAACAACATGTATATGTTGGTTTGTGTACTACACCATGTGTATGTTTCCATTCCATTTCATTTTATTTGAGCCAAAGAATGTAACAACCAAAACAAGAGATGAATGTTTTCATTTCATGATTAGAAATTTATAACCTCTGAGACATGTCTTTCCCCAAATTTTGATCACAATGTTACAACCAAAACGTTTGAGCAGAATGTTACAACCAAAACATGTCTTTACCCAAATTGAAGCACCATCTAAACACCTCATTTTTTTAAGGCTTAATTATGTACATGCCCCCTGTGCTTTCCAACTTATCTCAGATTACCACCTGTGGTGGAAAACGTCTCAAAGTACCCCCCAACGTGCAAAAAACTGTCTCACGTTACCCTTTCCGTCAATTTTTTTGAAGTTCCGTTACGAATGTTACTGTTCATCTCCCCCAAAATTCCAGAACAGTAGCCCCTCCCCTTTGTTACTGTTCATCGCTTATTTACCCTCCAAAACTCAGAAATTTCTCCTAACCAACACAACTAGCAGCAAGAACAACTCGAGAGGTTGAAAAATCATACCTGGATCGAAGAAAATGGTGCTCGGAATCGCCCGAAACGAGCAATGGAGATTTTGGGTAAAAACCGGCCAATTTCTTGATTTTTTCGGTGATCCAGACGACGGTTGGCAGCGGCTGAGATGTGAGGGTGGTAGAGGACAACGTGCTGGTTCTTTTGATATCCACGTCGTCGCTTGGGGTGGCCGGAGGAGGCGATGGCAGCCCAAAAACTGGTGCGGTGAACAGTAACAAATGGGAGGAGCTGCTGTTCTGGAATTTTGAGGGAGATGAACAGTAACGTTCATAACGGAACTTCAAAAAAACTGACGGAAAGGGTAACGTGAGACAGTTTTTTGCACGTTGGGGGGTACTTTGAGACGTTTTCCACCACAGGTGGTAATATGAGATAAGTTGGAAAGCACAGGGGACATGTACATAATTAAGCCTTTTTTTAAACTAAATTGAAAACCACATTGACAGCAATCAAGATACAAATGATCAACAACATTTCTTTTATTCCGTTCAGTAGATTCATAACATCTCCAACTTGTAGCTGCATAGATTGAAACACCACGTCCTTGCTACCATTGTTTTCCATTCGTTGTAAGTCTTTAAAGATGATATCTTCCCTCCCTTTTGTGTTGTCAACATCATTACACCATACGAAACCTTTGCATCCAACACCTCCCTACATCACACTTTGCATAACCACAACATCCATATCATAAAATAAAACTGATTCAAAACCATGCCTTACATATTTCCTTGTACAATTTCAGAAATATTTATTGTAATGTTGTTCTGTAGTTGATAGAAGTAATTTCATTTCAGCTCCACATAAAGGGCACCTGAATGGTTTTTTGATTAAGCGCTTGAGGCGAAAGGGTAATAATACCCCAGCACACACACTCACACACACCACATGCGTCTTAACTAACGGAATTCCCAATTGGACTTGATTTTTTAACGATGCAAAATGTGATGACCAAAATTGGAAAATTAAAAGTGCGGTGACCAAAATTAGAATCGGACCGAACCCTAGTGACCAAAATTGTAATTAACCCATATTTCAAATGTTTCATTCCAACTTGTTTTCTCTAGTTTTGGTTCAATTTGTAACATCCCGTTCCAAAATTTTCTTAAAATTTTGAAATTCAAATATGAATTAACATTTTTTACCTTAGGAGTAAGGGCATTATGGTCACTTTTCTTTGGGGACAAGTTTTGGAAATTTGAGTTGCACCCTTGCATAGACCTCGCTCTCACAAGTTCGTAGACATGCGATGGGCTCAAATCCGACTTATAACAAAAAAGTTATGGTCAACAAACAAAAAATAGCATTCTTTTGTAATTTTGAAATATATATATATATATATATATATATATATTAAACAAACCATAGCACGCACGTGAGAACCTCCCCCCCTCTCAAAAAAAATTTTGAACCAACTTTTTAGAAGTTCAATGTGCACTAATGTATGTGTCATCATCTCATTGGGCAGAGGTCCATAGAAAAAAAATTTTTTTTCTTTCTTTATTTTATTTTTTTTTTTTTTTTTTTTTTTTTTTTTTTTTGTAGTAAGAGGCTCTTGGTTCTTGAACATGGTTGGGAGATTAGGCTGTAGTTGAAAGAGCTGTTCGAAAGCTTGACTAACAAGCGAAAAAAACCCTATATATTTTTTTAGTAAAGGCCTTTTCCCATTTCTTTCTTTTCTCTCTTGCAAACGACACAAAGCACTAGAGCTTCCCTGTCGTTCGGAGACGACAGTCGATGAGATCGGTCAGAGTCAGTGCTGCAACTTTCGAGGAAGAATCCAGCTAGCTTCGGCCACCTCAGGTCACACCACCACTTGGAAAAGGTAGATTTCTCCTCCCTTTTCAAGTTCCCTAGGAGTTTTGACGCCATTACTGGCCATAGCCGTCAGCGTAATTGAAGAAAATCCGGCCAAAACCCTCACGAGTTTGGCTATTTTGAAGCCACATGTTGGTCGGGGTCCAAGAACAAAGAAATTGTTGCTATCAATATGCTTGAACTGTTGGTATAGGTCTTGCTCGACGATTTGGAGTTTTTTGGTCACCGAAAACAGTCGTAGAACCATCACCATTGGTGGCGGCTCGTGGGCTTGTTGTTAGTGAACTGTTTTGGACCTAAAATGATCCCCACATCATCCCAAGCACAATGGTATGCTCGGATTGGAGAGATTCCATCATTTGATGGATGATTGGAATTTCACCTATTATGCATTGTTTGATTGAGAATGATCAGACCATTGAATCAGAATCTTGGATTATGACGTTCCTCGTACCACTAAGATTGTGTAGAAGTTTACGGAACTAGAATTAGACGTTCAAACGTTCAAAAGTAATTTTATTAAATAAAAAAAATTAGGTGGACTCCAACAATAAGCTTTTCCATTTTTATTTTTCCATTTTTTAAAAGTAATATAGAAATGTCTTCTTGGATTTGTGGCGATTTATTTTGAAAAACGAAATGATTTTTCTGGTCCCAAATTTTCCAACAAATAGTAAAAATGTTAATTAAATGTGAAGAAGACATATTATGCCGATGATTTATGATCCAATTAACCACATTATTAGTACTTGGTAAAGAAGCAATACCAAAAGATGACATTTGTTTCCAAATTTGACTTGCATATTGACAATTACTCAATAAATGGGTAATTGTTTTAGGATGAAGATTATACATAATATATAGATTAGAAACATTTGTAAATTAGGCAAGTTTATCTTTTGTATTAAGACTTTCTTTTAGCATAAGCCAAACAAATAACTTTAATTTTGGAGGTGTTGATGTCCAAAAATTGATGACCACTCATGGACCCAACTTAGAGATGTGATGCCTTCGGTTTTGTGGGCCCTTCAGTAAACGTGTGTAATCTGCAAGACAAAGAGTGAAGGTAAGACCTTGGGTATCGGTGTGGTTATTGGTCGGAGGCTCTTCAATGTTGTGTGGATGTGGTCACCAAATTTTAGCCAAGTCGGGTGATCTCAATTCCAAGCCAAGTCAAGAAGACCAAATTCTAGCCAAGTCAAGTGGGACCAAATTCTAGCCAAGTCAAGTGGTATCAATTCCAAAGGGCCTAGCCAATAAACAAATGGCAATAAATAAATAAAATCCAACTAGTTGAATTTGGAATAAATAATTAGCCAAGATAATCCAAGATTTCAGATTGACTCACCACTCACTTATGAGACCCAAAAACAGCCGGATCGAACTCCTTATCAGTCAGGTCGAGTCCACCGCATCGAATCAAGCTCTTGCAACATGGTTTCGTCTTCACAACTTCTTTAATCATATTCTTAAAGCCCAATAGTTGGATTTGAATATATACATATATATATATATATAATAAAAATAGGATGCTATTTTTTAACTTGGTTGTCGGGTTTGGCTTGAGAACGATGCGATTGGAGTTTAAGGCCTTGTGTGGTTACAGCAAGGTGGGGTTTTCAGCTCTGCTTTATGAGCTTCAAAGTAAAATAGCTAAATGACAAAGCTCCACAAGCAAGATGAGACAACTGGGGTTTATCGAACCCAATGAGGAAAATGGATCTCGTTTGTCCTCACCACATTACAAAACACATTTGCAATTGTTGCTGGGTATTGGCTTGGAGAAGTTAGACGACTGTGACTTCTCTTAGAAGTTGGGGGTTTTAAGCACCTAACAATAAAAGGTGGGGCCCTCTCTTAAGGCCAATGGTTTTATGAACAAATGAAAGAGAATTTGGTGGCCTGAGGATGCATGCAGTTTGGCCTTCAGACTTAAATTGATTAATGCCAAGTCTATGCACAATATAATAATATAATATTATGAGTTTTATGTTTTCCTTCTGTTCTCCTCCTAATTCAAGGTTGCTAGTCCCTGCCTAGGTCTCTTCAACGCCTTATGCCTTTTTGGCAACGGCCAACGAGCCTATCCGACAACTAGACAACTCGATGACTAGTGAGTAAAGGAAACTTGACAGAAAACTAGAAAATTAGACTTGCAAAACCTAGTTAAAACCTTCAAACTATCAACTATTATAGGGACTTTTGGCTTTGATACCAGGTACTGGCTTGGCCTCTTAAGAACTTCACACTGAAGGTCATTGAGAGTAGGTTCCTTCTTGTGAATTTTATCATTCATTCTGTTTACTATAGTTTAAAACTATAGTTTTCAACTGGTTGTCTCACATTAGTTATAGCTGGCTATGAGTTATCTATCACATTAGTTAGAAAGTTATATCTCACTAGCTAAAGCGGGACCAAGTAACCCACAGCCAGCTATAACTAATGTGAGACAACCAGTTGAAAACTATAGTAAACAGAATGAATGATAAAATTCACAAGAAGGAACCTACTCTCAATGACCTTTAGTGCGAAGTTCTTAAGAGGTCGGGCTAGTACCTGGTATTATAGCCAAAAGTCTCTAGAAGAGTTGATAGTTTGAAGGTTTTAATTAGGTTTTACAAGTCTAATTTTCTGGTTTTCTGTAAAGTTTCCTTTACTCACTAGTCATCGAGTTGTCTAGCTGTCGGATAGGCTTGTTGGCCGTTGCCAGAAAGGCGTAATATTAAAATGGAAAGCATTGGGAGAATCTTGTCTACCCGTTCTTCTGGAGACGCAGGCTCTAGTAGCAATTCTGGCCATAGAATCCTAAGGGTGAAAAACTCTCAAGAAATAACCATGGGGGACGTAGAAAAGGAGTTACGCAATTGGGATATACCCAGAGTACCGATCACTGATATATACTATAAAAGATCTTTCAAGTTTAGATCTGATTATGCAATAAAGACTGTTGAAAAAACCATATATGTCATTGATAAAAATGATAGTTTCCAACTATTTACTCAGCGTCAAATCAACCAGAATCTGGATAGAAAATATAACTATTTACACATAGGCTTGGTGCAGGTAGCGGTGAAACCACTTACCATAACAGGATTGCCCAGTTCAATCTTGCTATGTGTAAGAGATGGAAGACATAGAAAGTTCATAGATTCTTTGTTAGGAATAGTCGAGTCAACCTTAGGGGAAGACTCGATATATTTTAACTGTTTTCCAAACTTTTCTGTTGCACTTTATGATATAAATGTCTTAAAAGCCTTAATGTTGAATATTCAAACTCATGGTTATGATATGGACCAAGGATCCCAAAATCTAGCAATCATTTATAGAGTTTCATATAAGGTTATGAACACTGTCTATCCCAAAGCTAAAGACTTAGACAGTAAGGGTGAAACTACTTTGTTCCAAACCAACCTTGAAAAGTCAAACATGACCGTCCCAAAAATGATAAAGTGGAGTGATATAACTCTACCAGACAAATGGATTTTGGATGAAGTAGCCCCAAAAAAGCCCTTTGAAAATCAGAAGCCTACACAGATATCACAATTCGCTGATAGAGAGGTAGAAATACAATTCTCCAGTGCTAGAAGAACTAGGATTGATTTGACACCCTCTAGATCTAACCTACAAACAAATGGCCAAAGATGACCTTTTAAGTTGGCTGGAGAATGGCTGTAGAGTTGGTTTTGGGCATGAGAGAACCCACGTGGGTTTACCTTGGTATTCTTAAACTTGGGTCAAATTGGCATGGGTGTCAAAATGATTGTGAGCAATATATATTGCATATTATACTTTGTATATGTATGCAATAATATAATAAATTAAAGGCCTATGGCCTAGGAGGTTGGAGACAAGAATTAAAGGCCAACTAAGTGTACAAACTCGCTTTCTTTATCTAAATATATAAATGTATAAGTATATATATAAATATATATATGGCTATATTGGCATCTTAACATATAATTATTTTGTCATATATATATGTATTAATATTGAAAACTAAGAAGTCATGTAGACCTTGGCCAAGTTTTTTGGATGGACTCATTGGCATTCCAAGTCATCCAACATTGGTGGATTATGTTCAATCAAAATTAGAGACTCCAGAAGCCACATCGTCTCACTAGATGTGAAGCCGAAGTCCTCAGAGGTCCAAGCTCGACCCGCAGAAGTAGGGCCAAAATCTCCGGATGTTTTCATGCACGTGACGAGATCCATCCAAGGAAAGCAATCAAAGAGAGTGATGTCAATCTGGAACGTTCCTAAGGAGGAGAGAATCAAATGATCAGATTTGCAATATGATGATCTTATTCAAATCAATTCCGCGAATTCAGGACAAGGAAAGATTTTGAACGAAGTTGACCTTTGGCCATTTAATGGCCAGCCTATGGGCTGACGAATGCTCGTATATAAACCCCATCAGACAAAGAGCAAAGGACCCCGACATTAGACATAAAAACCTACTTTTTGTCTTTCATTTTTCTATCCCTAGACTAGGTTTTTATTTTCCAAGCAAGTAAACTAAATCAGTTCTGCGCTTTCATTAGTGTAAGTTTAATTCCTTGTATTTTTGCATTACGTTGTTTTAAGATTCAAGTTTATTGCTTTACTTTTAATTGTTATCGAATTTTCTTTAAGTTTAATTTAATTTCAAATTGCTTTATTTTATTGCCTTTATCATTTATATCGTTCTTTGTTTAATTTACGTTTATCTATTGCTTTGATTTACTTTATCAAACTTTAATTCTTGTCTTTAAGTTTAATCGCATCTTTTAATTTAATTTGCATCATTATCATTAAATCTCTAAAAATGCTAAAATATCCATACGAAACCTAACCATCCTTGACCCCAAGGAATTGAAAGAACCTAGGCCAAGATGAGGTTCCTTGCTTAGCTGATCAATTGGATGGTTAGAAGTCAGAAGTGCGAACACAAGAATCCAACTTTTCCCATTTAAGCCAATCAGTGGCTTGGTGGTGGCACGCCTACACAATCCAAGAGAAGAACGACCAAAAGTTCCTTCCATCGGCCACCTTGGTCGAAAAGAGGGAAACAAATGCTTAAGGTAGTTTAAGAATGGAATGATAGTAATTTGGACAGAGTAAGGACTAAGTAGCCGAATGTTATTGTTATCTTTCTTTTTAGGACTTGTGCCCTATTTATAGAAGGCCAAGGTGAGAGGTCTTGGGTTATAATTTCAACGTGGGACTTCGAGCATGGCTTGAGAGGCTGCCACCTGTCCATGTCCAGCCTAGCTCGGCCGGCGCCTTCTTTAGCCAAATCGACATGATGGGTTGTCAAAGGCTTACCACTTGCCGATGGTTGTTTATGGGCCTCAATGTTTTTACTGGACTCTATGAGGTCCCTTTGTAGGTCCAATGTTCCACTTATCGCAGAATGATTGACCAGTTAGATATGGTATAAACAAGAGAATATATAAATAAAAAAACTAACTCTTTAAACTTGTTTTTACATTTTAGCTTTTAATTTTTTATTGTATATATACCTTGTCCTAATTTATATAATATTATCACCTTATAAAAGATCATTTACCATTAAAAAAAAACCAAAAAACAGAAAAGAAGAAAAGATCATTTACCATAAAAAAACAAAAACAAAAACAAAAACAAAAACAAAAAACAAAAAGAAGAAAAGATCATTTACCATAAAAAAACAAAAACAAAAAACAAAAACAAAAAACAAAAAACAAAAAAGAAGAAAATATCATTTACCTAAAGTGGATGGGGATGTTTTGTTTAGAAGTGATAAAATAGTCAAACTCTGTACCCAAAACTAAACCCTCTCCTCGGAGTCGCCCCTTGCGTTGCTCAATAGTCACCTTATTATTCAAAACGCGAGCGACCCCTGCGTTGCTCGACAGTCCCAAATGGGGGAGACGAAAGGAGAAACCGGAGTTACCGACAGTAGCACCAAACCCGAAGTGGTCTCAGTAGAAGAAGCTCTAGAAACAGTGCTGAGAGTGGTCCAGCGGCTGCCACCTGTCACCGTGCCCCTCCACGATGCGCTTGGGAAGGTGCTGGCCGAGGACATTCGCGCCAGAGACCCTTTGCCTCCTTACCCTGCCTCCATCAAGGTTACCAGAAAGAAACTCATTACTGTTTCATTTGAAATTGTTCACTTCTTTGAATAATATTGAATAATATATGTAAATACCATTTGTGTTTTTTTTATATGTATATTTAAAATCTTATTATTTACTATTAAGTGTTCTGTTTGAGTCTCTAAACTGACCAATTAACATGGGTTTTCATAGTTTTATGGATTCAATTAATATATTTGAGAATTGGAATGCTTGAGTTGACATTTTTTATTTTTTTATTTTTTGGGGTTGTGTATGAATTGGTGGACTTGCTCAGGATGGATATGCAGTGGTAGCTTCAGATGGGCCTGGTGAGTATCCTGTGATTGCTGAAGCAAGAGCTGGGGACGATGGACTTGGCATCACTGTCACTCCTGGAACTGTAGCATATGTTGCCACTGGAGGTTTGCCCTTTTCTCCCCTTAATATGAAAAAAATGCAGATTTAATTTGTCACTTGTATGGATGCCTTGGAAATGTTTGTATTTCTGACCCTTTTTTCTTTGGTGATTAGTTGTGTAGTATGCAATACTAGGGAAGGTCAAATATCATATTGAGGAAAGAAAATTAAAGATTTTATGGTTAATGAGTTGAATTATTTGGTCAAATGATCTAGCTGATATTTAATTAATTACAAACAAAAGCTACTATAGTGTTGTAATGTACTCCAACAGAAAATAAATAGTATGTCAAGTCCAGGCTCGCTAGACAATTTCAAATGAGCCACTCTGTGAGAATAGTGCATTCTAGATAAATTATTTGATTTTGTACCTTATTGTTGATTTATTTATGTTTTTGTTTGGTTCATGGTTTATTCATATTACTTGTACATTTTTATGTATGTTTTTTGTTTGGTTCATGGTTTATTCATATTACTTGTACATTTCCTAAAAACTAGTTTTCAAAGTATTATACATCTTATATATACATGTATAAATAATCTTTCTAGAAAACCTGGATTGATGAAAAATCAGTTTTTCTGTGATCATAAAGTGATTTTTCAACCATTGGTCATACTCTCAATTTTCTACCATAGACATCATTAGTCGGTCTTTCTGAAGGCGTTCTCGCTCCCGACGTATTGGTCTTTTTGCTTTTAACTTGTTCTCCTTGTGTGCTTTCTTTTAGGACAAATACCCGATGGTGCTGATGCAGTTGTACAAGTTGAGGACACTGAACAATTGAAGGGCTTTCACTTGAATCAAGGAAAGTAAGAATATTGGCACAAACAAGCAAAGGAGTAGATATTCGTCCAGTGGTATGATATCATTCCTTGCTTAAAGTTATGAGAGTTAAAATGTCAAAATTTCGTGCAGTGGAGTAGATATGCATATACACAACCAATGTTCACTGTTCAAAGTTTTTATTATTATATTAAAACAATGTCACTAATGTAATTTACTTTTACTTATCTCATTTGTAATGCGTCCAGTTACTTTCTTTTTCTGAAATATATCATGGTGAAATGCGTAGATAGATGTTTTCACTCTTAAGACACATTAGCTGACCTAGTTTCTTGCACTTTGTGAACAAAGTTGCAAAGGTACATATTGGTTAAGGTTTTATTTTTCTAATTTTTATAAGGAACGAGGACTTTGTGATGTTTTCACTCGTGGACCCAAATTCTGTGCTTTTGTGATGCAGGGACAACTCATGTATTTAGTTTACCTACTATAAATTTGGTTACCTTTAGGATATAATGCTAAAGGATATATTGAGCTTTGGGATGAATTGATGGTAAAATGAGGCTTCTTAGATAGTTTGTGACTTTAGACTTGAAAGGCACATGGTTGCTGTTCTGGTCTTTTCAACCTTGAACAGTATTTTGATTCCTTTATTTTTTATTTATTTTAGGTGTGTTTGGTTTTCATCTCGGGTGGTATTGGGGTTTGCAGAATAGGATTTTTAGGGTGTATTCAGGTCTAGTTATTGCTTGAAATGTGAGGACTTCTGTAGGAAGAAGTGAAGAGCTGGTTGGATCTGAAGTAAAATGGCCATTTTAGCTTCTCTTTGGACTTCCATATCCAAAGATTTCAAAGGGGTAACACTTCATTTGATTTGTGGTAATTGGGTTGAGGTAGGTTGGATCACTTGCCGGGTAAAAGTAGGAAGTAGAGAAAGAAGAACAAAACCTTAGAATTTATCTAAGGCCTCCTAGGAGTCTCACCTGGAACTTAAATGGCATCTCACCATTAACCTGAAGCAAAAATCTGAAATTTCATTAATTTAAGTTTTCTACGTTTCTCGGACAAAGAATTCCTTATATAGAGGCAACTCATAGTACAATGAGGGCAACTAGAGAAATCATATTCAGACAAGGATTTCTAACATCTGAGTATACCCGTACTAAACTCAATCAAGATTAGAATAAGCCAAGATACTAGAACTAGTCCTGCAACCAAACATTCCCAAATATGAAAATACCACTGGCGACTCCGAGTAATAAGGACACAAACACTCAAACTTGAATCTCTTTCTTTTCTGCACTACATTTGAGTGTTTGTTCTGTTTATACTATTATGTTTGAAGAATCAAATTCCAGGCTGGCACCAAAGCCACCACCAAGGAAAGCAAATCAAACACTACTCTAAGGAGCAAAACCAGAAAGGTGCCACAAATTAGCAATACAGCAATTATCAAGACAGTCCTCAAACTTGCCTGAGGACAGCCTCCTTCTGATGGTACACTGGTAGATAAAATGGCCATGGGAGGCTTAGTGTTATTAGTTCCTTAGGTAGATAAACTTGATTGAAGACAACCTGGTCTGACCGTACAGCTCCAATTGAATAATGGAAGAAAGATGGACAGTTAACGTGTTATGGTTTGACCGAGGGCTAAAAGTGGAAAATAAAGATTTGGTGTATTTCAAGTTTTTTTGGAACTCTCTAGCATGGCTCCTTGATCGATGTATTCATTTGTCTTTCTCTCTTTGGTTCACTATCATGATCTAATAAGAAACAAATATATACATTTTGCAAACTTGCAATACTTGTTTGATCTACTGAAATTTTAAAAGCTATTTGAAAATTTGTGTTCCAGGGATGTGATATTGAGAAAGATGATATAGTATTGATATCTGGGCAAAGAATTGGTGCTTCAGAAATTGGTTTGCTTGCTACCGTGGGAGCGACAGTGGTGAAGGTATTAAAAATATTTACTTTTGTGTTAAAGATTGTCATTGAAAGCTAATGTGTCATGTATTTGTCTTATTAATGAAACTTGTATTTCCTATCAAGAAATAAGACAGATTGACACTGAGAGCTAATATGTCATGTAGGTTTATCCCACCCCAACAATTGGTGTGCTTTCCACAGGAGATGAACTTGTAGAGCCAACAACAGGCTGTTTAAGTCGTGGCCAGGTACTGTAAGCTATTGGAAATTCTCTCTCTCTCTCTCTTCCCATGATTAATTTCTTTCACTTTGTAGTACCCAAAAAAAAAATCACAGTAAATAGTGAGGGACCAATTTAGTTTTAAAAAGTCTACAAATGACAATTAGGTACCAGGCAAGGCTTTTAAATGTAAGCTTTAAGCCATTGTTAGCTGGAAAATTGTATATTAAACAGAGCTTAAAACTTCAAAATGTTAGTGATGTAGTACAGCCTGTAGGTATTAGATTAAGCACTTAAACAATCGAACATAGAAGAATATAAGAGATTGAGGAGAAGAAATATAGATCGAAGAGATGAGATAAAGGGCAGAAACGGTAGAACAAAGAAGAAGATCGGAGATAGAGGAGAAGAAAATATAGATCGAAGGGACGAAATCAGAGAGTTCTAGGAAAAGCTTTACTCGACATTCAAATCTGAATTTTAAAGAACTACATGGGGTTATTTATAGCAAACTAAAACCTAGACATAATAGGATAAAAATCCCTTGCTTAAACAGAAATCCTAACCCAAATAAAATAGGAAACTTAAAACTAGAAATCTGGAAATCTGGAAAAGTAGAAATCCTACTAGAATTTGGAAAACTAGAGAATCTAGGAAACTAACAAATATATTAGGAAACTAATAAATTTAGGTCCTATGCGTCCTGCATCAGTTAGGTTTCTTATTAGGTTAATGGTCGATGAAGTCATACTTATTTCCTTCTTTGGTTTAGGCTGATTCTTTTAGGCTTCAGTATGATCAAGGACGCAATGAGGAAGTGTTCGCCTTTAAAAATAAGAGAGTGTCCTGCTTCATCAAGATCTTACTTACTAATGTTCAGAGATTATGTTGGCAGAAAGAAATAAATAAAAAATTGCTCTATGGTCATCACAGTACAAGACAAGTGTAGTTATTTTGCATTTAGGATTTATTAGATTGTATTATCATGGGTTGATATCAAGGATGTTGCTACCCATCATGTAGTATCTACACATTTTAGCAAATAGGCTGATCAAGTTCTTGTGCAGATTAGGGACTCCAACCGTGCTATGATACTGGCAGCTTCAGTACAGCATCATTGCAAAGTTCTTGACTTGGGAATTGCTAGAGATGATGAAGAAGTACTGGAGAATATCATGAATACTGTCATATCCTCTGGAGTTGATATTCTTCTTACATCTGGAGGTGTTTCCATGGGAGACAAGGACTATGTCAAACTACTGTTTCGAAAGAGAGGGACAGTGCATTTCAGTAAGGTAGACTGACTCTGCAGTCATTGCTTGTAGATTTTCCTTTAGAACATTTTATACCCTCGTAGGATGGTTGGTGGAACCAAATGTCAATTGTGATGCTGTGTTGAACTGAAAAGTGGTTCGATATAGTTATATATCATATGATATCATGTTAGTTTGGTATTTAACTGGCTCTTCAGGTTTGGATGAAACCAGGGAAACCTTTGAATTTTGCGGAGATCAATTCTGAACCTGCAGAGAGTAGGACAATGAAAAAATTTTTTGCATTCGGTTTGCCGGGAAATCCAGTTAGCTCTCTAGTCTGCTTCCATTTGTTTGTGGTACCCACCATCCGCCGCCTTGCTGGATGGGCAAATCCTCATCTTTTGAGGTTGCTGAAACTTCTGAAGAATTTCTAATTATTTGTTATCTCTCTCTTTCTTTCTTAATCTCTCTCTATTGTCCCCCTTATTACTGGAGTGGTTCTGTTAAGTTATTCATATATACAACAGCCATCCTTATATTTTTTATGTTTCTACATATAGAGTACACGCTCGTCTTCTCCAGCCTATAAAGACAGATCCCACTCGTCCAGAATTCCATCGTGCTATCATTAGATGGGAATTAAATGATGGATTTGGAAATCCTGGGTACGTTGTTTAAGGAATTTGCTGTATTAGTTGTTCATTTTAGTTTCTTTCAGAGTTGGGACTTAATTGGATCCTCGAAGTGCCTTCTGTTTTAACCTTCTCAGTAGCATTAAGAACATTTAGAAAAACAAGAATTATCTCTTGTCATTTCAGCTTTGTTGCTGAGAGTACTGGCCACCAGAGAAGCAGTAGGATCTTAAGTATGAAGTCTGCTAATGCTTTGTTGGAGTTGCCAGCAACAGGCAGCGTAATAGCTGCTGAGACTTCCGTGCCAGCTATCATCATTTCTGATATAAGTAGTACTGCTATTTTCGAAAGTTCCTCATCACCAGGTTCAGCATCTCCTTTACAAAGATTTAAAATGCAAGAAACAACTGTAGCTGAGTCCCAGAATGCCGAGTTTAGAGTAGCTATTCTTACAGTGAGTGATACTGTTGCATCAGGGGCTGGGCCTGATAGAAGGTATGATACCTACATCTACATACCTACTTATGTTGAGATACGGATGCCCGTATATGGCAATTTCTGATAATGGCCTGTAATACTTGACACATGGTGAAAACGTACAAAGCCTTCAGAATATTTTGTTTCCCCATCTCTTTATTTTGTGTACATACTTAATACTTATTGGATAAGGGTGCTGCTCATAGTAGTTTGGTTACCTGAGTTTAAGATCGTATGTTTAACTAAATTTCTGGTTTTCTTTTCTTTTTAAATTTTGAAGTAAAATGCTTGTGAGAAATATTTTAGTCTTCGATTAACCCTTTTTTTTATTTTATACAATTGATCCTTTATCCTAAAAGAAATTACTTTGTTACTCCTTTTCCCAATAAGTTGTGAAATAAGTCTTCTTTTGGTTGCTCAATGTACAAAATAGTATCATTACATTTTTCTACATGTTAGGAAGACAGTAGTCAAACTCAACTGCATCTAGATACTCCTTTTTGAGTGTTTGTTTCAAGAAGGTCACTTAATAGATGCCAAAGAAACAAGGCAAAGCTGATGTTGCTCCTTGTCAAAGTACAACATGTGATGCACTATATGCTTTGCAACAATTTAATGGAACCTTTACTTGAACATGTTCTTCCTAAGTATACAAAACTCGGCTGTGGTTAGTAAGTAAACACTCCAAAACATGGAAAAACTTTTAGAGAACAGACCAATCCAATCCAGCATTTGGGCTTGTATCTGAAACATTATGCTCGACACCGCATAACATGGAATTATATCTCTCTCAACAAGCATTTTGACATGTGAAAAATGATGTGTACGCATCCCGTGTTTGAGAAGAAGTTTCAAACCTTTAGTTTGGTTGAATTCTGTGAATTTTTGTTTCATGTAAGATTTATTTGAACAGATTATATGTTTCTTCTTCATTGTTTTACATCCTTGCGTCCACTATTTATTTAATGTTCTTGAATTTGCAGCGGTCCAAGGGGTGTTTCTGTTGTAAATTCCTGTTCAGAAAGGTTGGGAGGAGCTACGGTTGTTTCCACAGCTGTGGTCCCGGATGATGTAAGCCAAATCAAGGATGCTCTCAGTAGATGGAGTGATATTGATAAAATGGATCTCATCCTCACCCTCGGTGATTTTCTTTTTTTTTAACTGGTCTGTTTCTTTTGGTAAAGTAGAACTTCTTTAATACAGTTTTCTTGAATTCTTTAAATAGTTATATTTTCTCAAATTTAGGTGGCACTGGCTTCACCCCACGAGATGTAACCCCAGAAGCGACCAAACAGTTGATTGAGAAAGAAACACCTGGTCTTGTTCATGTCATGATGCAAGCGAGTTTAAAAGTAAGCTTCATACTTAAAGATTATATGTATGGCAATGTATACTTCTATGTCTTTTGACTGTACTGCTGGTTGACAATCTTAATTAGTTGGAGATAAAAACTAATGAGGTGGATCTGCTCCGAAATATTAGATAATTAATAAAAATATTATTTAAAGTTAGTCAAATTATTACGTCTCTTTAGCATGGATGTGCTGTTTGGTAGTTTGTAAGTGCAGACTTTTAAGGGGGAGTTTGGTGCCTAATATCTTTAGTTTCTGTTATTCTAATATCTTATCCATGCACAATTACAACCGTCTGAGTGAGTGGTTATATAATCGCCTATGTTGATGACTTGGCATCACGGTTGTGTTTAGCTTAAACTCTAATTTTTCCTTGTTTCAAACAGGTGACACCGACTGCTATGCTCTCACGATCTGCAGCAGGAATAAGAGGGTCAACCTTGGTAAGGCCTCATTTTGCATTCTTATCTTTCATATTGGTAGGTAGGAAATCATGATTGTGGTTAATTATAGTTTGATGAATATTCAAATAAACATGGGAAGTCATTCAAGGTTTGTAATGATTACTGTTGCAATAAATGCTTCATAATGACTGAACTTTAAGCATAACAGTGGTTTCTAAATTTACTTGAAGCATGCCGTCTCTATAAAGGCGGACGTTGGATCTTGAATGAAAAGAACAGAAATAAATTATTTATATCCTTTATAAAAGGCAGAAAAACTAAAGCTTTAGTGGAGTAATCAAATAATTGTAAGTCATGCAAATTCAAATGCACTAGTTTCACTTCAACATTGTTGATGTTACATTGATGCTCAAGTATATTTCGAACATGCCTCTCATGGTAGTCTTTTTTATTTTGTGTTGAATGATTTGTCAATTTTCAATATCTTAGAAATCTGGATCTTATGGATCATTTGGTTCCATTCCCTAATTATGCAATTCTCTGTTCTTACTATATACATATATTCAGATCATTAACATGCCTGGAAATCCAAATGCGGTTGCGGAGTGCATGGAGGCGTTGTTGCCTGCCCTCAAACATGGATTAAAGCAGATAAAGGGAGGCAAGAGAGAAAAACATCCCCGACATGTCCCTCATGCACAATCCGCGTCCATGGATGTTTGGGAACAAAGTCATAGGTTGGCCTCTGCTACTGGCAGAGAGCACGGCTGTTCTTGTTGCCAGTAATATGGAGGAATAAAATATCATGCCATCTTTCTTTCTTTCTTTCTTGTGTATTGTTGTTATGCATCTCACAGAATGTAAAAATTGTCTTTATAAGTTTATAATAAATAAATAAAACATGTATGTCTTCACAAGTTTATAATAATAAAAAGACCTGAGTTTTATTTATATAACCCCAGTAATCATTGCTTACCCCCCCAACTCCCCAAAATAATTATAAAAAAAATTCAATTCCTCCGTCTCTGGCAACTTTTCAAAATACTTAAAAACTTTTAACCTTCATGTGTATATATATTTTTTAATAATGCACAGATTCTCGCTTGCATATTGGTATGCTCTTCTCTACAATTGGCATGAGTGACGGAGTCTGTCCTTGGGCACTAAATGTTTGCTGAACTGCAGTTGACCAGAGTGCCGGTTCAGCGTTGGTCTAGAACCTCATACATCGACAGTGTCAGTTCCATGTGAGATTCCGGTCACTAAGTCCGGTTAATGGAACCCACTCCTGGAAATTCCACTGGTTAGTCTGACTCTTGCAGGGCAGACCCAAGTCCATCGAAAATGACTTTATTTTAACGAAAGTATGAGAAGACTAATGTTCCTTATTCAGAATTGATACGGAAAATAAACTGCAAGTTGGGGCTGTAGTTAACACAAACTACTCTTATTCCGCTCTCAACTTGCTGGAACTTGGTCCGGAGGAAGGGAGCATTTTTGCGATTCTTGCGGCTCCTAATGTATTTTGGAGGTGCTTTACGCTATGATAAGTGAGATTTTATTGGAAGAAGCTCGACAAGATGTTTGTGACATGAGAGCTCAACACATATGAGAGCAATTCCAAAAGGCCTGCCTTATAGCTTCATCTGATGAGCAGCTTAAGTAAAGGGAAGAATATGCGCTTACGGCTGCTAAGAGATGGTTTTGCGGGTTTGGAAGAGAAAAACTTACATGAAACATGAACAAATGAATTTTTTTGCTCTTTCATCACGTGACAATGGTTTGATGAACCCGTAATAGCAAAGTCTATCTCGTTAAGGATTTTGAAACAGATAGCATGGTTATGACAGACGCAAAAGCAACCAGAATTTCTCCTTTGAATGTTGACATATGAGCCACATCTACCTCCATAACCTTCCAGATCCCAAACCCTATTTCTCACCCCATTAGGCATAGTCATTTGGCAAGGCCGTTGCATTTCTGGCATTCAGTCACGAGAACCCGTGTTTTAATGTCAACAAGGTGCTGGGCTGGTGTTTTGAGGGAGGGAGATGCCATTTCTTACAAACAACACTTTCGATGGTCTAAGGGTTCTTGTGTTTTACTTTGGGGAATTGGCAGTAAACTCTACCCTACTCCAAGACCCCAACTGCCCACCCAACCATCAGTACACAACCGTGATTCAGCTGGAAAATGATTAGTGAGAGTTTAAAATTGTCTTTAAGAAAAGGGTTTATACTTAAGAAAACATGAACTCGCGCAAATCACAATGAACCACCTCATCTATAGTTGATTATCAATCATTGATCAACTGAATCCAAAAATTACCTTGATAAAAAGATGGACAGAAAACAAATTGAAAGTTATGACCGAAAAAAATTAAAAACCATCTGGAATCTATAGTCTACTTCAATTTACAGAGATATATGATTTCGAAGACACATCAATATTCCCACCAGGAATTCAACAATAATCGTTTTTACCTGTCAGCAAATCAAGTGGAGTAAAAAAGAAAAACATGAGTTACATCCCTAACATATAATCTCAGCCGGAAGCATCATCATCGACAAAAAAGTGCGGTGGTTTCCAAGTGAGTCGCAGGGTATCCTACAAGATTTCACTACAACTTGAATCTTCAGTTACGAAGCAATAATTTCAAGTGGTTGACCTCATTTCTTTTCGTTTTATTTGGTCGCAGTGGTTCCTTGTTGGACTTTACAGGAGTTGCCTTTACCTGGAAACAATGACAGTCGAGTCTTTTACCAACCTGCCAACAAAATATCTACAAGCTCCTGTAGTCTATCACTGTGACTTCATCTTCTGGGGCATCTAGATCTTGGTAACTGCAGAAATTGAAAGCCAGTCAGCAATTCCTGTCTACAGCCTTAAAATAAACAACAAAATTCAAAGAAATTCGCATTTCAAAATTCAATAGTCGAATATTATATACTATCTTCATGTTTGACAATGGAAGAACTGGCAAACAAGTTCAAAAACCCCTAAAGGGGTGAAAATTAAACCTAAACGAGAGACTACCAGATAATACTGACAAAATCATCATAAGATGGGACCCACATGGGTCATATGCAACGATGCATAATGCCAGAAGAGGTTTAATCTTACCAACACATATAGGGCAAACAAAGCCTTAAAGACTTACACCACAAAATAATTTCACACGAAATAATGGAAAAAAGACAAACCAACCAGAAAAATATAAGAATAAAAAGAAAACCACAACTAGCCAAGCACTCGTTTTAGCATTCATAATCCACACTTGTATTCAATTATTTATGGTCATTTGTGGTAGTACGAGATTTTTCCCTGCCAAAAACATAAGGGAAAGTGGAAACCAGCAGAGCCAATATAAGGGAGAATGGAAACCACTGTTGAGGAATATATGAAGCTTCACTAATAATTTCAACCAGAAAACAAATATATATTCAGTTTGGCTCAAACACAACTCCAGATCCAGTTGGGAACACCCTCTATTTCAATGATGTTTCACACATAAGTTACCTTCTTAAACGACGAGGATCCTGTCGAAAAGCTGGAGACAAAGCAAGAATTGGGGCTGGCCCACTCATTTGGGGTCCAGACCACACATTTCTACCACTGCCTTCAAAAGGTGGAGGACCACCTTGTTCTCGCAACATTTGCATTGCAACTTCAGGTGGAGCAGGAACAAAAGGTCCTAGCGGACTGCAATGAAAACAATACAAAACCAATACATAATATGATCTCGAAAAAAGAGTGTGACACACCAATCGCACTTCAAACATAACTAAAAAATGTTCAAGAATTGTGTACATACCCAGCACCAGGCACAGGCATCAATACAGGTGGTGGGGGTATATCTGACGGAAAAGGAGGACCAACACGTACTCCTTGTCCACCAAAATTATCAAACATTGGTTCGTCGAGATTTCCTCCTTCCGGACCATCATTGTTGGACTGAAATTCACTTGATTGCATGTTATCAGACCTATCATATCTCTCGCCACCATTGACTCGATTTTCTCGTTCTCTACGATTACCACGTTCGTCTTTCAATCTATTCTCCACACCTGGCCTACGTCTCTGTGGTTTTTCCCTCTACAAATGACAGATTCAATGTGAGAACAATGAAGTACAATGCTAAAAAAACGATTAAATTATCAACTGACATTCATGGATGATTGGAAGTTGAATAACATTTAAAAACTATATAAAATATTTAGGAAAAGTTAAGTTCTTGGTTCTTGTAATAGACTACTGCAACATAAGACATCTGTTTACATCTATTTTATATTTTTCAAAGAACATATATGCGAAAATGTTAGAGAAAGTTAGAATTCACATTATGCTATGGTTCCTAAAAGTATTATTTCTATCTTGGAGTAATTATAGGTCATATGGTTCAACTCATTATGATATTTGGATCCTCAGTATAATACTAAATCGAATCTGCCTCTTGTATGGAAACACAAATACAGTGTGGAAAATCCACAACTGAAAACAAAAGTCAATTAAAAACCCATAGCCAGCTGGTATGTACCAGAAGCCAGCTGGTATGTTGCATAGATAGGGAAAGTATTACATACATAGCCGTACCAGAAACAATAATTCATTAATTTTAAAAAATTTATACCAATACAGGTTGCTGCATAATAGGAGTTCCACCAGGTGCATCTGCATCACTGCGAATGAAAGTAAATTGTAAAAAACCATATAGAGAAAACATTATAACAATTTGAATTAGAAATATAAACATGCTATCAACTAGCAAAATTTATTTTTTTAAATAGATAACATACTTCATATAATTCTGGAAATACAGCTCCTCCCGCAGTTTGGAAGTCACCTCAATCACAAGTTCAGGGTGTTTCAGTTTAAGATGTTTGTGCACAAATTCAGCAGCATGAAAGAGCTTTGTGCAACCCTTTGCTCCACAACCATACTTCCAGCCATACTTTTCATCCCTGATCTTCCGAACATAAGGATCTAAGGACTCAGAAGCAGTGGCATCTATCTTTTCCTTAGCAGTCATTATTTCCAAGGGATCTTGACTCTGCAACCTTTCTTGCCAACGCAAGTCCATTTTCTTTTCCCACTCAGCTCCATTACTCATTATGTCGGAACTCTTCCCCTCTGCTCTTACATGCCGGAGACCCTTAGCTTCGTTTGACTCACTCATTCCATAATAATCTAAACCATGGATGCGCCAAAGATAAGTAATAATGGTGTCTAGTAGCTCAATGCCCTCCAGGCCCTTGACAGATGTCAAACCCCGTACAATAATAACAGGGCCAGTGGAGCTACCATGCAACTTTTCTCTATTTTTGTCATTATCAGGTCCAGCTAAAATGTTTTCCACAATTCCTTTTTCAGAGTCAAGTTTGCGAACAAGGGCCTGGGCTTGTTCAATGTCAACTTGTATACGTCTGGGCTCAGAACTGACTGGGTGAGCCTTAGGAGCAGCTGAAAGAAGATCATTTTCTTTATTTGGTTCCCTGACATGCCTTCTCCGCTTGCCACCCACGTCAGCTTCATCATCAGAATTTGGTTCACTAGTATGTCCTGATTTATTTGGAGCCACGGAATTGACACCTGGGCCTCTGCGTAAAAAATAAAAACAATAACACTATCAGCCTGCTGTAATATACACAAGATGAAGAATCAAATACGCACAGAAAGTGTAAACAATTCTTACAAGTCCAAGGTCCCACTTTGCAGTTCAAGCAGGAAATCTTTTGCTACTTTTCGTGCATGTTCATTCCTCCTAGAAATAACAGTTGAATCCAAGAAGTTAAAATTAAAGAAAAGGAAAGAACCAGGTATGTAAGACTGAATCACCTAAAACTGAATGGACAATTGCAACAGAAAACCAATTTCCGACCAACAAAAATTCTGCTCAAATACATAATAAAGAAAAACTTCATTTGATTGAATAATAGGAGCGCACCTTTCAATGACAGTGAGTAGATTTGTGGGATGATATTTGTCTTTGAGCCTACAGACAAAAGCTAGCTATGTTAGAATGACACATGTAAACCAAAGGAAAGAAACAATGTAAAACACTATTACCAGTCCTCATCTTTATGAGCATTAAAATAAGCTCGTTTCTGAGTAGTAATATACTCCGTCCTGTATTCTTGATATCTGCATCATCAATAAGTTGAAATCACTCCCTTATTATTCAAAAAATCATAAGTTGACCATGTAATAGAACTCCAGAGCAATATCATTACTCCGTTCTGTACCTGCGCTCAGCTTCAGCTGGCAGAATGTCATCTTCAAGCTCCTGAATGAACTGTTTGTATGACATTAACCCTTCTCTGAAAAATATTATTCAGTATGTCACATTTCTAAGTGAAAATAAAATAGCCCCAAGCTTCCATTGAATAAAGTGAGGCGATAAACAATCAAACTTTTCACAATGTGAATTTGCAATTTGAAAGACAAGGGGGAGCAAAACAGATTTAAAAAGTAAATTAAACAAAAGAAAACTAAAACAACACTTTCCGATATTCATTTTATTTCACTATAAAACCATAGAAAAGAGAGCACCTAGATTTCACTATTGGTAAAGTGAAAATTATGATATCATTTTTCACAGCCTTAGATCAACTAATGCTCGAAAATTATGACATTATTTGGTCATCTCAGAAAAAATATTTCAAGAGCATTCCTTTCAGTGTAATTCCACTTGATTGGGGAGAACTTTTCTACTAGGTGCTTTATGGGCTTTTGTCTTCTGGCTTACGTTTCAGTTGTCTGATGGATTTCTTGTTCATGCTGCCTCTAGTGTGTTCTTTTCATTGTAAGAAAATTTGCGTTTCTAAGCCTACTGAAATACCCAAACACACAAAAAACAAAAAAACTAAATTCCTTTCAGCCAAGGACAGATGACAGAGTGGATTAGCTTATGCACCAAGAACCAATTTTGGGCTTCCTCCAAATTACTGGTATTTCAAAATTTCATACTCATCTAGAATAAACATGATCTTGGTCATGGCCTACATAAGCAGGACCCACTATACTAAACAGATAAACTATGCCAAACACATTGTTTAGCTATGTATGATACAATAGTAATAAGTAAACAATAGAAAGGATTTTGACTTTTCATTCCGAATCTGCAAAGAATAATATCATAAATGTACTGAACAAAAAAAGAAATGATAAATAAATTAAACGGAATTTATTAAAAGAAATAGAACTAATGTACAGGATCAAATCCTAACCTTTGGGTAGTCCCAGTGCTGGAAGCATCACCAAAACCACCGCGTCCTGAATCCCAGTCTAAGGAGGGAAAAGATATAATTAAAAATATAAAAAATAGTTGACCATTTAAAGTTAAAAGTTAAAACTGAAATTTGTAAGCGTCAAGGCAAAAAAATACATCACATCACCATCAAACAGATATCCAACCATAAACCAAAAATATGAATTAAGTTTACAGTAAAATTTGCATCTGTACCTACATACCGTAGATGTGAATGATAAATGCAAATAAAATCCCTAAAATCATGTTTAACATACGAGCATCTGGGTTGTAAGGATCACGAACGTCTCATGAACACCAAAGCTATCCTTGACTTAATAGCACTACCAACACCAGTCTCTCAGCACCTCGGCAAGCATTCGACAACAACACCAATCAATTTAAGGAAAATATTGATGCTACCAGCCACTTCCACCAACACTAATCACTCACGACCCCCAGAAAGCATTCAACAGAACTAATAGGTAGATCTCAAAACAACATCCCATATTTCATTTTACAACCACTTCTTGAGAATGTGCCAATTTTGCCAGTACTTTCTTCACCACCATCTCCTAATCATAAAATAAATTTCATATGTCCGCAATAAAGGTGAAAAGGAGATGTACCCAGGAGGTGCACATGATTAAAACTGTTAAGAGCCTTAATGCAATCCTTAAAACACTTTTGAAAATATTAAGGAGTAGTCCAAGGTCAAGTTCCCAAAAGAAAGCAAAATACTACCATCACAAAAAGGTAGACCAACCAGTAAGCATCAAACAGCAAAAGAAAAATGCTCTTTTCGAGTCTTCATATTTGCTCTTACTGATAATCTCAAATGGTTACAGAAAATGCATTAGCACCTTACAGAATTACATGATCAACAAGAGGTTCATAAAATACTAAAATTGAGCTATTTGTGGAAATATTGTTACCTAGAAAGACAATAATCATGGGAACATATATGTTTACATTAAAGTGGGCTTACCTTAAAACATGGGGCAATTTATGGCATCAAACTTGGCACCATGTCAAAATTAATTGGTCAAGTAAATAACTTTTTATATCCAAAAAAATGAATATAAACATACTATAACTACACACACACACACACACACACACACAAGCACAAACACACAAAACTGTTCTACCAGGAACTGTCTTGATCAGCAACCCTCATTGAGAAACAGGAAGAAGCTTATCAAATGATTTCCTGTATGTCGTCCCACATAAGTGACTGCATGCTGGAGCAACCCCACCCGCCCCCAAGAAAACTCCCTTTATCAGGAGGTGATCCAGAAGGACATGCAGTACAGAACTCATATATGAAAATATATTATATAAATATATATATGAATTTTATTTTTGGTCGAAATAAATATATATATGAATAAACATGTGTATATGTGTATCAATGTGTACAAGTGTATCGATGTGTATATGACTGATAAAATCAATCTATCTATTGCCAAAAATCACCAAGCAATGTACCAAACCCACCAACAATGAAGAATTTACCAATTTATCTCAAACACCCTAGATTTCTGAACAGTAATAAACAAATACTACTAAAAAGTCAAAAAGAAATGTATACACATTATTAGTCCTGTTATGTATCTCCCGATATGTCACGATGATTTTCAGCATAAACTGCCAACGGAACTCACCCAAAATGAACTTGCAGCATAAGTCAAGAGAGCTTGAAAGCAGGTGAACCGGTTAAATTAGGCATAGAAGTCAACTATCTAAAGGAGCCAGTAACCTAGAAGCAGGTCATGATTTGAAGCCAAGTAAAAACGTAAGTCAAATATTAATCATGTTTGTGGCCCGCAACATACATAACGTTTTGAATTAGAAAGAATATCTACCGGACTATTACTCTTCAAAATACCTTGACTGAAATGAAAAATTTATGTATAAGATAGAAATATGAGCAACACACATGTAAACCATATCCATCCTTCTACAATAATCAAGGACCCATATCTCCAACACAACATATAGGAAAGGAAAAGGAAAACACTTAAACCACTTAGTAATCTAATGCTGCAGTGATTAACAACTAGACAAACCATGCCTAAGCTTCCTTATTTATCGTGTCCCTTGTGTCATCCAATTAGCTAACTAAAACATGTGTAGCCTTCCGTAACACAATGTCATCTTAGATGGTTCAATTTTTGAAGATACTCAGTTTCAACACTGAACCTCCCATCCAGAATTCACCACATAAGAAAACTACATGACTTTAAATATTATAGACTTGTTAAAGTATCTTATCATGCGAATCTTACAACTACTTAATTGGCTATCTCTTAAGCACATTAATGAATAAGAATTTCATCATATTAAAACTACAAAACACCCACAGAAAACTGCAAAAACATTTAGGAACTTACCAGGAGGACCATAGCCACCAGATGACCGTCCAGCATACCGACCATGAGGTCTTTCGTCAGCATAACCAGGTCTACCCCCCATCTCACGGTCATATCCAGTATAATCATATCCAAACCTATGCATCAAAAGATTAAAGGAACAACGTTCAAGGAAGTTCGACACGGGAAGACCATATAAAGCCAAATATTTCAAACCATATATATTAGGAAAACCAACCATAACCTGATTCTTATAAATATGCAGAAATTTCCTACATATACGCAAATGAGAGAAAATACAAGCATTAAAAGGTACCATCAATGGAACTACAGCAATGGTGGTATTTTTTGGAACAAAAGGTGCATCTACAGCAAGAGACACCTTCAGGTCCCATTCCTCATATAACATTAAGGCCTTTTTTCTATTTATTAGTTACAAGGAAATATTTACTTACGTAAGCATGTTTAATAAATTGCAAGTGTAGTAAGAATAGAGGAAAACTTTTGGTTATGACAAACAGAATACCAACTTACCCCCTACTTCTCTAAGAACAAATTAGGGGTACCAATTTTACATAATCACTCTTATTCAGGTGTATATGCTACTTTGATTTCATAATTCCTTCTAATTGTATAGAACATTTAACTTTTAGGGACAAGTGATGAAAACCTCTCTAATTTTCAAGCTTTTACAATATTTCAACGAATCAATTAGAATTGCAAGGTATTTCATACAAAACGTCTCTCACCATTAAAGGTCTCTTATAGTTTGTACCAACACATAAATCATAATCCATCAGACAACAAGTAGTGGTTACAACGGGATAGCTCATGATAATGCCACAAAGATGATTAAAACACGATAAAATCAAGCTACACGAATCCATAAAACAAAATATTCGGATCTGAATTTTAAAACAGAACCCCTCCAGAAGAAATTCTATGAATCAAAGAATAGATGCCTTTTGTATTCTATTCTTCACCAAATATTAAATAGAGGCAATGTATTCAGTGCCATGACTTCGTTTTAAGTAGTATGGTCCTGTAACATTGTTATAGGATTCAATCATCAAAATGCAGCAAAACTCTCGTAGTGGATATATGGGTCTTATAGATGGAAGTAGTTGGGGATAATTCACAGCTTATGTTCTCAAATCTCCAGGCAATGCTTCAATTTGCACCTACTCAAGTCATTCCCTCACAATCTCTCAGTAAACTAACAGCAAATAAAGCATTCATCCAAGATCACCAGTAAAACTCAGGAAAAACCACCAACACACACTCACCTCCTATCCCCAGGACCAAACCCTCCTCTGGGACTCCCTCTCCTGCCCTCATACCCTCCATCTTCCCTCCTGGACCTCTTGAACTGCGGCGGTGGAGACCTCCGAGTCGGCGAGTGCCTTCGGTCCCTGTACGGAGGAGGAGGACTGAGGCTGCTCCGGCGCTTATAGCCCCTCTCTCTATCTCTCTCCCTCTCTCGAATAGGCGGAGGCGGAGGAGAACGATTTCGATCGTAGTAGTCGGGCCGGCGACTCGGAGGGCGGTCGAGGTCCCTATCGTCTCGACCTTCGTCCCTGTCGCGCCTTCGCGTGGGTGGAGGGGGCGGGGGCGGAGGCGGTGCTTCTTGCTGCGGAGACGATTGGGGGTCTTCGGAGGACTTCTCTTTGCGGTCGCGACGGCGGTCCAAGGACTCGACCGGCATGTTCATGATCTCGGCCATGGAGTTTGGGGATTTGGAGAAGGCGGAGAGAGGGTGGAAGAAACCCTAGAATAGAATGAAACGCTGAAACGACTCAATGACTAAAATGACTAATGGGAGAGAGAGAGAGTCGATGAGAGGCCGCGGGTGAAAAGAGTCAATTTCACTAATTGGGTGTGAAATGTCATTTGAATAGTGGATTGGGTGGGTGGCGTTTTATTTTTTTTCACTCATCAAGCATGCACGGCGAGTCAATTTCACAAATTGGGTGTGAAAAAAAGTACGTGGAAATTCATTTTGTTTTATTAATGCGGTTTGCTTGTAATAAACTTATGTTGATAAATAAGTAAAAAGTTATTTAATTTGTTATATAAATTTCTCCTCTCCTTGCAAGCTAACTGGTTTTCATTTCTTTTGCTAAAGTAAATTAAATGTATAGGTTGCAGAGGTTGTTGCAACCAACTTAGTTAATGAAATGTCTAACATAAGTTGTGGTTGAATGTTTTTATTTGTTTTCATGTTTTTTAGATTCTAAATATATGCTATGGTTTTAGGTTTTCTTTTTGGTCACTAGTGATATGTTTTTCATTAAGATGAAAGAGAGCATTCTAACCGTGGAAGTGTCAAGATGAAAGAAAAATTCATGAGTATTCTAACAAAATTCTAAACATGCATAAGAGAGGCAATATTATGGGTTGCAACCAAAATGTCATCAAATTTCATTATCACCAACTAAGCAACAATATTACATGTACAACCTTTACCCTTCTATGATGTTGCACAATCCAAAAAACAAAATGTGCAATCTCTATTAATTCAATTCCCATGCACAAAATGTACAAGTATGATCTCATTTCATATGTTGGTTTTAGAATATCATTGCACTCAAAGGCGATCCTACAGCCAGGGAACTCAATTCCCATGCACAAAATGTACAAGTATGATCTCATTTCATATGTTGGTTTTAGAATATCATTGCACTCAAAGGCGATCCTACAGCCAGGGCAGGGTAGGCTACCGCCTACCCAAAAAAATTTCACTAAAAAAAAAACTATATATAAGCAAAGTAATTTATACCCATTACATGTGATGGTATAAACCCTTGCCTACCCAGCCCATGTAAAACCCATACCACATGTGTTAAAGCCCACTCAAACTTTAAAAAAAAGATAAAAAAAATTATAACCAGCCCATATTATGGAATGGCCCAGTCAGACTTTAATAAAAGGGGAAATATAACTTATAAGCAGCCAAATAGTGGCTGTGCAATTCCAGACAGAGTCGGCAGCTTCTTCTCAACTCAACAGTCTTGGCTGTGAAATAGTCAAGCTGTGCAATCATGGACAACCCCTTCTCTTCTCATATACAAGGAAACAAGTATTCTTCTTAATCTCTTCTCTTTAATTATCTTCTTCTATTGGGTTATTCTTAAAATAAATGTATGCATCTTAGTTTTAATTTTAATTTGAAATTGAGTTTTCTAGGGTTTAATTAGGAATGAAATATAATTTGGGGATTTTGTTGAAATTAATTAGGTCTTTGATTTTAAGAATTTTGTTGAGATGTTTGATTTGATGTTGGCATTGTTGAGATGTTTGATTTGTTGTTGGTATGTTAATGTTTGAGTAAATTCATTGATGCTATTATGAGAAATTGTTTGATTTTTTCTTGGGATGTTTGATTAAATAGGTTATCTTTTATTATGTCGGATCATAATCGAAACCTCAAGAAAACAAAGAATTTGTTCTCTTTTTTAAGAAAAATAATGATGGGTCATCATCTTCTAGAATGCCTCCCATTTGTGATGAGCCAAATCTTCTCTCTTCTCTCATTGTCAAGCCTCAAGTTGAAAGAGTTGAGACTCAAAGAGTTGATAGTGGTCAAGATTTTAATATCAATTATCTTGAGCGTGATCCGGATTTACGTCGTCAAATATGCCAATATTCGGTGAATGAACAAGATAATTTGCAAAAGCCTATATTATTTTAGGACCTTGTCAACCGGAGTTACAAGCCATTTATTGTGGTTTGGTAAATTCCCTTGGCTTGAGTATTCAATTGCTAAAGATTTGGCATTTTGTTTTCCTTGCTCCCTATTTGACATGAATTATTCACATTCAATCTTTACTATTCATGGATTTCAAAATTGGAAGAGAATTGGTGGTAATCAATGTGTATTTCAAAGTCATGTAGGCAAGCTAAATTCTCTACATCATCTTGCTATGCAAAAGTGGGTTAGCTTAAAAAACTCATCTCTTCATATTGAAAATGTGGTAGATAAGAAATCAAAGCAACAAGTGATGGACAATCGGTTGCAACTTACAACCACAATAGATGGCATTCGGTATCTAGCAAATCAAGCATTGGCTTTTCGAGGTCATGATGAATCCATTGACTCATCTAACCGGGGCAATTTCGTTGAAATCTTAAAGTCTTTTGCAAGAATGAATATAGAAGTTGAGAAAGTTGTTCTAGATAAGGCTCCTCATAATGCTCAATATAGTGCCCATGATATACAAAAATAGATCTTGCATATTTTTGCTACCAAGGTGAAGAAGAAAATTTATACCGAACTTGGGAAGAACAAATATTATATTCTTGTTGATGAATCACTTGATGAATCAGGCAAGGAACAAATGGCTATTATTCTAAGATTTGTTGATTGTGATGGATTTATTCGTAAACACTTTTTTGATATTGTGAGTGTCGTAGACACTGATGCCTTGACTCTTAAACAAGAGATATGCAAAGTGTTTGATAATAACGTCATTCTAGTGGAAAACATGTGTGGCCAAGGGTATGATGGTGCTAGTAATATGCGTGGTTCATGAAATGGATTACAAGCATTGTTTCTTCAAGATTGTCCATATGCATATTATGTGCATTGCTTTGCTCATCGCTTGCAATTAGCATTAAATGGTGCGGCTAAAGATGTGAAGGTTGTATAGAGAATTTTTTCAATGTTGACTAACATTGTGAATTTTGTTAGTGCTTCTGCTAAGCGCCGTAATGAGTTAAATTTAATTCGAAAAGCTGAACTCAAAGAGTTGTTGGATTCTGGGGAACTTGAGACAGGTAGAGGACTTAATCAAGGTCGTAGTTTGAAACGAGCTGGAGCCACTCGTTGGGGATCTCACTTTGCCTTTATTACAAGTTTAATGAGTTTATTTAAAGAGAATAAAATACTTATTCAGAAATCAGTGAACATGGACCTAACCAACAATTTCGTGGTGATGCAGAAAGTAATTATATTGCTATGATGTCTTTTGAGTTTGTGTTTGCATTGCCTTTGATGGATAAAATTATGGGATTGACCAACTTTCTCTGTCAAGTGTTTCAAAAAAAAAAACTCAAGATATTGTAAGTGCTTTAAACTTTGTTGAAAACACAAAATCACAGTTCCAAGATATGAGGGCACATGGTTGGGATGATTTATTCATGAGTATGGTATCATTTTGTGAACAACATGGTATTGATGTTCCTGATATGAGTTCTTGTTATATGATGGGCACACGTCATTCTTGTCAACAAAAAGATTTTATTACAGTTGAACATTACTATCGCATTGATGTATTTAATGATGTGATAGAATGCATGTTGAGAGAATTAAATGACAGATTTCCAGAGCAAACAGTTGAACTTCTTATTCTTAGCTCAACATTGGATCCTCGTAATTCCTTCAAATCATTCAATATTGGGCATCTATGTAAACTTGCTGAGAAATTCTATCCTGCTGATTTCAGTCCAAGTGACTTAAAAGGTTTGGAAATTGAGTTGAGGTATTTTCAAAATGATATGCATCGCCTTCCCTGCTTTAAGGACCTCACCACTCTTCCTCAGTTATGTTAACAATTGGTGGAAACAATTTTGGCAAAAAACTACCATTTGCTTTACAGGTTGATTCAGTTGGTGTTGACTCTTCCTATTTCTACAACAACAACGGAACGAGTTTTTTATGTATGAGAATTATTAAGAATAGACTTCGAAGCACCATAGCTGATGAATTCCTTGTTGATTGCATGATTCTCCACATTGAAAGAGAGTTTGCTAATAGTATCGATAATGAAGAGATAATTGAGGAATTTAAGATTTGTAAGCCTCGTAGGGTACAATTTTAGATTAAAATAGTTTAGTTTTTGTGTTGCATTGCTTTTTTTTTTTTTTTGTTTTTTTTTTGTTTTTATTTATGTATAGATATGCATATTTGAGGGTAAGGCTCATTACGTCTCCTCTTATAAGCCCACCATGTTTTGAGATTTCAATGAACTTTTCTTCTACCTTTTGCAAATAGTATCATGAGTGAGGTATCCATTTGGAATTAATATTTTCATTTCGTAATTTGATTTAACAGCCAAAATGGGAAGACTTAATTGGATTCAGCCAAATATTTCGTGATTGCATACATTCGTTATCGAGTTGGCAATTATTGCCTCTCAATTTAGATCCACAAGTTTCTGTAAATGAGGTTATTCTTTTTGTCACAAATTACGTTCATACTTTCATTTCCATGCTTCGCATCAATTGCCAAAATGGGAGAACCTAATTAGATATGTAAATCTGATTGCATTCCACTAATAATTTTGCGAATGCAATTACTACAAATTGACACATATAGGATTGCATACTTGGTCGCCTGATGCTATGGAGGGTCCCACTATAGTAATCCAATATGTGTAAATAATATCCGTCTTGGTAAGCGCAGTAGGCCAACCATAATTAGTCTAATGTCTGGGTGCGTATGGCAGTACATTGATTAGTGCATAATTGTATATCATTTTGTACCATTCTAACTTATGATTTGGTTACGATTTTTAGTTAAACTTATGCTTTTAATCTCTTTTATGTTTGTCATTCAGTTAATTGAGCTTTAGGTAGCATTGGTGGCTTTGGATAGAAAAAAGATCTAAAATGATGCAAAAACATGCAAAACTAGAGACTGAGTTAGCAACTTGTTTCGGACTTAACATCTTCATCTGACCTTGGATTGGCCCAAATTACATGTGGTTGGAAATATAACACTCTGGACTTCAAGTTGGAGGGTCAAAGTCGTCATTTGCTAAAGGAAAACCCATATTTAGGATGTAACATAGCATGAATATTCTTGGTTTATAACCCTCAAATACACACCATTAAGCCAACACCATAACTCGAGACATAGCCCAGAAATTCATACACTGCAAATTACCAAAACATCATTTTAAGCTTATCTGTCATTCCCTACAAATTTCTCCTTTCTCAACCATCATCACTCACCCAAATCACCTCCTTAACCTTCATACATCCTTATATGTGGAGAAGCTCTTGGAAAAACATTGGACACCACAAGAACTTCAGAAAATGGTTTTTCTACTCTTATTGGTATTAATTATGTTTTGTCAATTATGTTTATGTTATTTTGGCATTATGAGTAGCTATATTCATTTCTAGGGTTTCGATGTAACATAACATGAATATTCTAGGTTTATAAGTTTCAAGTTTTAAGTTTGATTCAAGATTCTAGTTCTTATTCATTATGCTTATAAGTTAATATACTTGTTTTAATGATTGATCACCATTAAAACTTGTATGTTAGCTATCTTGGTTGGAATTAAGAGTAGACACCATATACCTTAATTCGAATTGAACTATGAATAGGAAGAGTATGTATTCGACAACAGAGATTAGATACATGCTTGGTTGTTTAAAACATTCGTCTATGCTTAATAGATTTCTAATGCTTGATTTATGTTCGACAACAAGGACTTAATTAGGGAATTAGGAATACAAAGTTAGGACTAAACACAATGGCTTAATCATACTTTAGCTAGAATCAATCTTTGAATCTAAATTAGACTAATGACATCCTTATAACCCAGGATTGGATTGTTATGGTGAATCGAATGCCCTGGTCTCCAAATTTGTTTTCCAACCCTTAAGCCACTCTTCGATACACTTGTTCACTTTGCTTTTGTTTGCAATTTCGCTTTGCTTCATTTGTTTTCATGATCACAATTACTCTTACTTTAAATTCTGTTGGGTAATTTTCATTTTATTATGTTGAAGTTTACTGAGTTTCAGTCTTCGATACATCAAGTTTTTTTCGTCTCAGTCGCATCCGTAAAGTTTATTTTCATATCACTTTCATACGTACATAAGTTTGATTCTCAACTTTTCTGTTAAGTAAAGATGCGGCAGTCAATGTTGCCACGTGGACTCACCCATATATTGCCACGTGGACTAAATAATTAAAATATATTTTTATTTATTTAAAAATTTTAAATATATATAAAACAGTAATATAAATTAATATTATATTATTTAAAATAAAATAAAAATAAAGCACTTTCTCCCCTCACCTCTCATCTCCACACCCAAACCCAACCCACACGCATCCACACCTGCCACCACACCACCCCACCATCCTTACCCACAAACTTAGGCCCTACACCCACCCACAATCTCTGTGAACCCCATCATACAGTCGGCACACTATGAAAGCAAGCAATAGTCGATCTAGATTTTGCGAGCACCGAAGAAGGAGATGTCATCATCGTTCAATTCCCAAACCACCTAACGTGGGTGGGGTTGGAGGCGACGTTAGTTTTACCCTTGAGTTTGCAATGCCAACTTATTTATAAAAAAATTAATAATAAAAATAAATTGATATAACAAAAATAAATATTTTTTTTTGATACAACCCATAAACCAACAATAAACAACTATGACTTATGATCCCTTTTTTCTTGTAGTGATTAGAGTCCACATGTGCAAAATTTGGAAACCAAAAGTTATTGGATCTGATGATCAATTCGGTGGTTTGTAATGCATATTGGTGGATGAAATTGTGAGAAAATCATGATGTTATATTATTTCGATTTGGTTATGATAGCTTCACTGGGAGATAATTCAATCCAACTCAAATAGAATATTGGTTGACTTTGAATCAAAATTCAATCCAGTGTTAGCAAATGCATTAATTGGTTAGTCATATTCAATAAATGATGTGTGAATGCGAAAATTCTACTATGGGCATGGTGTATCCATGCACCCAAATTATCAACCATTGGATGAGTAAGTGGAGATATGGGTTAAATCCACACCATTGAATGTTGGTAACCAGTTAAAATGGTTGCTATAGGTAAAAGTGAACAAAAGAAAAATTAAACTAAAAAAGAAAAATTGAACAAGAAAAGAAGAATAGAACGATACAAAGGGAGAAGGGCAAATAAGATCTTGAACTGCTGAGGCAATCTCACCGACTCTCTCTTTCATCTCTCCCTCTCTTCCCCTACATGTGAATCGCTTGATTCTCGGGATGGAATTGAGAAGATTTTAAATTTGGGTGTCCACATTTTGCGTGGTTCATAAAAAACCAGTGCAAACGAGTTGCTGAAACGTATTGAAGTGGCCATTGCAAAGGTAAAAGTAGTAGTTTTATAGTAGTTTATCCTTGTCCACCCTTGAGTTCCCAAAGACCAACAATATAACATTTTGCTATATTGATTAGCTCAAATGTGGGACCTATCTTGAAGTTATTTGGAAAGAGGAAGACAATATTTGAGGTATTTCTATGGGTAATTTTCCTTCTATAAAATCAAGTAATTATGTTATGAAAAGAAAACCAGAAAAACTAAGCAGAAATTAATGCAGCCCAGGAAGCAACTAAGTAGAAGTTAATGGGTTTTCGTTTTGCTGAAAAGAAGACCATTGTAATTTGAGTTTTTTTTCACAGACAAGAAACACAATATGATCAATGTCAATATCTTTATCTTCTTTCATGTTGGGCATATTGTTGATGTTGGAAAGTTTGTGACTCATTCGAAAAACATTAGGTATAATTTCTTAATTGTAATGATATAATGAAATCTTACATTGAGGTCATTTTCAGCTCATGCAATTACCAAATTGTAAGGGGGTTTTTGCAATTTGTGTTCATACTTGGCATGCAATTGGGAAGCCTTTTTATTTTTAGAATGCAATTACCAACTGATTAATCTATTATTACAATTACTTGTAATGCAAATGCCATGATATTTGTAGCCTTGCATTTTGGTAATGGAAATGCAAGAGGTATTTCAATATGTCATTTTGAATCCAATTATCAATTGCTTAGTCCGATTTTGCAATTCATGTATCCATATTGCCATGTTATTGATGGCCTCTTAAATTTTGTGAACATATGTGATTTGTCAATACAATTAACAAACAGTTACTTCTAATTGCATTATAGTCTTGCAATTGACAAACATAACAGTCTCTTTGCATTCTTGTCGTGCAATTGCCATTATATGTGCGCAATTATGAAACGTAGAATCACTCATTAATGACTAATCCTTCATAATTTAATTGTATGTTTATACTTCTACTAAATGCTTGATGTGTATCAATTTATTTTCATATTAATTATACCATGAAATACATATTGCCTATTTTCAGGAAACGGATACAGAAACAAGAAAAAAGAACAGAAAAAAGGGCCAAAACTCCGTACCTAACAGTGAAGGTTATTTTGCAGAGGCTAAGTCACTTGAAGAAACTGAAAATGTCCCATCTTTACAGTTTTTAGATTGTAGAACAGAAGAAATTACTGAAATAAGCGGACACTTTGAGTATGATTGGTTAAACTTCCAAAATATGAGCATTGCTGATTTAGTTGGGAGAGAGTTTGCAAAGTTTGAGGAAGCAGAAAGATTTTACTGGAACTATGCTCTTGCAATTGGTTTTAGCATAAGAAGAAGTCGTTTGAGACGTAGCGAGGGTGGGGTTGTGATGGGAAGACAATGGGTTTGCTCAAAAGAAGGGAGTAGAACAAAGAAATGGACGAATAGAGATGATATGATTCGTACACCAAGGAAAGAGACTAGAGAGAATTCTCACGCTGCATTTGCTGTGAAGTATTGTTTGAAACGGGATGCTTATATTGTGACTAAATTTGTAAAGGAGCACAACCACCGACTTGCTAACTCACGTGAAGTGCCTTTTCTTCTTTCCCGTGGTGTGTTACGGAATCCGACATAGCACAATCTATTTTTATGAGAAAAGTTTCTATTAAAACCAGTCGGACATATGACTATATGGTTGACCAAGCGGGTGGATACATGAAAGTGGGATTCACTAGTAAGGATTTATATAACAAGATGGATTTTGAGTGTCGACAAGTGGTAATGGATAGTGATGCACAAGCAGCAATAAGCTACATGAATGCCAAGGTAATAGCAGACCTGTAATTTTTTTGCATGTTTAGTGTAGATGAGGAGAATATATTGGCAAATTTGTTTTGGAGAGACTCTCAATCTCTACACAATTATCGTTACTTTGGGGATGTGTTGATATTTGATAGCACGTACAAGATCAACGTATATGACAAGCCTTTAGTTGTGTTTGTTGGTGTAAACAACCATCACGAGACTACAATTTTTGGTTGTGCATTTCTTGTTGATGAGACTGCAGATACATATCGTTGGGTACTCATAACTTTTTTGACTTCTGTGAAGGACAAAAAGCCTGTATCTATTGTCACGGACGAGGAAGAGGCAATGCGCATAGCGATTGATGAAGTTTTTCCCGATGCACATCATCGTTTATGTTCATGGGACATCATAAGGAATGTGAACTCCAATGTGAATAACCCAAAAATTGTAAGGGAGTTTAGCTATTGTGTGCATAGTGGTTTGACACCAGTGGCGTTCGAACAACATTGGCAGCATATGATAGATACATATGATCTAAAAGACGATTAGATCGAGATGATGTACCGTAAACGGAAACGATGGGCTGAAGCGTATTGCTTGGGGCATTTTTTTTGTGGGAATACCACCACACAATGTGTTGAGGGTATGCATAAGAACTTGAAGGATGGAATTTGTACATGCATGAAGTTAGTGGAGTGTATTCCACAGATTGAAAGATCCTTATTGAAGTTGAGAAATGAGAATGTGAAGGATGACTTTGATTTGAACAATTCACACCCACTCCTTCTTACGCACTCTCGATCACTAAAGGAATATGTAGCTTTTATTTTCACTCACGACATTTACAAGTTGATAAGAAATGAGATAAACAAGGAGGCAAAATTAATTCTCGTGCAACCCGTAACAAACAATGAAGATCCTCGTGTTTACAAATGTTCCAAATTTGGAACACCCGATGAGAAATAGACTGTAGTGTACTACCAGAAAGAGCAACATCTTCAGTGTTCATGCAAATTATTTGAATCCAGTGGAATTCCGTGTTGTCATATGTTTGGAGTTATGAAATGTGATCATATGGAGCAAATATTTCCGACCCTAATAATGAAGAGATGGACAAAGGATGCAAGACGTGGGAGTGAATTTGTAGTCAAGTCGGATGATGTTCCCACTGAAACTGTTCAAATGGCTAGGTTTGGGTCCTTAAGTGCTGATTTTAACAAGCTTTGTTTTTATGGGTCGCAAATAGAAGTCACTTACAAGAGGCTAAAGGCTGAATTTGGGAGATTAAGTACTTTGGTTGAGACATGGAAGGAGCAACATGAACAAACTAGTCTTAATCTAGGATGCTATAATAATGTTGTAAGAGACCCCGTAGTTGTTAAGACAAAGGGGAAGCAAACAACGAGAAGCGAAGACAAATGGCCGTACAATGCTGAAAGTGCAAGGTTACTGGCACTACAAGAAAACATGCCTTTTGTGAAGAGGGGTAGTCGTCACTGAAACATGGAATTTCGTCACAATTGAGTATATGTGACGTAATTTTAGCGTCACAGCTTTCGTCACCTATACCCCGTCACTGATTCTCCCACGTGACGCTTTCTCTCTTCGTCACATATACCTGATATGTGTGACACATACCGTGTCACTGTACGTCGGATTATGTGGCTATCCGTTAGTCACTTCCTACGGCTATTAGTGATGCATGATTTGGGTCACAGTTTAGCTGCATCTGTGAGGAGTTATTCCTCTCCTAAACTTGGTATAAAATGCTCCTTCCTATACAATACGTGACCTTTTAGGCGTCACATATTTATGTAGTGTGTGATGACACGCGCATCACATATGTTTTTAATGTGTGACGATGCACACGTCACATAATTTTGTAGTATGTGACGATGTATACATAAGATGTCTTTTTAATTGTGACGATATTGGCATCACATATTTCTTCAGATTGTGATGAGGTCTGTGTCACACATGTTCCATACCAAGGTACCTAATTATGAATAATATGTGCAAATCCAATCACAATTATCAGTTCTCATCTTTTTCAATGTATAGTATAAAAATAGATAATCGCATTTCCATTAATAAAAGCAGGTAATTACATTGTATGTTCCAAAATAAAGATCCCAAACTAAGTCTACACTTTGTACAACCAAAAGTAAGTCTAGAGCAAATGTGTTCCAAAATAAAGATCCCAAACTAATTCTAGACTTTGTATAACCAAAAGTAAGTGTAGAGCAACTATGTTTCAAAATAAAGATATGAAACTAATTCTAAACTTTGTACAACCAAAAGTAAGTCTAGAGAGCAAGTGTATGTTCCATATGGATATAATCCCTAAATCAGTTCTCATCAAGATTCTGGTTTGCTAGTTCATCGTAATAGTCATCATCAGAATGGACACCATTACTACCTTTAGAGCTGGTGCTAGTATGGCCCTCAACCTCTTAACTCTCTTCACTCTCTTTCTTCGCTGCCCAGGAGTTGTCATCTATAAAATGAAATGATAAGAGTTAGAACAAAATTAATATCAGATATAATATTACAGTAAAAGCATATCCAGTGTTAATAAACATAACATTCATAATATCATTACTCTAAAAGCTCACCAAAAACATCAATCTAAATCACTATATCCTTCAATAATGAGCATGCATATAACATATATTACACAAAAGCATTATACATTCAATAATGGAATAAAAAAAAAAAAAAAAAAAAAAAAAAAAAAAAAAAAGAAAGACATCATCAGGATGAAGGACTTATGCAGCACCAAATTGATTTCCATCAGGATTAGCCCCACTAATTACAAAATCAAGCAGATAAATTAGTACCAACATTTGTAATCTGACCTATGTTGTAAATGATGATTCATGATTATTTTAATAAAATGAGTAAATTTATTACCATTATCAAAGTCAAAAGCTTTGGATTTAAAATTTACACTATCCCACCACAGCAATTGCCAAGACCAAAAGGAAAGTAAATAAATTAACTTATTAAATTGTATATGGCATTCCAAAATCCAAAGCACCAGAGCAAGCTTGAAAGGGATGAAAACAGAGTTTACCTACTTTTGGGTTTACTGAAGTTTTAAGAGTGACAATAGGGTCACACTTGTTCTGCTGACTCACACTTCATCATCCTTGTTATCTAAATCCTGTGAAAAAACTAGAGTACTGAGTTATCAGAATAAAAAATAAAAGGCAATAAAATTCTAACTAAATCTAAATGGAATTTTCCTTGGAAGGCGGCTTTATCAGCATCTAGTGTAAGAGATACAAAGGCAAACCAAACCAGAAAATGTCCTATATTCAAGTCTCAAAAATGAAAATCATATGGTTCATAGAAATAACTGAAATTAATGGCAAAATAAGAATCCATAACAGCACCCACAATATCCAATCAGAAAAACAACTTGTGATATATAAAAGAATGAAACCCATATGAGATTCATACGTTGAGAGTCAAGATTCTGAAGACAACAGGATTATCCAACATTATAATAACAGAAAATATGAAGAACCTAAAATAATAAAAATGACACAGTGCAGGGATTTGGCCAAAGTAGAGATATACCTGTTTGGATCAATGATTGGATCATTTTCATTACACTAACAACAAAAAGCAATAATAATAATAAAATTTCTATAGCGCTTGCTTGCAACAACAAATCTGATGCAAATAATCAAAATTTTTTTTATAGTGCTTGCTTTAAACGTTCAAAATAATCAAATTGGTAAGATCCCATTCCAATATCAGTTTTTCAGTCCCAACTTATAGAGTTCAAGAGTTACAAATATCCAGAATCTGGACAAGACGTTTATGTGAAGCTAATCAAAATAGTTGAAAAAATACGCAATTACTCAACGTTTACTTTCCTCTTGAACCTAAAAGATCTTAAAACTTAAATTTATTCCTTTTAGCTTTCACCAACCCATGACATTTTTAAGTGCCCAATTTGAAGTGAGCATTCATAACGCAGTGAAAGCTACTCAAATACAACCCAATATACATAATTAGAAAGAAAAAGGAAAAAAATGGCAAATTGGGCTTACCAAAGTATCATCTGAAGTGCCAACAACAATGTATTTGCAATTTTGTGCTAACTGAATGAAAGAAATTGGGGTTTCTCATCATCAATCACTTGTTGTCTTATCGTTTGTGATAATAGAAGTGTGAAAAATTGGGGTTTAAACCTGTAAAGGCATACCTTCTTCAATCTTTCTTCTTGAAAAGCAAGTCAAGAACAGAGGGATGGTTTATGGAGAATTTGGTGAGAAAGAGCTAGAGAAACAAGAGTAATATGAGAGAGAGAGAGACGCAGTCTGAGAAGAGATGAGAGAGGATCTGGGGTTAAGTGTGGGTTAGGGTTGGAGAGAGTATATGAGGGTTAACACGCACCAAACTTAAATTTGGTGAAAAAAAAGAGCGGCACGCAAAAAAATTGGGGGAAAAAATTTGTGACACCCTTAAATATTATTTGTGACCCCCCAAACCTCATAAATAATTGGTGGTCTCTCCCGCCCAAAACCGCTAGACTATTTGTGAGGGATTTTGCCTTCCTCCAAAATTGCAGATGTCTTCGTTGTCTTATGAGTGACGACTTGATATGTGACGACTTTACAAGCCTCACTTTTTATTTGGTCACATTAGCCTTTTTTTCTTGTAGTGATAGGTGACGCTGCCAATCTTCACCGAATAAAATTTATGGGCCTTTGTGACGAATGTGCATTATTGGTCACATTTAGTAAAAAAATGGGGCGCCAATATTTCCCGCTATTTAATATGTGACGACATTGGAATTGTAACGTGACGAACATGGAGCGAAAATTTTTTTCTACGTCCCTTCAAGAAGTTTAGGTGGTGACTTGCAAAATTCTCTCACTTATACAAGCCAAATGTGACGAAATTTTCAGCGCCACGTAAAATTTGGTCACAGAAGGCCTATTTTCTTGTAGTGTGGTCACAACAAAACAAACTGTCCAAATAGCATTGTTGGTGATAGAGGTAAGCGGAAAAGGGGTTATACAAGTGACGGGAGCAACATTTTTTCTAATTTTGGACCATAAGATGATAAAATTGTTGGGAACAGAACATTTTATTCCTCCTTGAGTGCTGGTCATGGGACTAAGACGTTCTATTCTTTTACAACTCCTAACTCGGGCTTTTCATATGGCGAAGTGTCTAGTGGCTCCACTCGTTACACCTCTGATGGTTTCACATTTGAGACACCCAAGTCTAGTGTATTGGAATCACAATTTGACACGCAAGGCTCGCCACCTAGAGATCATAATAGATTTTGGGTTCCATTCACCCCAATAAAATGACATGGATTGTAGTACTTCCACTATATATATGATTTAGGTTTTATGTACGAAATATTCATTACAACCATATTATTCATGTATTTCCCCAACTTTTAGCATGACACATATCAATTATGTTATTTTGTATCTATGTTAATGTTATATGTATGAGTTTTGATACATTAATATTTATATATATTTTTTATGATATTTTGTTATGATTTTGCATGATTAGAATGGTCAGATGCAATAAATTCCATTGTTTTTAATCTTTAGGTTAGGCGCTTAATTGCGAAGATACATGGAAAATGAGAAAAATGAAATGGTAGAGTTCTTTGGCAATTGCCAAATAGTGGATATGATTTTGCAACATGAAATGGAAATTACACATTGTCTGTTTGTTGCTTTCATTGTCCAATTCAGAATGTTTTCACCATCAAACTTTCATAATTGAGTTAGTCAGATATAGTCATTCTTAATGTTTGTTAAAGTACAAATTAGACATAGTGAACAACTAGTCTTTATGGGCAAGATCCTTTACTTGCACCCTATACTATTTTTCAATTTGTGCACTATTGTTCATAATGTGCACTTGCACGTTTAACTTCGAGTAGTTTGAATCTATTAATTAGGTTCAAAAAAATATTTTCACACAAAATTCTTTAAATATCAATTTGCATTGTTTATATAGATTTACTATGGTAGTCAATCTATGGTAGGTCATAAAGTTATTACAATGTGGCTTTAAATTTGATATAAAAAATAAATAAATAAAACTAAAGCTCATGACTACCTTAAGTTATGTCCAACTCACCGGATTCATTTGGAATGTGAGAGGAGTAAGGGCCGTTTGTTACACAAGGTTGACCTGGACTAAATTTAGTACCATGTTGTTTCATGTTACACAAGGTTGAAGTGGAACCACAATTCTCTGTGAACAAACTTTTTACGTCGTTGTGACCCATTTTATCATAGTGCCCATAAATCATTACAAAATAGCATTTACAAATCAATATAATTGAAACAAACATATATTGGATGATACAAAGAATCTGCATAAAATAAGGACATCTTTGTTATTACATTGGGAGAAAACCAAATAAAAATACATAGTACAATGATTTCTGCAAATCCAATATTCGATGATTGTCATTATCCAAACATGTAAACCTACAAGTGAAATTATGAAAACACATACAAACAAGCTACAACCAATACTCATCATACCTCATTATAAGGTTGTTTTGCATGTTTTTTCTCACGGATGACTTCAATAGAGGGAGCAAAAGTTTTATCAAGATTTGTAAATCCTTTCACATTGTCACCTTGGTCGTTGCGAGTTCCGTCTTGTTTGTCTGTCCTAATTTTTTGACGTTTAGTATTTCCAGGGTCTACTTGTCCCCTATCGTACACCTCATATCAAACATGTTATCATCTTCCTTATTCAGTTTAACTTCCTGTTGATGATGGCATGAAGTGCGCAATGTTCTTTCTTTCTCTTCATTTTTTATGATAACTCATAAATAACCTTGGAGAGTGATTCGTTCATACGAGCAACAGTGGCCACCAAAGTTGCCACATCCTTTCTTATTAAACTTAACTCTTCGGCAAAGTGAGTCATTGTTTTCGCATAATCTCTGAGACCTCCAGATTTAGTTGTGGTAACAACTACCTTATCACTTTCAAACCACCCCATTTTTTGTAGCCACTTCTTTATTTTTTCGGTCTCTATTTTCCCCCACACAGTGAGTGGTAGCACAGATCTGTCCACAAGTACACTATCATGAGCTATAGCATCAAGGTAAAACAATTGAAGGAATAACAAGCAACCACCAATATAAACTTGATTGTTCTCCTTAAATGACCTGACACTATCTAATAAAAATTTGAATGAATAACTTGCCCAATTTTTCCTTGCTATTGCCTTGCTATCTCTTAACAGAAGCAGATATTTTAAATTCACATACACGGAAGTGGTTGGACATAGCAATGTGCATAGAGCAAACATGGCAAAACCAACTTTGAAAAAGTCACCTGCTTCTTCTGTCCCCACCACCATCTGCTTCAACTCATTACTCTTTAAAAGCTTCTTCCCAACCAAAAAAGAATTTCACACCTTTACAATGTGTTGCTCATCCATGGATCCGGTGAAGTCAACTTCCTCTCCTCCATCCTTAACACTCATTATGGGCACAAAGTCATCCACAGATATCTTAAGTGTTTTCCCATGTAGCACGATTGATGATTCACAAGGATTTAGTTTATAAACCAAAAAACGACACATTGAATGAGACAGTTTTCCGCACTTCATTTTCAACAATGAAACAAATCCCATTTCTTCAATGGCTGCTTTTTTCTCATCACTTAAAACATTTATAGTGTCATTTACATCCTTCGAACTGTATCGTGTGGCTATCTTTAAACAACTCTTCTTCGAGGGTATTTGGGGGTGATAAGAATTCACCCGGGCACTATTCGACAACACAGGCCGTTTGACTCTTGAAATTGCGGCTGAGCTTCGAGAATTGGTTGCAGCCGTCCCTGTAGATCTAGAGGTCTTGCGAAGGTACGGCTGAGATTTGGAGTGCTTAGGTAGCTGGGCTACACGCTGGTGCGACCGGGTTTTTGGAGTTAAGCAGTCGGCCGGATTTGTTGGGACACAGCGGTCGGGTGAGATGGAGAGAATGGTCGGGTTATGCTTGAATGTGGCCGGAGGTGTTCAAATAGGATGCAACCGATTCTCAAGATATGGCGGCCGAGTGTGTTGGGTGATTGTGGTTGCTGTGTGTTAATTGGATATGAGTGCAGCTGAGGTGTTTCGTGTTTTGGAAATTTAATGCTGAAAGGGTTTTTTAATTGACCTATCATATATACATACATATTATATTATATGGAATGAAACATATATATATATATGTATTAATATATGTGTATATGGGCAAATAAAGTCAAATGAGTGCGGCTGATGGCTTGGCTGTCATTGCCCTATATTTGTATATATATATATGCATATATGGGCAAATGGAATTGAATGGCGGCCGAATAGGGCTGGAACTTCAAAGATAATTGCAGCCAGGGCTCTTTTTGAACCTCTTTTGTCTAATTATATATATATATATAATATTTATATATAAATGCAATTGCCTTGGATTGTTGCAAGTGCGGCTGGAGGATGCCAAAGCCATATCTTGTTGGATGATAATACAATATATACATATATATATATATAAATATATATATATATATATATATATGTAAGTATATATAAACAAATGAACCTGCATGTGCGGCTAGGTTCTTAAGCTGGAGCATTCTTCATCATATTATATATATATATATATTTGAAATTTAATATATATATATATATATATTATATAGATGGCAATATGAGAGAAATTGGATGTCCAAGTTTAAGCCAACGATTCAAGCCCAGATTTTTGGAGGATTATGTGCACATGTGACGGAGGGCCTAACAAGGAAAGAAATAAAGGGATTTCTTATAGTAACTCTGAGTGTTCCAAAGCAAGAAAGAATCAAGCATGTCAGAATATCTCAATGCAATCCTATGGATTTAGGGGGGCCTTGGAAGAAAATAAGTTTTAAAAGAGTTGACCTTTGGCCATTCAATGGCCAGCCCATGGGCTGACAAGTGCCCTATATAAATGTTGCTCGATGAAGACATCGGACACACAACATCAAACAAACAAACTTATCTTTCGTCTCGCACTTTTCTTTTCCTAGACTTAGGATTTTATTTTTCAAGCACCTAGTGTAGTGAGTTCTTCATATTTCTAGTGTAAGTTTATATTTCTCTTGTCATTTAAATTCTTGTTTCGATTTATATTTCTTGTCATTTAAATTCAAGTTTATTTCGATTTTTTTAATTTTCATTGTTATTGCTCTTCGATTAAGTTTAATTTCAAGTTTATTACATTTTATCGTTCTTATTGTCTTTATCTCATTCTTGCTTTATTTATCGCTTTGATTTATTTTATCGCACTTCAATTCTTATCTTTACGTTTATACACATATTTAGTTTAATTACATTATTTTTACTTAAACCATAAAAATCACAAAAACATCCGTACGAAACCTAACCATCCTCGAGCCCGAGGAAGTGAAAGAATCTAGGCCAAGAGAAGGTTCCTTGCTTGGTCGATCAATTGTTTGGTCAGAAGTTAGAAGTGCAACACATCCATCTATTCTCATTCCACTCAAGCCCAAATTCGGGGCTTGGTGGTGTCACAGTCCGCATCCAAAAGAAGAAGGACCAAAAGTTCCTTCCGTCAGCCTCCCCGGCCGAAAAGAGGGAAACATAATTTGGCACGCCCAGTGGGACCACTAGGTTTTGTATGGTTGTAAACATTAGGAGGAGATCAAGAATTTGAAGAATCTAGACTTCGGTCGGAGTCAAAGACAAGCATGGCTGGTTCACTCCCTACAAATACTCAGCCATAAAATGTTTCAACCGCTCAACAAGAGCAAAGTGGCCCCGGCCGTCGGCCAAGACCAAGTGTTAGTCGAGGATATTACGGAAGTCACCGGAGGACCAGTCTTGAGGCCGAATCCGGCCACTTCATTGGAACTCCAACAACTCATACGTGTCATGGAGACAATGGCACAGACGATGGCCACTCAAAATGCTCAAATAAATGAGAGGTTTGATCAATGGTTAGACCAACAAAATGGCCAAAATGGGAACCAAGGGGCGCCTAATCGAGTACCAGCGCTCGGGCCTCAAGTGCAGGCCCAACCAAATGGCTTTGGAGTAAATCCGCCCCAACCTAATCCACCAACTGGGGGCAACCCACCCCCAGTGATTAATGTTCCGCCGATGGGCAACAATCCATATGCGGTGGTAAACCAATTTCAAGTTTTTCCGCCATATAATCAATTCCGCCCGCAAGCTCACTAAGGGGTTGGAGCCAATTTTGTTGGGCCTCATATCAACCAATTCGTCGGAGTCGGTGGTTGGAATAATCCCGGCGAGAATGCTAATAACCCGTTGCTAGGGAATCAAGCAATTGACTGAGGTGCGGTCGAACAAATGATTCAAGATATGGTGCCCCATGCTAGGAGGATTAGTAGGCCGGTCTATCGGAGGCCATGTCCAGAGCACTTTGATCAAGAGGAATTTCCGAGGGGTTTTAAGGTTCAGGATTTTGTACTATTTTCGGGAGATGGGCTCCAGTCGACCGTTGAACATATTGGCTGATTCACAGCCTAATGTGCGGAGATTGGGCATCGTGAGGCCTTGAAACTAAGGCTATTTTGGAGTACACTTACGGGGGCATCATTCTCGTGGTCTGTTAAGCTTCTGCAGAACTCCATCCCGAATTGGCAAGTTATAGAGCAAGTCTTCCATGAGCAATTCTATCGACCGGAGTCGGAAGTCTCGATGGATGACTTGGCAAAGAGAAGCCAGAAGCCAAGTCAGTCGGTCCAAGAATACTTGGGGCGGTTTAGAGAAGCAAGGGCTAGGTGTACTGTCAATATGCCGGAGCACGAGTTTGCAAAATTGGCCCAAGGAGGATTGTTGCTTGACCTCCGAAAGAAATTCAAAGGAATTGAGTTCCGTGACATTTATGATCTTTTAGTTCGGGTGGGCCGTTACGAAGCTCTTCTAAAGGAGGAGCAACAAAAAGGGCGGCCGGCACCTCGGCCGACATTTTATAGGGTTTCAACCAAACTTTCCGGGTCTAGGACTACGACGGTCCAAGCAGTAGACATTGAAGACATAGATAAGGAAGAAAGAGGTGATGACGTTTACTTTGAGGAAGAAGAAGAGTCAGCTGAGGTAAACTTGGCCAAGATTATGGCCAATGGGCCATATGTGTGCAAGGCTTTATCTAAAGCCTCCAAAGATCAAAGGTCGACAACGGCCCAAGTTTCCAAGTTTAGTGGAACCTCCCAAAAGGCGGTCGTGGTCCATATACAATACAACTTTGGTAAGAGTCAGTTCATCGAAATAAAAAATTTATGAAGAATTCAGCTCTCGCATATGTATAAGACCGAATCCATTCAATTTCTAAAAAAGATTACTAATCCTTAACTAAGTCCTACATATTTGATATTTCTAAAGCCGACCAAATTTTCGACCAACTTTTGAAAGAAAAGATCATAAACTTAGAAATAAAACTTATTGCAAGTTTCACAATGTGTGGTCTTATACGGCTAACAGTTGTTTGGTTTTTCGGAATGCCGTGCAAGATCTCATCGATCGGAAGATCTTGAAATTTCGAGAGAAAGCTACAATGGGCGTTGACCATAATCCTTTCCCAAATGCTCAAGTCAACATGGTGAACACTAACTTCCCAAGGCCAGACCAACCTAGGCCAAGGTTGGACTTGGGTGGCTTAGCAAAGGCTATGGCAGATAGAAAGTCAAGGGAGATTCCGACGGACCCTAAGGCAAAGGGCAAGGCCAAAATATATCCTAAGGTGACCAAGGTTCCCGCGACAAAAGTTTCAACCAAGGAAAAACCTCCAAAGGCCATTGTGTTATGCAGTCGGTGCCAATGTGAAGTGACTCTCGAAGTGGTTCCGCCAAAGCCCAAGAAGCCAACTAAGGAACCCACCAAGGGGCTGATTAAGGAGTAAACGAAGGATCAAGTCCATGTGGGCAGATATAGGAGTTTTGAAAGGAATATGATAACAAGTCCGGTCGAGAATTACGGTCCACATAGCCCAAGGGGAGGAATGGAAGTGAGGCTGAACAAGCGGCCATTGCATGAGTACCAAGATAGGTACGAGAGGCCGAGATATCAGCCAAAGAGGAGAAATCAAAATGCCCCTCTAAGGTATGAAGACATTGATTCACTAGACTCAAGCCAAAACCGAAGCATGTGGATTTCAGTGGGAGAATGTAAAAGCCGAGATGTGGCCTATGTGTCAAGACCTCGCCCCGCAGACGGTAGTGGTGTCCCAACTTTCAAGGTGTCAAACACAAAGGCGGGTCAATGGTATAGAAGCAGAGGCCCAAAGCTCCCATCGGTACCTCTGAGCAAGACTCAAACGAGAAGGGCTCAAAGGCAATATGCCACCACTTGCAAGGCGGAGTTAGAATGGGCGGACAAAAGGCAAGCTCAACTTGACTGATTGGTCGAGCTTCGAGAGAAGCTTCGATTTGAGGAGTTAGAGTTGGCCAAGGGCGATGCTGTTGCTTTCTTGGAGGCAGCCGCGACCGAAGAGATGAAAATACGTCGAGAATGGGTGAATGGCCGAGTTGTGGTAACTGCCCCAGAAGAGCCAATCTCGGAGTTGGAGGCCCATTTGACTGGGGCTTTTGAGGCAAATAACTCTAAAGTGGAAGTTAGTGAGCCTACCAAGAAGAGAGGAGATAAATCTCTTAAGGTTCAAACGGCAAGGGCGGCTTCACCGAAAGTCAAGCCTTCGGTCGCCAATGCCCCGGCCTTGACCAAAGTGGCTCAGCCCACCAAGGTTGAAAAGAAAGAGGAAAATGACAAAACATGGTCTAAGAAGTTGGGGATGAGCCCCATAAGATATTAAGCGAGCCTAGGGCAGAAGAAGACCAAGTCATGGTTGACGTCGAAGCCAATGTGGTAGAAAAAGAGGCCGAGCACACGGCCGAGGAAGAAGCTAAAAAGCCATTGGAAAATCTCGAAGGTTCAGCGACCGAAGACGAAGAGCTCTATGGGGATGATGACGAGTACTTAGAGGAGCTGTCGGAGGAAGCTATGGAACACTTAGAGAAAGAACGCAATGAAGAAATGGCCAAGTTTGAGAATGAACTAAAAGTGGGCAAGGTCAAAGTGAAGTTTGGAGACTTTGACGAGGTAAATGCCATGGTTGGTACACTCCCATTATTTTTCGAAGCTCGGCCGGATCAACCTAATTATATGGACGAAGATGTGTTCGGTGAGGTTGAGTCCATGGTCCAAATGGAAGGTGTCAAAGAAATTGAGGTGGCCCAAGATGTTCCAAAGGAAGGGAATGCCCAACCTTGCATCATGGTGCCCAAAAAGGAGGAAAAATTGCCCGAGAAGGTGTGCTATGAGATGCCTACCAAGAAAATGTCCTCCTACCTTAAACCCTTGTATGTGGGAGCTCATTTCGATAGAGTTCCGGTGAGCAAATTCCTTATGGATATGGGGGCTACGGTCAACATCCTACCAGCCTCAATCATGAGGAAATTAAAGAAAGGCTCAGATGAATTAATTCCGACCGAGACAACGGTCAGTGGGTTCGTAGGAGACATCACGACTTCAAAGGGGATTATCCCACTCCAAGTTAAAGTGGGGTAAAAGGTTAGAATGACTGCCTTCATTATGGTGGAGATAACGACCCATTTCAGTGCTTTGTTGGGCCGAGATTGGATAAATTGAAGCATGTGCATGCCCTCTTCACTTAATCAATTTTTACAATTTTGGCACGAAAATGGAAGTGCAAAGACTGTTTAAGCCGATGCACGGCCCTTCATGGCCTCCGCCAATGCGGTAGAGGCAAAGTTTTATGAAGATGACATTGGGCCTCTTTATTTTTTGGGGTTAGATTGTAATGGCCGACCTACGGGAGTCTCGGCCTAAAAGTTGATAGACTTGGGGGCACATGATGCCCAAGCAGATGGGGAGCGCCCCACTATAGCTGATTTTTCTCCCTCAATGAATGATACAAACATAGAGAAAGAGAAGAAGACCGCGGTGGAAGACATTTTGAGATAGCTATATGGTTTTTGGGCCGAAAGAGCGGCCGAGCATGGGTCCACCGCAAACTTGGTGGAATTTCTTCATGAAGGTCCGGAGGATGATGCACTTGAGCTCAAAGAAGTAGAGTTCACGCCAAGCGAGACGAATGATTCAAAGGCGGAAGTCCAAGACCCTTTGTTAGAAATCAACTTGGGGACGGAAGACAACTATCGACCGATCTACATCAATGGTCTAATGGAGCCAGAACTTCGGGCCAAGATGGAAAAGCTTTTGAGAGAGTTCAAGGATTGCTTCGTTTGGGATTATACCGAGATGCCCGGATTGAGTCATGACTTGGTCGAGCATCGCCTACCAACGGTGGAAAATTTCAAGCCCTTTAAGCAGCCGCCCTGCCGAATGTTGGAGGAAGTAGAGTTACAAGTTAAGGAAGAAATTGTAAGGCTTATGAAAGCCAAATTTATTAGGCTAGCTAGATATATAGAATGTAACACCCCGACTCTATTTAATTTTCCAATTCAAAAGGTTAAAATTAAATTAACTGTGAAATTACGAAACTACCCTTGGGGTAGGGTATTTTGGTCATTTTCTTGTCCGGAAGGATTTTGGGACCACAAGTAGTTTAGTTGCGTAGGTGGTTCTGAGATGAATTCGTAGACAGGCGGTAGGCTGGAATCGGAGTTATAACGAAGTTTTGGCGATGAAATTTCTTTCGGTGGCAAAATCGTAAATAATTCAAAAAGGGTATTTGTAAAAATCAGATTCTTCAATTTCATTTCACTTTTTCTTTCTCTCTCTCCCGTGCGTTCTCTCTCTCTCTATCCCGCGAACTCTCTCTCGTCACTGTTCATCCGAACGGAAAAATCCAGGCCGCCATCACTTCCGGCCACCTCAGCTCTCGAGATTGGTCCCAAAAGCTTCGTCTCGACGTCCTGGTCAAGACCCACTAGTTTTCGTTGCCGGAAAACTCGAGAATAGTCGGCAGTATCGACTGGTCCAAATCGGAGGTTTTCCGATCGTTGCACCACCGTTTCAGTTGTCCTTTTCCGGTGTTAAAGGTGAGAATTCTCCTTCTTTTTATCTGTTCTAGCTGCCTGTTGCTTAGGATTGAAACGATTTTGAGGTTTTGGAAGTTATTTTCGAATTAGGTTTTTGGCCGGTTTCAATTCGAAATTCCGGCCAGTTCCCGGTGGTTTTGGGCTTGGCCGTAGTTGAATGAAGTGCTCCCCTAGTTGAGTAGGACCTGTAGCCGGGAGGGTGACTTGTGATTTGGAGATTTTCCGTCGCCGGAATTTCTCTACACACCCTCTTGCTGCCGGCGCGTGTGGCGGCGCGTGGGCAAGTGTGGTGGAGCTACAAACTGTTCCAACGTGATCTTTTAGTTGTCACGAGCATGTAGGATTTCGCGGATCTTGATTCCGAGGTCGTTTGACTATCGAACGGATTATCGCATATTGTGCGTTATCCGGGTTCGATATGTTCTGACCGTTGGATCGTTTTCAAATTGAAGTATGTTACTCTAGATACCCTTAGGATCGTGTAGGATTCGACGGATCGTAAAACGGAGTCCCGGATACGCCGGAAATACCAACCCTGGGGTGAGGGTTTAAGTAACCGTCCAATCGTGCGATCGTGAGCGATCTAACCGTCCATTTCGGACCAAACTTACAGGACGTGTATCTTAGACCTCGTAAAACCTATAGGAACTCCCGGGAAGCTAGGGTTTTATTTTAAAGTTCTGTTTTGAAGCGCTTGATGTTCATCGCATTTTCGTATTCTGAGTCAGGTACTCCGACCCAGCATACGCAGCAGGCGGGACCCTCTAAAGGTCAAGCTGTGTGGGACTACTTGTGAATGGACTTTTCTGTTGAAACTCAGTATGATTTGATTCATGGAAATAAGGCATATTGTTTTATTATGTCTATTAATTATTCATATACGCTCGAATGGGAATTCGAGGTTTTCATAAAACTTATTATGATATTTAAATTTTCAAAAGCTATTTTTACATGCGACTATGCATGGGGTACTTGGTGGTTAATACGAACTATGGAAAGGTAATGTTTGATCTGTTATTTGGAGTGCGTTAAGCACTAATTTATGTACCTCCCCTGATTTGAATTTGGTTATGGATTTTGGATACTTTTGAAGTTATTAGAACTCAGGACATCCTTGAGGGGATGTTGCTGTGGACCCTGGATTTGGGGTAGTCTGCGCGCGTAGGACTGGTATTTCAGGCGTACAAGCTTTGACTGTGTCGGCTGTACGTGATGGCTGAGAGTTAGTCCCCCAGTTGGACGGCTCGTTCCCTAGACACATGGTGAATTGAGGAATGGCTCTGCCATGTGGACTAGTCAAACAGTCCCCCGGTTGGATTGTTTCCCCGGTACAATTAAATATTATTATTATTATTATTATTATTATTATTATTATTATTATTATTATTATTATGTTATATCATATTATTATTATGTATGTATTTGTGTGTATATATATATATATATATGAATGAATGTTCTTTCGTTCTATTTCTCGGTAAGGATACTTCCTCGCCGGTCGTACCTTTGAGTACGTTTACGAGAGTCTAATCTCTCGGGACTCTTAAGTTGAGTGGTGGGTTTCGTGAAGTATTATTCACGGATTACAGATTTGAGATCCGGTATATATGCGTTAGTATATGTTTATATACTGTTTCTGATGGTTTTGTTATGCTTATGGTTTCATTGCATGTTTTTGATAAAGGTGGGGGTTATACTACTTTGATTTCACTTGAACTGAACTTGATTTTTTGTCCACTCACAACTTTCTGTTTTGCGCCCCCCAGCCAGTAGTGACTGAGCTCTGCAGTTGAGCCGGACCGGGTGCATCTTGGAACTCGAGTCTTCGTAGAGACTCTTGGTACTTTTTCCCTTTCAGTTAAACAGTACTTCGGTTGTATTTTGAATTCCTTAGATATGCTCTGTATCGCCCGTTGAGGGTTTAAATTTGTGAGGCCGGAGGCCTTTGTTGTAAATTGTTTTATTGCTTGTAAAGCATGCTGCCAGTTGGTTGTAATTAACTGTAAATTTTGAGCAGGTTGAAGTTTGGGAATGTTCAATTTACAAGGGAGACTTTGCCAAATTCTTGGTAGAAAGTCTCAGTCTTTAGTACGTGGGCCTGGCATCGGGTTGATGTCGGTAATTAGGCGGGGTCCGTCCTAGATTCCGAGGAAGTTCGGGGCGGGTCTTGTCATAGAATGGCTTTCAAATATTGTACCTGTAAAGAAAAAAAGGGGAGCAATAAGAATATGTGTTGATTTTCGTAATCTTAATCTTGCAACTCCCAAAGATGAATATCTCATGCCCATTGCCGACCTCTTAGTCGATGGGGCGGCCAAGCATGAAATTTTATCCTTCATGGATGGGCATTCTGGCTATAACCAAATTTTTATAGCTAAGGAGGATGTCCACAAGACAGCCTTCAGGTGCCCCGGATCCATTGGGACTTTTGAGTATGTGGTGATGCCCTTCGGCTTGAAAAATGCCGGGGCCACATATCAACGGGCAATGAACGCCATTTTCCATGACATGATCGGTCGAAATTTAGAAGTTTACATCGACGATGTTGTTATAAAGTCGGAGTTTAGACTAGGTGACTTAGATGACCTTCGGTCGGCTTTCGAGAGAATGAGGCGACATCAATTGAAGATGAACCCAAAAAAGTGTGCTTTTGGGGTATCCGCCGGATATTTCTTAGGATTCTTGGCACACCAACGGGGGATTGAGATTGATGAAAATAAGGCGAAGGCTGTCATTGACGCGCCCCCTCCAAAAAACAAGAAAGGTGTGCAAAGTTTATTGGGCCAAATTAACTTTCTTCGAAGTTTCATAGCCAAATCCGCGGGAAAAGTTGAGCCCTTCTCATCTTTGCTAAAACTCAAAGATGAAGAGAAATTTCGGTGGGAAGAGACTCACCAAAGGGAATTCGACGCAATTAAAGAATATTTGGCCAAGCCTCCGGTGCTCATTCCACCAAAGTGAGGCTGACCCTTGAAATTATATATTTTGGCGGAAAATTCCATCGAAAGTCTACTAGCCCAAGACAATGATGAGAAGAAAGAGCAAGCGGTATACTACCTCAACTGAATTCTAACGGCCACCGAGAGGAAATACTCTCCGGTGGAGAAACTTTGCTTGGCCCAACACTTTACCGCGACCAAGTTAAGGCATTACATGTTGCCCTCCGTGGTGCACATAATAGCCAAGACTGATTTGATAAAATACATGCTTACTCGCCCAATCATTAGAGGGCGGATAGGAAAATGGACAATGGCATTGGTGGAATTCACTTTCCGATATGTGCCCCAGCAGGCCGTTAAAGGGCAAGCTTTGGCCGATTTCTTGGCGGTCCACCCTTGTGTTGAAATAGAGGAGATGGATTTCCTCGAGGTAGGCACATTGAGTTTATTTCCATAGCGCCTTTATTTTGACGGGTCTCGAACATCTAACATGGGCGGGGCAGGTGTCATCATTGAATCACCCAAAGGATTTCGAACTCGTTATTCATTTCAATTAGACTTTGATTGTACCAACAATCAGGGCGAATATGAAGCCCTGAGCATAGGGTTGGAAATTTTGAAAAAGCTTGGGGTAAAGAGTGTGGCGGTTATGGGAGATTCAATGTTGGTCTTAAAACAAATGTTTGGCGACTACAAGGTGACTAGCCAAGCTTTGCTCGGATATCATGCCTTAGCCAGCCAATTGATGGAAGATTTTGACTATGTGAGACTCGCCCACCTACCAAGAGAACATAACACTCAGGCCAACACCATGGCCCAATTAGCATTCGGAGTGGAAATCTCCAAGGGGCTCTCTGAGGAGCTTTTTAAAGTTGAGAAGCGATCTCTCCCTTCCGTCTTTGAAAGAGGGACTCCAGCGGAAGTTATGGTGTTAACCATAGCACCAGAGGATTGGAGGCACGACATCGTGCAATATTTGAAAGATCCAAATGGGTCACACAGCCAACAAGTTCAGCGGAGGGCCCAATATTATGTGATAAGAGATGAAGTATTGTTCCGCATAGGTTCCGATGACTTGCTCATGAAATGTTTGGGCAAAAAGGAACAACTCGTAGCAATGAACGAGGTCCACGAAGGGATATGTGGTGCCCATCAAGCTGGCATCAAGATGAGGTGGCTTTTAAGGAGGCACGGTTATTATTGGCCGACTATCCTCAAAGACTGCATTGAATATGCCAAGGGTTGCAAAGATTGCCAAAAACATGGGCCAATCCAACATGTCCCAGCCGGACCAATGAACCCTATTGTCAAAGCTTGGCCTTTCAAAGGTTGGGCAATGGATGTGATTGGCCAAATCTATCCAAATTCATCCAAGGGCCATAAGTACATATTGGTGGCCACCGATTTTTTCACAAAGTGGGTGGAGGCCGTCCCACTCAAGCAAGTTACCCAGGTTGAGGTGATAGAATTCATTGAGAAGAATATTATCCATCGATTTTGCTTGCCCAAATCCATCATGACCGACTGAGGAACGACTTTCATGGGCGAGGCTATTCAAGCCGCCACGAGGAATTGGGGAATTAGGATGGTTCAATCCACCCCATACAATCCCCAATCAAATGGCCAAGTGGAGGCTAGTAATAAGGTGATAAAAGGGATTTTGGAAAAAATGATTGATAAGAACCCCAAGGAATGACACTCTCTTCTTTCCAACTCTCTATGGGCGTATAGAACCTCGAAGAGGTCTGCCATGCGAACAACACCATTCTCCCTCACCTACTGCCATGATGCCGTCTTGCCACTTGAGATTTCGGTTAAGTCCTTAAGGGTAGTTCGCCATGCCGAATGGAGTACAGATGAATATGAGCAAGCCATGACACAAGAGTTAGACGACCTCGACGAGGTCAGATTAGGTGCTTTAGATAGATTGACGGCCCAAAAAGAGGTCGTGGCTTAAGCATACGACAAGAGAACCATGGCAAAGAGTTTTGGAGCCGGAGATTTAGAATGGACGACCATTCTTCCAGTAGGATCAAAGGATCCAAAATTTGGCAAGTGGTCTCCAACTTGGGCAGGCCCATTTCTCGTCCACCAAGTTTTGGGGAAGAGGGCTTACAAGTTAAGTGACCAAAATGGTTGGGTCCATGACTCTCCAATCAATGGTCGATTCTTGAAAAAATATTACCTAACGGTCTGGGAAATGGCGGAAAGATAGTCCGCCACAAAGAAATATTTCGTAATGAAGCAATGATTTTTATTGGAAGAATGGGCATCATAAAAGGATCTCTTCCAAAAGATATCATATATATATATATATATATATAGGTGGGCAAAAGTCTACTACAAAATGGGGCCAAGTAATGGCCTAAGTTTCCACCAAAGGTTTAGAAACTAAGCTAGTTCTACCACATATGGTGACCAAATAAAAGGAAACTAGCTAAGTACAAAATGGGCCAACCAATGGCCAAATATGAACCTAAGCATCAGGGAAAAGGGTGCGGAGGGCAGTCCTAAAGCTCTCCATCGCGGTATCTCCGGCAGACAAGGTAGATTGAATCATCAACTTCCTCTCTCGATACTCTCCCACCGCTGCTGCATCCTATCGAAGTTGAGCCTCGAGAGGCCTATTGCTCCGAATAATCTCGGAGACTTTGGCAATAATGCTAGCCTTCCTCTCTTGAAGCTGCCTCACCTGCTCATCAATATCCGCAGCCTCCTGTTGCATCTGGCGGGCAATCTCGATCTCTTTTCTCATGATGGCACTACATGAGGTAATCCACTGCTCCAAGTCTTGGCCCATCCTTTGCTCCTCCAGAAAAGGACAACGGTGGGGGGCAAACTTCTCCACTTGACCAAAGAGATAAGTGATCATAGCCGCCGAGCGTGGATAGGGGAAAAAGCCAGAACTCGCCAAAGTCTCGATGGCGGCCTTGAGCTTGTTTCTCTCATTTTTGTCCTCCAATGGCATGAGATCTCCATCTCTGTATGACCGAAGTATGGCCTCAGTCCCGTAATCTGGTAGGGCCTCGGTCGTGGTGGAAGAAGTGGCAAGGCAAGTGGAAGCCTCCATCGAGGATATAGATGCATCTTATTGATCTAGGAAGTCAAAAATATCACTACAAGGCTGCAAGAAAAATAATGGGCATTATATTCTTTCAAGTAAGGAAAATAAATTGCATATATGCATATGTATATATTTCTTGGTTCGTACCTGATCAGGGGATGGTATAGGGGCCTCTTCATGAGGAACCATGGCCAAGCTTCTTCCATCCTCTGCCAACATCTCGGAGAGAACAAAGGATGAAAACTCTCCAATCTAGTAAAAGGGTATAGGGATTACAATAATGGCCCATTTATTTGAAATAAGCAAGAAAGTTCGGGGCATACCTCAAGTTGGAGTTTGGACGAAATAGCGTTGACCACCAAGGGAGTAGCTCCCAAGGTCAACATAAGGACGGGCTCAGGTGGTGCACTTCCGTCGGTGGGAATAGTGGAAGGCGCACCATTGGTGACGATCACATGGTCGACTGTAATGGCAGTAGAATCCACCACATCCGCCTAAAAAAGGAGGATGTGAGCTCTCTAACAAACATAAAGCTTTGAAAAAACATTAAGAGAGAGTAAGGTCACTTGAAAAGTTGGGCCACTTCGAGGCACCTCGAGAGGGCAAGTCGAAGGAGGGTCTGAGCTTATGGCAAAAGGGGGCTGAAATTCGGCCTCAATGGCTGTGGTGTCGACCGAAGAAAGTTCGGGGTCAAAAATGGCCCGCTAACATGTTCAAACATTGAAAATAAGGAATTGGAGGCAAGTGTAAAAGAAATTTTAAAAGTATGAAATTTCAATGAACCTGAGAGTTCGGAATGTGTGGGAAGTCTTCCTCGGTCAACTCGGCCACGTGCTCATGGGCGTGATCATCGGGCATGGGAATAATCTCGTGTGATCCCGTGGAAACATCCTTCGGGTGCCCCGTGGTATTGATCTCGGCTGACTAAGTTCGAAAATATAGTAAGCATAAAAGAAGTAAAAGAAAATTCAAACGGCTAAGGAGATAAATTTACCTCATCCTCGCCTACCAAAGTCATGACTTGCGCCCCAATTTCTTTCTCAAGTGCGGAAGTTTGAGTTTCCTACATTTTAGGCATAAGGGTGAGTTTTTGCCCTTCAAAATTAATAAATAAAAGTATGTAAAGACATAAGCTTACTGGAGCGGCAGATGAAGTGGTGGCCGATTGCACGACCCCAATCGAATGAGAAGAAGAGGGATGCTCTACTAGCCTTGGAGAACCTACAGCAAATTCGGTTTTAGTTTATTTAAAAAAATTATAAATAATAAATAAAAAAGGGGTGCACGGCCGAACCTTGAGGTGAAAGGTTCCGCGAAATGTTTGTGAGGGCATAATATTTCCGGCGGGGCTATCTCCTAAAAAGTTGGAGTTTTAAGCTTTTATATGTGCCCATCAAGAATTCAAAAAGCTGGAAGTGCAAATATTTAAAAGGGCAAAAATAATCATGGAGGATAGCTTACCTTGGATGGGGGCGTTAGGCCTTTTCTCGCCCTGCCCAGAATTTGCATCGGCAGATTTGGCTGAGCTTTCTCTCTCAATAATGTCGGCGGGAGGATTTTCCTTCTCAGTGGTGTCAGCTGTGAGATTTGAAGGGTTAGAAGAAAAAGATAGCCAAAATTAAAATAGGAAAAAATATAAGTATTTTACCTTTTGCTTGGGCCTTTTTCTTCTCTTTCTCTTGTTGAAAGGCCAATGAGCATGGGCAATGCCTAAAGACCCTATCTTCAATCTCTGAACATGGTTGAGAAAACCAACCGGCCGACATCTCTTTCCACCAGTGGATAAAAATGTTGGAGTCACCAAACCGAGGATCTCTAATTGGAATACTGAAGGATTTCACCAAGTCTTGGTTGAAATTCGTCAAGGTGGTGACTTCTTTTGCATATTTAAATTCCACCCGCCAAGAGGAAAGCAGGTTGACGGAATCCATGGGTGGTATCGGGATGCTCTGTATAAAACCAAGCTGGTAGTCGACAGCGGCGGGATAATAAAGCTCACCACCACAATGATAGTTGCTACCTTTGTTCACCATTAAGCCGTATGGAAGATCTCGGCTGACGAGGATACTTTCCCACATATTATGTCTCTCCTCTTTCGTCTTCGCCATAGGATATGAGGAAAGATCCAGGGCTAGATAATCCGGGAAAAGGTGATCTACGAAAATGGAGAGATGCTCCCTAGTCCTTTCTTGGCACCCATAGAAAAATCGGAAGCAATCCTCAATGTAATGCTTCCGGCGTGGGGCGTTGAGCAAGGGCAGACCGAGAAGGGCTTTGTCGTTTGGGCAAACGGTGGTGGGACTTAATTCCGGAAAATATAGCTGGAGCCATAATTGAAAAATCCATATAGGGTCAGAAGCATTATAATCCATGGGTTTAGTGATTACCTCGCGGAGCCCTCTATAAAGATAGGCAAGAAAGATTGGCCCATGACCACTTGATGGCCATCCGCAAGTGCCTCTGCCAAGGCTTGAAATTCCTCAGTAATCCCGCCGGATTTTGGGCATGCCAAGAACTTGCACAACCACATCACAAGAAAAGTGACATGCTCAATATAGGATACGCCATTGATGGAAAGAGGGTCGGTGGGATCTCTGCCATGGTCAAGATACGTCTTCACCCAACTCCCGGAGGTCTTGTTTGACTTGTGAAAATCCAAGCCCACCTTGGCTTCTGGAAGGTTGGCGGCCGAGAAATTATCTCCACGAGGGCGAAGGCCGGCGATAGCGGCCAAGTCTAGCAAGTTGGGCGTCATCATCCCAAAACAGAGCCTCATGCAATTGGTGGAGGAAGACCAAAAGCATAGGGCCACAATGATGAGAGATCGGTCGCAATGAAATGGGCTTCCCGCACATAGGAGCAATGTATCATAAATTCCGATTTTCTTCCAATGGCCATTCAATTTTGGTTCTAATGCCTTGAACCAATGATACCAATCAAACTTGCCATCCACTGAGCTTGAGTGGTCAGACTTCCCGGCAGCGGATGATGCTTTCTTTGATGGGGCCTCTATAGTTGCGGTGGGATCCTTTTTGAGGGGGTTCCCGTCGGCCAACCTTTGAATGTCTTGGAGCTCTCCCAAACGGTTGCCCATGTGAAGTCTGAAAAATAAGTTGGGCCACTTCTTGGCTGCGTCACCCACACCTTGGCCACCTCCTCCGAATAGGCGGAGAAAAATGGGCCAAGAATATATTGGGCGGAGTTGGGAAAGGTATTGAGAAAGTAGGCAAATACTTGCTTGCCCAAGTCTTTGTCCATGGCCACTTTCATATCTTCAAAAAATTGGGCACTATCACTTGGAATAGATTCCATCCTACAAACAAGAAGTAAAATCGAATCAAAGAAAAATATAGTGAAGCAAACAAGATTCGAATCAAGAACACGAAGAACATCATGGCACTATTCACATATTCAAAGTTTCAATTCTAAACTTTTGAAGGCTATAGATGCCTTGACGTCGATTCGGGTGGATTTGGTGTGTGAAATGATGAATGTGGAGGAAATGGGTTTTGGAAAACCTTCTAAAAGCCTGTGGCTATGGTGGAAGTGTTTATGTGGAAATGAAAGAGAACACTTGGATATTTGTAATATCTAGGGTTTTTAAAGGATAGGAAATTCAAAAGTCCCTCCAATTTAATTGGTGTCTTCCTAAATTCCTACCCGATTCAAAAGTTCATAACGTGCAAGGCAAGCAAAAAAGAAAAATCTCAAACTTCAAAAATTGAAAGGTTTTGGGTTTCAATTTGCTTACCTCTACGCCAATTCTGAGCTAAACAACACGGGGGGCAATGTTTGGGGGTGATAAGAATTCACCCGGGCACTATTCAACAACACGGGCCGTTGGGCTCTTGAAATTGCGGTCGAGCTTCGAGATTTGGTTGCGGCCTGGCCTGGAGATCTAGAGGTCTTGCGAAGGTACGGCCGAGATTTGGAGTGCTTAGGTAGCTGGGCTAAACGTTGGTGCGACCGGATTTTTGGAGTTAAACAGTCGACCAGATTTGTTGGGATATAACGGCAGGGTGAGATGGAGAGAATGGTTGGGTTATGCTTGAATGCGGTCGGAGGTGTTCAAATAGGATGCAACCGATTCTCAAGATATGGCGGCCGAGTGTATTGGGTGATTGTGGTTGCTGTGTGTTAATTGGATATGAGTGCGGCTGGGGTGTTTAGTGTTTTGGAAAATTGGGTCTGAAAGGGTTTTTTGATTGACCTATCATATATACATACATATTATATTAATATAATGCTATGGCTGGAATCAAACATATATATGTATTAATATATGTGTATATGGGCAAATAAAGTCAAATGAGTGCGGCTGATGGCTGGAATGTCATTGCCTTGCTTTGTATATATATATATGCATATATGGGCAAATGGAATTGAATGGCGGCCGAATAGGGCTGGAACTTCAAGATAATTGCAGCCAGGGCTCTTTTTGAACCTCCTTTGTCTAATTATATATATATATGCAATTGTCTTGGATTGTTGCAAATGCGGCTGGAGGATGCCCAAGCTCAAGACTTCCATATCCTGTTGGATGATAATACAATATATATATATATATATATATATAAGTACATATAAACAAATGAACTTGCATGTGCAGCTAGGTTCTCAAGCTGGATCATTATTTATCCTATATATATATATATATTAGAAATTTAATATATATTATATGGATGGCAATATGAGAGAAATTGGATGTCCAAGTTTAAGCCAACGATTCAAGCCCAAATTTTCGGAGGATTATGTGCACATGTGACGGAGGGCCTAACAACGAAAGAAATCAAGGGATTTCTTATAGTAACTCCGAGTGTTCCAAAGCAAGAAAGAATTAAGCATGTCAGAATATCTCAATGCAATCCTACGGATTTAGGGAGGCCTTGGAAGGAAATAAGTTTTAAAAGAGTTGGCCATTCAATGGCTAGCCCATGGGCTGATGAGTGCCCTATATAAACCTTGCTCGATGAAGACATTGGACACACAACATCAAACAAACAAACTTATCTTTCGTTTCGCACTTTTCTTTTCCTAGACTTAGGATTTTATTTTTCAAGCACCTAGTGTAGTGAGTTCTTCATATTTCTAGTGTATGTTTATATTTCTCTTGTCATTTAAATTATTTTTCAATTTATATTTCTTGTCATTTAAATTCAAGTTTATTTCGATTGTTTTAATTTTCATTGTTATCGCACTTCGATTAAGTTTAATTTCAAGTTTATTACATTTTATCATTCTTATCGTTTTTATCTTGTTCTTGCTTTATTTATCACTTTGATTTATTTTATCGCACTTCTATTCTTATCTTTACGTTTATACGCACATTTAGTTTCATTGCATTATTTTTACTTAACTATAAAAATCACAAAAACATCCGTTCGAAACCTACCATCCTCGAGCATGAGGAAGTGAAAGAATCTAGGCTAAAATGAGGTTCCTTGCTTGGCCGATCAATCATTTGGTCAGAAGTTAGAAGCGCAACACATCCATCTATTCTCATTCCACTCAAGCTCAAATTCGGGGCTTGGTGGTGGCACTCCCCGCACTCCAAAGAAGAAGGACCAAAAGTTCCTTATGTCGACCACCCAGTTCAAAAAGAGCCCTGGCCGCAATTATCTTGAAGTTCCAACCCTTTTCGGCCGCCATTCAATTCCATTTGCCCATATATGCATATATATACAAAACAAGGCAATGCCAGCCTAGCCATCAACCGCACTCATTTGACTTTATTTGCCCATATACACATATATTAATACATATATATGTTTGATTCCTGCCATAGCATTATATTATATAATATGTATGTATATATGATAGGTCAATCAAAAAACCCTTTCTGCCCCAATTTTCCAAAACACTAAACACCCTAGCCGCACTCATATCCAATTAACACACAGCAACCAGAATCACCCAACACACTCGGCCACCATATCTTGAGAATCGGTTGCATCCTATTTGAACACCTCCGGCCATATTCAAGCATAACCCGACCATTCTCTCCATCTCACCCGACCGCTTAACTCCAAAAATCCGGTCGCACCAGCGTGTAGTCCAGCTTCGCACCAGCGTGTAGCCCAGTTACCTAAGCATTCCAAATCTCAGCCGTACCTTCGCAAGACCTCTAGATCTCCAGGCCTGGCCACAACCAATTCTCGAAGCTCGGCCGCAATTTCAAGAGCCCATCAGCCCGTGTTGTCGAATAGTGCCCGGGTGAATTCTTATCACCCCCAAACAGAGGCGTTCGTTAAAAGTTTTTAAGGTTCATACTCTGCTTTCTGAGTAGCATCCAACTGTTGCCACATATCAGCGATTTCCTTCTTGGTATGAGGAAGAAAATAATAAAATTCAATCAATTCATTATAAGTTCTGAGCTGTAACGTCTCTATTTAAATGTATTGTTGCCAATTTATCACCTTAGTATCCACCTTCTCCACTATTTTTTGTTGCTTCATTTCATCGCCCTTTATTTTCCTATTTAAAACATTCACATTTAGTTAGTCCTATAAAAAGTACTTTATATACTAGAAGAGACGTTTAACACTTATAGATAGTTAAAATAACCAGTCTTGTGACTAATCACTGTCTTTGACTCATCTTTTGTTGTGTTTGGATTTTTGCCCTTATTATGCACTTCACTTTTCTTTCTCATCATTTTATAATTCCAATTAATGATGAGCCTGCATTAAACAAGAAAACCATTTTATCATATCAAATATACTCAATCAAAAATAATAACATGTCAACTCATATGTAAATTATCAAACTATATCAAACAAACTCAATGGGAAAATAACATTTCAACTCATATGCAATTGCCAAAGGAGATATGAAATTGCAGGACCCTTAGGCATTGCATGTTTATGCTCCAATATATCTCACTCTATGCATTCAACGTAATTCTCAGGCATCCACAACTATTTCAATGCTTGTTCTTATGTTATCCACTTTTATGAAAATTTTACAATTTTTAATAATATATGAACAAAATTAAATGCATATTAGGTTACCACCCATTGTTTTTTAAATCTTTCAACTCATTCCATAGTTCGAACATCCAAGAATACAACATATTACACAAAACAAAAAGTTGTCTTGTCAAATAAACTCAATCAAAAAATAACATGTATGTCAATTGCCAACTAGGTGATATGAAATTGCATTACCCCTAGGCAATTGCATTTTCGTGCTATAATATATCACCTTCTACACGTCCAATATAATTTTGAGGCATCACGAAACACTTTTAATGGTTGTTCTCAGCCTACAGATTGTAATGACAATTTTACAATTTTTAATAAGGTTACCCACCCACAGCAATTAAATTAATATTACGTTTTCAAAAATTAACTTAAAGTGGTGAGGTTAGGGTTTAGCAAACCACATGTCATATTACGCAATACTAATTTTACAAAAGATTAGGATTTATCAGGAGATAATATGAGATTCTTCAATACTGCCCTTACAAAACTTCAAACCAAGTGCATTAAATGTTAGAAGAAAATTGAGTATTAATTATAATACATATATTTCACATAGCTTGCTGGACCGTATGTATTGGAGTCCAATATGTATAAAGCTATATGGACCTTCTTATATTGTAAGATATCCATGAATTATGGCATAAGATTAGCAATACCTAAAATATAATAGGAAGGTTAGGGTTTTGTTATCAATATAAAAGGGCTAGTCCCTATTCTTACAATTAACATGCTAAAATATTATCTGCCCTATTGAGATATTAGCATTTGGTATTGCAAAGAATAGAAGACGGCTCCAGCAGACCTTCATGTCTTCTTCTTCTAATCCAAGTTAGTGTTCTTGATTTGTTATTAAGTTTATTTGTTTATTCTAATGTGATTCATAGTGTTATTGTTCTATTGATTTTATTTCATGAAATATATAACATGTGGTATCAGAGCCTACTCAACAAACCATGTTTCAATTAAATAATAATATTAAATTAAAAACAAATAAAATAAAAGGATCTTTTTATTGCCTGTGCTTCTCATCTTGGGGCTTTTTCTATTCCGTCAAGAACTATTGAGATGTAGGCTTTCTCTTTTCATTTTGATATTCAATTGTCTGAACCTAATCGCTTCTGCTGAATTGATTTCATCTATGAGTTTCTCTTAAACCCAAAATATGTTGATTGAAAATCATGAGCCAAATCAAGGTATGGGGTTTTCCTTTAAATGAGTATTTTTTGCAGCCCAGATCTATTATCTATGTGAATAAGATCAAGATTAATGGCTTTGTCGATAATGTTGGTTTTGTTGATGGTTGGTTAAATCCTGTAAGATCATCTTCAGACATTGAATTTTGGCAATAAAGTTCATTTTGTTCCCTAGTTAAAACACTAGCTTCGAGATGATATCAAAATGCACAAATTGGATATTTTGATAAATTCAATTAGTCTTATATTCAGTTTTCTATATTAGAAAACAATAAAGAATCATGTCCACACAAAAAAAAAACAAAAAAAAACAAAAACAAAAACAAAAAAAAGGACTTGATTATCTGGTGGAATCCTTGTGAGAATGAATTGGAATGTCCTTAACAAATTGGATGGTTTACACTTATTCTACAAGAGATTATTCTGAACAAACTAGAAAAGTAATTCATGAGTTATGATGAGCTGTATTAATCTTGCCTAAAGGTGTTATTACTGCTTGATCCAACTATGAATTAGTGTGTTGCAATTCATGCGATACTGTGTCTTATATTTCTTCTTGCCTAAAGGCGTTGTTAATATATCATTGCAAGTATTTTATGTTTTGGCTATGCAAAGTTACAACATAAACTAATGTACTCTAACCTGATGCTATTTATAAGTAAATGAAAAATCCAGTTTGTTGCCCTTTTTGATATCCAGCTCTAGGAATGGCTTCAATGAATTTCTCAAGCATTGAGACATTGACTGGAAGCAACTACAAAAACTGGAAACGAGACATTGAGATATTGTTAGGGCTCATGGACTATGATCTTGTTATTCGTGAGGATGAACCTGCTGCACTTACTGAAGCTAGCACAACAACGCAGAGGACTAAGCATGAGAAATGGGAAAAATTGAATAGGATGGCATTAAATGTCATGAGGAAGGCTATGACCTCGGCTATGAGAGGGGGGATTACAGTTTGTGATAAGGCTAAGAACTTCCTTGAAGCAATTGAGATGAAATTTAAGGAGTCAGAAAAGGCTAAGACTGATTTGATGCCTGATCAACAACTATCTCCACATATTTTTGATCCTAGTATAGACACCATGATGAATCAACCAGAAACAGGAGTTGACACAACACCAAGAAATGAAGAACAAGTTGATCATGTCATTCAACCTAATGAACCAGAACCTGTGAGAAGATCTCAAAGGTCACACAAGCCTGCTATACCTGAAGACTATGTTGGCTATTTGCAACAGTCAGATTCTGGAATTGACCTTGATGAAGATCCCCTTACTTATGTGAAGTGAACAAGCAATTCTGTGGAATGAAGCTATGAAGGAAGAGTTAAAATCCATGGACAAAAACCATGTTTGGACACTTGTGCAACCAAGTTTAAATGCTAAACCCATTGGATGCAAATGGGTTTACAAAACCAAGAGAGATTCTAAGGGGAAAATTGAGAGGCTGAAAGCTAGACTCATGGCAAAAGGTTTCACACAAAGAGAAGGTTTTGAGTACATAGAGACCTTTTCTCCAGCTTCCTCCAAGGATTCCTTTAGAATAATTATGGCTCACACAACACACTTCAACTTAGAGCTCCACCAGGTGGATGTGAGGCCTACTTTCCTCAATGGTGATTTGCATGAGGAGATTTTTATGCAGCAGCCTCTAGGATTTGTTGAAAGGGGGATGGAAAGCATGGTTTGCATATTAAATAAGTCAATCTATGGTTTAAAGCAGGCATCAAGGCAATGGTACCTCAAATTTGATAAAGTCATCACTACTTTTGGCTTTGCAGAAAACAAGTTTGATGAGTGCATCTATTTAAAAGTGAGTGGTTCCAAATTCATTTTTCTTGTACTTTATGTAGATGATATTTTGCTTGCAAGCTCAGATTTTCAGTTGCTTAAAAGTACCAAGGAAATGCTTTCTAAAAGTTTTGACATGAAAGATATGGGAGAAGCTCATTTTGTTTTAGGTATAGAAATTATGAGAGACAGATCAAGATGTCTTTTGGGGCTATCTCAGAAATCCTATATTGAAAAGGTACTTAAACGATTTAAGATGGAGAAATGATCAAAAGTAGAACTTCTTATAGGAAAGGATGACAAGTTGAATAAAAGTCAATCTCCTACAAATGAATTAAAGAATGAGCAAATGAAACTCAGACCTTACGCTTCATTGGTTGGAAGCATAATGTATGCATAGGTGTGCACAATACCTTATTTAGCTTTTGTTGTGAGTGTGCTTGGAAGATTTCAAGCAAATCCTAGAGAACCTCACTGGGTGGCTGCTAAGAAGGTGTTGAGGTATTTTCAAGGGACTAAGTCACATATGTTGATTTATAGCAAGGTGGAGAAACTTGAGATAGTAGCCTATACAGATTCAGATTTGGCAGGTTGCACAGATGACATAAAATATACAGCATGTTATGCTTTTGTTCTTGCTGGTTGTGCTGTTTCATGGAAAAGTACCAAACAAACTGTTGTAGCTACATCAACTATGGAAGCATAGTTCATAGGTTGTTTTGGAGCTACTAAACATGCAGTTTGGATTAAGAATTTCATTACAAAAGTCAGGATTGTGGACTCTATTGTAGGGCCATTGAAGATATATTGTGACAACGAAGCCGTTGTTTTCTTCTCTAGAAACAACAAGAGAACTCCAGCTTCTGAATTGATGGAGATCAAATATTTGCTAGTCAAAGACAAGGTCAAGGAACATGTGATCGATGTAATACATATTGGTATTGAATCCATGGTGGCTGATCCTCTTACGAAGCCATTACCAGTAAGAGTGTTCAAAATACATGTGGCAAAAATGGGTGTTCATTAAAATTTTGATTCTTTTTATCTATGGGAGTAAGTCAAAACTTTATGTATTTCGTCATTTTTAGTGACTTATGAATAAATTATTGCATTGTCCTTTTGTTTTGACAATGATTTTGATACAGTATTTGATTTCTATTAAGAATCCTTATAGAAGACAGCTTTTGTTTATATTGTCTTATTGGTTTTAATCTCTCTAGCTAAGATGATTGAAACACTATTGTTGTTCTGAGAATATTGGCTTCCTTGAGGCATTTAGAAATTCTTAGAACTTATTGATATGACTAATATGTGGGAGTTGAAAACCTTGTGGTTCACACTCATTATGTCATAATATCTGCAACATTGTGATGTTAAGTCTTGTGTATGTAATTTCTGGAAACCAAGACTGAATTAATTTGTCTTGTGTGTCCTTAGGTTCTGCACTATGATTTGACATAGACATTTGCTTGAGAAGGAAGCTTATTACTTTAGGATTCAGTGATCACTTTTGCTACTGGACTGACAAGCTATGATATGTATTGTAATTATACTCAGCGGGAGAATGTTGGAAGAAAATTGAGTATTAATTATAATACATATATTTCACATAGCTTGCTGGACCATATGTATTGGAGTCCAATATGTATAAAGCTATATGGGCCTTCTTATATTGTAAGATATCCATGAATTATGGCATAAGATTAGCAATCCCTAAAATATAATAGGAAGGTTAGGGTTTTGTTATCAATATAAAAGGGCTAGTCCCTATTCTTACAATTAACACACTAAGATATTATCTGCCCTATTGAGATATTAGCATTTGGTATTGCAAAGAATAGAAGATGGCTCCAGCAGACCTTCATGTCTTCTTCTTCTAATCCAGGTTCGTGTTCTTAATTTGTTATTAAGTTTATTGGTTTATTCTAATGTGATTCATGGTGTTATTGTTCTATTGATTTCATTTCATGAAATATATAACATTAAAACTTAAGTAGATAGCTGCCAATCAATGGAGGAATCTTCACCACATAACATATGTCAACTCGTATACAATTGCCAAATCATAGAAACAAATTGCATGAACCCTATATAATTGAATTTTAGTTAGTCATATCGAATAAACTCAAAAAATAAGATGTCAACTCATATTCCATTTATCAAACTGATTTTTATTTAACTATATATGAAATTGCATTCTCGCCAGTCATATCAAACAAACTCAATTGGAAAGTAATATGCCAACACCTATGCCAATTGACAAACATAAACTAGCAATTGCATGACCCCTATGCAATTGTATTTTCGTGCTCCAATAAATCATCTTCTATACATCCAACGAAATTCTCATGTCAGATTGCAATGCTACTGACTTTCATGCAAATTTTACAATTTAGAATAAAGTTACCCACTGAAACAAATTAAATTCAAATTTTGTACAAAACTTAGGTGAGGTTAAGTTTTATCCATAAACATAATTAACTTAAAAAAAGGTGAGGTTAGTTAGGGCTTAGCAAGAGACAGGTGAGATTGTTCAATACTATCCTTAGAAAGCTTCAACTCTAGTGATACCCAGTGCTTTAAACCTTAGGAAACTAATTCCTAAATACTAGAGAAAGCTTTCGTGAGAATCCCTAAATACTAGAGAAAAATATTTACCTATTGCTTTCGTGAGAATCCCCCTTATGGTGAGGATCCCCCTTAATCTTGACCTGAAGCTGTGGTGAGAATCCCCTTTAATATTGACCTTTTGCTTTCGTGAGAATCTTTCTTAACCTTCACATGTTACTATCGTGAGAATTCCTAAATACTAGAGAAAGAAGCCTTAACCTTTACTTGCTATAGCAAGTTATGTTTCAGTTTGTTTATAAATCAAATAGCATGTGCTACTCCATTACAGACAAAAGGCGCATTCATGCGCCTAGTGCACTATAGAAGGTGCTATGTGAATGATGTGCAAATTCAAAAAAATAAATGCATTAGTTTATTAATCAGTTACAATAATGATGTAGAAGTAGTTGAGTATTTGGCCTTAACCAAAACCAATCTCATTTAGCATATGTTCTTCCAAACCAATCTCACTTAGCACCTATTCTTTCAAAATAGTTACAACAAAAATTATGTAAGTAACCTATAATATTTACAACACCGCAAAACTTTTAAAAATTGTTGCAACCAAGGATTGCCTTATTGTAAGTTGTAGAGGATTTTTTGTAAGCTAATGAGTAGATGGTATATCACAGTAAGGGTAGAACTGCAGGCAGGTTAACCAATTAATGAAAAACTTTCGTTGTAGTCTCAAAGAAAACTTAAGAATGACCAAAGAAATTATTTCATTGTGATGGAATAAAAATTTCCTATTACTTATCACCCCTAAATCATTGTTATGGTAGCTTCATTTGTAAACAAACAATTATCATATTGTAGTTGAGGATCAGAAACTGGGTTTTGTTGGAAAGTAAATATAGAGGCTTCTTAGGTTTTTTTCCCTTATTAATCCTACATGGTTTTAGTTTATTAGATTCATGCCTTGCTTAAGTTGTTATGTTATATGTCATATGTTACTTTTTAATTATAGCACACATTATAATTCAATAATTCATTGGGATTTAATAGTCTATTTGTTGCTAACCTTTTTCTTCTTCTTCTTTCAATCAAGTAGACATATGCAATACAAGCCACTGTCAAAGAGATTGATTATGATTTAGTTGCTCCAAAGATAAAACCACGATGTGTTTATGAGATCACACATTTTTATACTGGGTGGAGTAAAACATCAAACAAAGTTGTCCCGTATGTTGCACAATTGTTCTTCAATGCAAGAACAATTTTCACAAAGTTGTCAGATGCTCACTCACACATTCCACGACATCGATTTTATTTTCTTGATTATACCCAATTATTCTCTCGCATAGATAACAATGACATCCTCACCGGTAATAATCTATATATCCCCCAAAAATATGCATTTTTGTATAATATGTATTTATTAACTGTTTTTACACATTTTAATAACCTTACAATGCTAATGTGTTAAATTGCAAGATGTTTTTGGACATATTACTGCAGTATAGCATTTGGAAGAAAAAATGGTTGGCAGCGGAAGACTTGAAACAAAATGTGAAATTTACATTAAAAATATCAGGTTAAGATGTTAACAAAGCATCTAAAAAATTTCAAATTGTTACACCTCTTATTAAAATGTTTTTTCTTTGATGTTTGTTGATCCAGGAGAGAGGGTGTTAAAATCACAATTTGGGGTGACACAGCAAGGACCTTTGATGTTCAAGCTTTAGAGCAGTTACTAACACCAATATTTGCAGCTTTTACAAGCCTCAAGGTTAAACAATTCCAACATATCCAACTTATTTTTACTTCTTTCCATTATTCATACTTCATTTTAAATCAAATAAAATTTGATTAGTCATTTATAAACACGCATGAAAAACTATTCTAAACATCAATGTTTCAACCTTGATTTTCATCAATCCAGATATATAAGAATTGGCGCCATACAAAACGACGTGTGATGTTTTACCCATTGTTTTTCTTAATACACAAATGTGTTTCTCCTTTAACCTAAGCTAACAACCTCTTCTTATAAAAACAAACAAACAAATAAACACAGCTTTGGCGATTCTACACACGTTGTTAGGATCGTGCCTCCTTCTGCAATGCAACAAATGAGACCTCAACAATTAGAAGCTGCTAAAAAACTATATGTGGAAGATTTGAGTGTTCTCGATCCAGATGTGCACAAGGTAAAAACACCAACCTTCTTCTTTTGCCCTTGTATTATTCTTAATTTAATACACAACCTTATAAATTATTAAAACTAAAACCTATTTCACTTTTCTCTTATCACTCTTTGTTTTATAATTATTTTCATTATATTAACCACTTTCTTTAAACATGTTCTAGGATGCTTATGTTCAATGTAGAGTAGCGATTACATGATTTGATACGCGTAATGGATGGTGGTACAGAGCATGCACGTCTTGCTGCAAACAACTGAGAACCAGTCCTCATAGTGATCAGCTGGTTTGTCCAAACCACAACAATCAAATTCCTTCATCTAAACATTTTTCATAAAGTTTAAGCACAACAATCTTGGATTATTAAAACATTACATGAATTTTAAAAATAGGTTTAAAGTGGGTTTGGTTCTTAAAGACTCAATCGATAAAAACAATGTTATGACTATTGGAAGACCATCAGAGCAGTTGTTTGGAACTTCTTGCTGTGAGTTGGTTGTCGAGAAAGATTTTACCAACCAACAAGAGTTTCCAGATGCAATTCTATGACCAAGAGGGTAGTTTAAAAAAATTCAGCTTCGATTTGGCACAATGAAAAATGATTCGAACATAAGCGATCTACTTATCCAAAATGACAAAGTGAAACTTCTTCAATCAAGCTCCAAGTCATTTGATCAAAAATTGGTTGAACACGAGAAGAAAGATATGGTTACCCAAACGCTTCCACTCACTCCAACACTTTTCTTAAAACAAGCTCCACTTACATCTTCACCGTTTCACCCAGCACTTCTCCAGCAGAGTTCACTTCAGATTCAAAGAAAATGTATAGACTTATAGTTAGGAAAGTTCTTTTCAGCTCTTTTACAAGGAAAAAAAAATAAAAAGTGGCAAAGAAGGCTTGATTCACCACTCTATGGCGGTCCAATAATCAACAAGCCCGAACGAGCCTTCCGACGGAAAAAGACCCCAACACCGAGTAAAAAAATTTCTAAATTCAAAAATGTTTTGAAAAAGTAGTTGTAGTTTTCCAGCTGTTATTTAGTAGCTTGGCATCCAAGTCCCCGATCAAACAGCACTTCAATTAAATCCAACCGTTACAAGAAAAAGCCATCATATAGAGAAACCCCGCCGACTTTATTTTCTCCTCATAAAACCCCAAATTCACCGTTTCACCTAGCACTTCACCAGCAGAGCTCACTTCGGATTCAAAGAAAAGATATAGACATATAGTTAGGAAAGTTCTTTTCAGCTTTTTTACAAGGAAAAAATTTAAAAGGTTAAGATTTATTAACTCCTTCACATCAATATTTTCACATTACCTAACGCTTACTAATGCTTTTATTTTTCTTTTATTTACATCTGTCTAAGTAATGTTACAACTAAAAAGAAACCTTACAGAAGTCTCACTGTCAAAACTCCAGAAAAAAAAAAGTTAGATTATGACAATATCCCAATCATCGCTCTTAGGAAGAAAACAACTCAAGCCAACTCCAAAGCCACCTCTGCTACCCCCAAAATAAATTTTTATTCTTTCATTTAAAATTTATTAATTTCACTGAGATTCATAGTACAAGTCATTGCATACATTAAACATCCAATCACTCTAGAATATTCCAATTGATCTATTGCTCTTCCATTGTTAGGATATAACTTGATATGTGGGTCATAAGGTGTTAAAACCGAAGTAGAATCAAAATTATCAAATTTTCTAAGTATCTTCTCAATATAATGTGATTGAGTCAATATCAATCAATTATTATATCTTTTGATTCTCATACAAGTATAACATCAACTTCACCTATGTCATTCATATCAAAACTTGATGATAACTCCCTTTCCATTTTGAAACTTGCTATAAACACATTTGTCTGAATAATGTATCATAAATCCATTGAATACAATCACTTTATCAAACTTTTCATGCCACTGTTTTTGTGATTTTTTTTAAAACCATATAATGATTTAATTAAATTGCACACTTGATGTTCTTGTCCGGGCATGACAAAACCTTCCGGTTCATGCATATATCTTCATCTAATTCACCATTTAAGAATGTTGTCTTAACATCCATTTAGTGAATTCAAACTTATAGATAGATGCTAAGCCTATGAGAACTCTTATGGTTGTTGTCCTAGCAACTGGAGCATATTTATCAAAGTAATCTATGCTTTCCTTTTGTGTAAAGTCTTTGGCAATTAACCTTTCTTTAAACTTGTCAATGTTCCATCTACTTTCATCTTCTTTTTGAAGATCCACTTACACTCTATTGGTTTAGAACATAGGGGGTAAGTCAACTAATTTCCAGGTTTTATTGCCCATGATTGAGTCCATCTCATCATTGATTGCTTCTTTCCAAAAAGCTGCATCTTGTGATTTTATTGTTTCCTCAAATGTAAGAGGATTCGACTGTGTACTTGATATAATCGTAATTGTCTTACTATGTGAGTCTCTTGTACCTTTAACTAGATACATAATGAAATCCGGTCCAAAAGATTTTTCAATTCTTCTTCTTTTGTTCCTTCTAGTCTTACCAAGTTCGTCATCATTATTAGATGCATTAGACAGATTTTGTTCTTGGTTCTCAACCCTTGGTGGAACCTTCACCAATTCCTTAGTGTCTCTATGTATAGATTGAAATCTACCCTCACAAAATTCAGTATCTATAGATTTGATAACGGTGTAAACGCTTATTGAATCATTTGGTTCTATGACAAGAAATCGATAGCCTTTGCTATGTTCTGCATATCCCAAAAATATGCATTCCATTTCTTTTGGTCCCAACTTCTTTATCTTAGGTTAAGGTAACCTAACCATGGCTCTACAACCCCAAACTTTTAAATATCCCAAGTTGGGTTTCCTTTTGAACCATAACAAATAAGGAGTTACTTTCAAATTCTTTGTCAGAACTCTATTTAAAGATGACGAGCAGTGAGCATTGCCTCTCCCTCATAACCTTTACTAAGGTTTGAGTTTAGTAACATGACATTCACCATTTTCACAGGAGTCTTATTTTTCATTTCTGCTACACCATTTTATTGTGGTATATAAGCAATAGAGGTTTCATACACAATTCATATAGATTCACAATAGGATAGAAAGTAATTCTCTCATCCTCTATCGGATATTAGATATTTGATTTTGGTTTCACAAAGTTCCTTTACTTCATTTTTATAAATTTTAAACTTATCAAGTACTTCATCCTTAGTATGCATAAGATAAACATAACAAAACCCACTAAGTCACAAAGTATTTATTTCCTCCTCTAGTAGGTGTACTATGCAAATCACATACATTACTATGTATAATTTGTAGTAAAGTAGAAGTTCTCTCTATCTTAGGAAAAGGTTTCCTACTTATCTTAGTTTGCATACGTGTAACACACTTATCATTCATATCATTCACATGCTTTGGAATTAAATCTAGATTAGACATATCAAGCATTTTCTTTTGTGTTAACATGTCTTAATCTACTATGACATAAAGATAAAGAGTCAAGCATGTAAATAGAAGATGTAGATATATTTTATTAATATTGAGTTTGAACATTCCTTCATACATATACGCCTTTCCAACAAAGTATCACCCTTAGTCAAGATAAATTTATTTGACTCAAAAACTAAATTAAACCCAAACTTATTAAGAAGAATTCTGGACACAAGATTCTTTCTAACTTCTGGAATATGATAAACATCACTCAAAGTAAGCACTTTTCGAGAAGTAAACTCAATGGTGCCTTTGCCTTTGATAACCACAGTGGATGCATTCCCCATATAAAGAACATTTCCATCTTCATATGGCACATAGGTCTTAAATATGTTTTTGTCTTTGCATACATATGCTTGGTTGCTCCGGAATCAATCCACCAAGCATCATTGTCTTCCATAGTATTAACTTCATAAATCATAGCAACGAACTTGTCCTTGTTGTTGGACTCTTGTTTCTTCTTGTAAAGGTGACAATCTTGCTTGAAATGTCCAGGTTTGCCACAATGGAAGCAACTTCCTTTCTTCTTCTTTTAGTTTGAATTTTGGTGGTCTTTGTCAAAAAACTTTCACTTCCTTTTCTTGCTTCCATGATTGTTGAAAGATTGTTTAGGTCCATCTTCAACCATGTAAACCTTGGAGGAGTTAGGAGTATCACCAACTTTCTCTCGGACCCAACACTTTTCTTCAATTCGAATGTGTTTTCCTAATTGATTTATGGACATATCTTCCTTCTTGTGTTTGAGAATTTTCTTATACTCTTTCCAAGAAGGATGAAGCTTTTCCATAATTGCATAAACTATGGATTCATCCATTTTCATTTGATACTAAGAGAGTTGGTTATGTATATGCATAATCTCATGGAATTGTTCACTTATACTTCTATCATCAACCATTTGAAATTTTGATACAAGAAACTTCTTATTAGTTGCATCTTCAGTCATGTGTTTGGTCTCAAGTGCATTCGAAATCTCATTTGAAGTTTTCATCTCATGGTAGATATCGAACAAAGTATCGAACATAGCATTGCATATGTGACCCTTGCATATGTAGTCATCTTGATCCCATTTAGCATGTTCACGTTGGTTTGCAAGTAGTTCTTCTTCTCATTCTGCTACATCTGTTGGCCTTGGAGTTGTGAGGACATGCACCACTTTGAGGCTTGTGAGTAGGAAGTGCAACTTCTTTTGCCAACGCCTAAAGTTTCCTCCATCAAATCGCTCAAGTTTCATAAAATTGGTTGTAAAGTCTTTCATAGACAACATAGCTATAAAAATAAAGTTTGAAAATTGTTGGATATGTAGTTGTATAGGAATGGCTATGGTAGGATAAAAGATGCTTCAAGGTGTGTATGAATACATTATCTTTCAGACTTTATTTGCCCTCACTACTTGTGTGCAACAATGTTAAGCAAATAATCCATGTGGATACAATGAAGCCCATCTTTAAAACTATATGTTGTCAATGTTTTGCACAACCAAAGACAACCCCAAACACACTCAAGAATGTGACAAAGATACTCAAGAATATCTAGAAGTTATTTCTGCATATTATAGTCTCTAGAAGGTTTTAATTTGTGAAATATGATGGAAGAGAGTAATTCAAACACTTAGGCACCAAGAGACATACTTCAAAATCGCACCCCAAACACGCGATGACCGGTCGTTTTATACAGAGACGAAGTATGTAGCTTCCTGCCAGCGACCAGTCGCTTTTTACTGTAACTTTATATTATGAAAATCTTCAACAAGTTATCGAACCATTCTTTTATTAATGTTATGAATTTAATTAAATCTTGTTTTGTTTTAGTTTATGAGTGATTTGAGTTTGTTTATTTACTAATTTAGGATTAAAGGATTTTTGGTATGTTTTAGAACTCTAATTTTTTGTTAAATATTGAATTTGAAGTTCCAATTTTGTTTAGGGTGTCTTAAGAAGAAATTGGAAACAATGGTTACTTGAGGCCTCCTTAGAGATCTTGTACCCATCATCCAGAAGAGAAAATCTCTTAAATATTTATATCAGAACATAGAGATCCACAAACCTTGCTCATGTTGACAAATTCTCCAAGTTGCTTTGGCAAGCATGGCTTGGTTCATCTACATGGTTTTCTTAATTCCTAGCCCCCTTTAGTTTTGGGTCTATACACCTAGCCCCAACTTGTGAGGTGAATCTTCTTGGCTCCTTCAACATCTCCCCAAAGAAAGTCTTTATTGAGCTTATATAAAGAAATTTGGCGGTAAAAGGACCATTTGCTAATTTTAATAGTTTAGGTTAGGACCTTAGGGTTGTTCGGTATCCTACTCAAAAAATCCTGAATTTTTTTTTTAAAACATGAGTGTTTAAATATTGATTTTATGATATAAAAACTTGTTTTGTATTGAACTTTAAACTATTTTTAAGATCTGAAAAAATTGAAATTAAAATAAGAAAATCAGAAACCCTAATTCCCAAATTGAAATTAACAAAAGAAAAGGAGGGAGAGAAAGAGAGAGGAAACGAGGAGAGAGGAAAGAGAGAAAAAAAATATATAAAACCTCACTTTTTTGTTTGTAATAATTGGAATTGTTTGAGTTTTTTTTTAGTTTGAGTTTTTTAAAATTGGGAAATTGGCGGCTTTACCCCTGGCTCACCTAATTTATTCACTAATATCCTTATTTTGAAACTCAATCACAAATGCCCCTTATAAAAACTCTCTATTGACAGCCTATTGCCCATCCTTCACTTAGTTTTTTTTCTTCTGAGTCATTGCTCTATGAAATCCTCTCATCTCTCTAGTCTCTTCCTCTTCCTCTTCCTCTTCTTCCTTCTGCCCCTCTTTCACTTTTGTTTAGTCGTTCTGAGCTCTCCTAAATCCTCTTTCACAATTTCTCAGTCTCACTCTCTCATCCCTCCTCTCCTCTCTTCTCTCTTTCACTCGCACCCACATCGGCGACGACGACTCCACCCTTTCCTCCTCTATCTCTCACTCTCTGTCACCTCCTTCGACCTCCATGCTTGGAGATGGAGTCTCAAGTAGCCAGCTTGGCTTTTCTCCTTCACATTTGGGTTTTCTTCTTCTTATTTCAATTTCATATATGGGTTTGGAAATTTGGTGCTTGTTGTGAGTTCAAGTCCCTCAAAGTCAAATTTGTGAGATTGTACAAAAATTTGTTGAAAAATAACTGTGGGTTTAATTTAAAATTTTACCCTCTGGGTTTACAATTAATATTTTCAACTTGTGTAGAGAATGTTATTTAAGTGGGATTATACAAGAACTTTTTGAGGTATTATGTTTGAAGCTTGTTTATAAAATTTTGGGATTATGCACCAATTTTTTCTCAGTTTGTCTTGGGATTGTGCGACAAATTTTGGGTTTTTCGATGAGATCTGACTCCCAACTCCTCTCTTATTAGCTATCTCTTCCAACTCGCAGCTGATTCTTTTTGGGTTCTTTGGTGAGGTCTATAATAAACATGTGATATACACGCAATAAACAGGCAATACATAGGCAATAAACATCAATATACGCGCAATAAACAAGCAATACACATGCAATAAACAAGCAATATACACTAAGGGAGAGAGCTTGTATTAGAGTTATCTTGCTGAGCATGTTTATTGCAATAAACAAGCAATATACACTCAATAAATCTGAAATTTCTAAGTTTTTTTTTATTGTCTTACTATTGTCATCATATTGCCCCTGTATTGCTATTTTATCGTTGTCATATCACTTTTTTTTTCAAGTCTGTCTTGGAAAGTTTCTGTTGGGTTTCAGACAAATAAATGCTTCTGTTTCAAACAAAAATTTAAAGTCAATGCCAATCCACCCATTTTAAGAACAAATATTACAATGCTTGTGGTGGCTAATGATGTGAATGAGGAAGATGGGTCTTTGGACCTAGGAAAAGAAGAACATGGATAATTAGGAATTAGGGTTGAGAATCAATATGAGAGAGAGAGAGAGAGAGAGAGAGAGAGAGAGAGAGAGAGAGAGAGAGAGAGAATATGCAAAATTGGGAATTCATCTCAGATAGAGCATATCAGAGAAGAGAAGAAGAAGAAGCAAAGAAGAAAGCAATTGGGAGTGTCATCTTAGAGATAGCAAAGCATAGAAGAAGAAGAAGAAGAAGAAGCAAAGAAGAAAGCAATTGGGGGTGTCATCTCAGAGATAGTAGAGTATAGAAGAAGAAGAAGAAAGCAAGGTTTAGAGAGAGAGAGTAGTAGCAGAGACCAATTTCACATTACCAAAAAAAGTGATAAAAATGATACTGGGCCAATAGGGAGGTTTTATAGAGGATATTTTTGAATGAGTTTCAAAAAGAGGACATTGTTGAATAAAACATTGGAGCCAAGGATAAAGCCGCCAATTTCCCTTAAAAATTGGCCTAACAAACGGTTTTATTGGGCTTTGGACTTAAAATTTGTTTTTGAGTTTTTAAAATTAGAACCAAGTAGGATACCAAACGGCCCTTAAATTTCTAGAAGGGTAAAGTATATTGCAGGGGTTCACCAAAAAAAAAAGTATATCACAGGGCAAATCGCAAGTTACCTACAAATTAGAGGCCGGAATTGGTAATTACTTTTCTTCTTTTCTGGGTCGGTGGGCTGTTGTTGAGATTCAACCCAAGAGGGTGAAATCCGACCCGTCCCGGATCCGTCTTCTTGCAGATCTCCAAAAACTCATTTCCAGTTCCCAATTAGCAATTGGTGCAACAACAAAATAAGAAATCTCAAGGCTGAAGCGTAATGTAGTATCTAATCTGTGAGATTTCTAAGGGTTATCTTTTGGGGTTGAAAATGAACAATTTCAGTGCTGAAGATCTGTCAACCATCGGAGGAATTGCAACGGTGTCGCTTCTGCATTCCTTCATACCCACGCATTGGCTCCCCTTCTCCATCGTAGGCCGAGCCCAGAAATGGACTCTCTCCCGCACTCTCTTCGTCAGTATGTTTCCTCTTGACCCTCCATTTTTCGTTTTCTAGGGTTGTTTGGTCACTCACAGAGTCATAGTCATTGCTCATGAAGGTGATGGTGAAGGTGAAATTGAAAGTGAAAGTGTGCTTTCCTGTGATGTTAATGGTGTAAACTAGTTTAGAAGAATTCTGGATCTGCCTTGATTTTTTTTCTCTCTGCTTTTAAGTTTTAAGCATTTCACTTTTTTGAGTTTAACAGTTGGAGGAAAATTAGTGGATTAGATAGATGATTTTTCAAGTTTAGGTCAAAGCTGTAAAGGACCTTTAGGGAAGGGAACCCTGTTTAAATTTGTTGCTTTCCAGTCATAACCCAGTTCTCTTTGATGCTGCGCAATTCAACTATAGGATAATTTGGCATTGCATTAGAGAGAGCTAAGCAAGCTTAATCTGCTTAGATTAGATAGATACCAGGCAATCTGGACGAATGGTCTAAAATCAAAATTCAATTTGGCGTTGCTTGGGACATTCTCTAGTCCATTTCACTTTCCAAATTACCCTCATTACAAGGTTTCCTAAGTAAGTTTGCAGCTGCCTTGCCTTGTCTAATGGGAAAAAAGGTGTTATATGTGGTCTTTGGTTCTCATAGTAAGAATTTTGGGAGTGTATAGTTCATAAAGTCGGAGAATTTTTCATATTAGACTGGGTGATGCCATCTGTCCGTCTCGTACACTTTAAACCCTACGTGAGATCCCGGCGGGACTTTAGTTTTCATCCTTCTTCTTCCTCCCTCCCCTCCTCTCTGTGTCTGTCCTTGTCTGTCTGTCTCTCTTTCTGTATCGCCATAACTATTTTACAACATTTTTTTTTGTTTGATTCCAAGCATTATTGCATCCAACAAAACTGAGTCATTTTAGCGCATGCACTTTAGAACCTGTACTCTTTTCCAATCATGCTAACTCCAAACAACAATTTTCTTAACTATTCATAAGCCGTAATCCTTTACATAACAAATTGCAGGACACATTTACATGTTTTAAAATTCTCTCTCTCTCTCTCTCTCTCTCTCTCTCTCTCTCTCTCTCTCTCATATGCTCATTTAAATTTATTGTTTTTTCAAAAGTTAGTTTTAGGAGATGGATGTGCTTAAAATTTAGCATTGTCTATCCTATCAAAGAAATCAAAATAAGGATTGCTAAGAACTTTTATTTATTTATTTATTATAATAAGAAACACACACACACACACACACATATATATATATTATATTTTATATTTTATTGATGTAAACGGAATATAAATATTGCAGGATAACAAGCAATCCAACCATGAAGGTACAAGAAAGACCCCTATTACCAAACTGGCAGTACAATTATTAGTCTATAGATAACACTGACCAATTAAAATTTCATAATTGCCTTGAGATATCGCAGCCTCCCAGTCCACCTTAAAAAGAACTTAGTTCTTTTGCAAAGTATTTGGGTATCTAAATGAGGACATATGCTGAAAAACTCTTGTACTATGAAAGATCTTGAAGAAACAATAAAAATTCCATACTGTAGTACAAGCTGCTACACTTTGTTCATTGTAGTGCATTGGTTATATGCCTGCCTCAATACACTTCATGACCCTTGAAAACATGTAGAGAAGTTTCTGTTGAGTTTGACTAATATTTATTGGCTTAAAAACTTTACCTATTTGAGCTAAACTATTCCTGTAGACATGGCTTAAAATTTGACTCAGGTGCCTTTACTTTTCTAAAGGTGTGGTTTGATGAACCTATTATTAAATTGCAGTACCATTCTTTAGTGCAATGCTGAAGGCTTTGGTTTCTTTTCAAAAAAAAGACTTTGGTTGTCAAGAACACCTTGTAAGGGCCACCTAGGAAGGATTACCTGACTGAGGTTTAGAGTAAATGGGAATGCATGAATCCTTGATCTGGATGATGCCCCATATATTTAAGCCAAGCTATATCTCTGTAAAAGGTTTTCTTTTCTTTTGTTCTGAGTTCACCAATACAAGATTATAGATTCTGAAAAAAATGCATAAAAATTCAGTGTTTAAATGTTATTGTGACAGTGCTTTCAGGACTCATGTTCACTCTATGGTATTTTCTTGTGCAGCTGCATTTGGAGCAGTCTTGCATGTAATATCCACTTCAATACTCGGTATAACAGCAGTCACCATGGCAAATACCATAGCTGGCGAGGAAACAGTACATAAACTTGCTTCACTTCTGCTCGTAGTTCTTGGTGGCGGTTACATTTTGTTGTTCTTAACTGGAAAAGGTGGTCACAGTCATTCACACAACCAACCCATGGAAAAGATGGCTGTTGCAGGACTTGTACTCGTTCCTGCATTGTCTCCTTGTGCAACCACACTTCCGGTATTTCTTGCTGTTGGGAATTCATCTTCCATGATGGTGCTTGCTATCGTAGTGCTGCTATTCAGGTATCAATATTTTAGGATCAAGTTTTGTATTTCTTGTTTGTCTCTTGATTACCTAATTATGACTTGGTTGCTGGAACTTTCATGAGCAAATTTGAGAACTTAGTAACTTTTTTGGTTAGTAAATTGGCACAAAACGTTTTGAAGAGAAGTGGCTTTTTGCACCCACGTTTCACTGAGGGAAGAATAGATAACCAACGCAAAGTTAAATGTGCACATTCCCCTTCTTCTCAAATAAATAATGGCTTCAATCAATATTATTCAGTTATGTTTTCATTTATATTTGGGAACATTTCAGTCAATATGCACTCATGTTTCTATCAACCTTGATTTGGAAATCTTTATTGACCCCCTGGAGCTTTTCCAATGTGAACTTAAACATTTTTCAGCCATCAGCAATTTAAACACGAACCTGATATAATTCCTTCCAAACTTCCTTTTTTTCTTTGGATATTTCATTTTCTCAGTTTGTCTCAGAAATCTTTGTGTTGAGCAAACCTTGTGAAGTGTTTGCCTAAGTGGCTTTTGTGGTTTACCAGACAGTTTAGATTTCTGAACATCCAGAATTGACTTTCTATTACTTGGTTGCTGCTAGGTTAACAGTTTTCTGGTCGGCCTAGCATTTAATTTAATTGGGCATTGAAATCATTGAATTACTGAAATGATGTTCTGATTAATTGCCTGTATGTGGTCTAATTTATAATGATTTGGAAACTCCTTCCGCTAACATAAAGATCCTTGCTTCATGGTATTGAATTACAGCACCATAACCGTGATGACTTCACTGGTTGCACTGTCATTCTATGGTGCCAGCCAGCTCAAGTTTCACTGGGTGGAGCGGTACGACAAACTTCTTGTTGGGTCGGTGCTTTGTTTGGTAGGAATGTTAACACTTGTTTTTCATGATCATGATGGAGAGGGAGGTACCTCTGGGGAGCATTTGCATAGGAAAATCATTGCCCTCTGAAGATCTTTGTCATCTTTCAAAGTGTATTTTGTGCCTTCAGGCAAAAGTTATGATAAGAGAATGTTGCTCCCGTCTGTATCAACCAGTGTATGCAGCCCTTCCTTTGATGTGCTGTTAACGGAGTGTTGTAATGTTTGGTTCAATTGGTTCATTCTGATGTTGTTATATATGACAGTTCTGTCTCTGGTTTTGAGTAACTTGTTTTTGTACGTGCATTAAGCTTGTTGATCCGTTACATAATTGTAACTATTTTTTGTTCTTTGTTGCTTTTTTCCAATCAAATAGCTTGCAGAATTGGTTTAGCCTCCCTTGTCCATTGGATCCCTCGCTCTCATACAAAAACTCCACTTAAAAAGACACAATACTCTCAAAATTAAAACTCACAAAAACTCTCAAAATTATTAGTTTTTTTTTATTAATCTCTTAACAGACTTGTCAAGTATATTATCCAACAAATAACATGTTGTAATTAATTCAAATCTTCTTTTCGAGTATGATACAAAACAGGGCATCCTTCATTCAACCTCTCTCTGCTTTTGAAAGTTTTCCTCCTCGGACTGATTGGGTATGGATACATAAACATCTAAAGCTAAGGTGGCTTTGATTCACTTTGTTATTTATAGAAAATAAAAATAAATTTCTCTTACATAGAAATTGCTTATGTTTGGTCAAGCAGGTTTTGGGCTGATTTTTTGTGGATATGAAGGTCTTGTTTGGAAGACTGCAATTGCGGGGTTGCGGTTTTCGGCGGTGGGAGTTATGTCTGTGACAAAGAAAACTTACCACCCAGACATGTCAGAAGGGATCTCAAGGAGTCCACCACAGTTGTCTTCAAGGTCGGCATCATAACAAGTAGCACCATAAACAACACTCAAAGCAACACTAATCTAATACCCATTCCCGGGAGTCCAATTACCACAAACAAGAAAGTGAAACTTTAGCTCTCATAATATTCTCAAGTGTGGCCCTCGTAATTTCTGGATTTTACATTTTCAAAATTCAGACTTCTACGGTCTAACTGAGATTAATGGTCATTTTAGACTACTGGCTATATTTGAAATTTTTATAAAAACTGACATTTAAAAAAGTATGGGCAAAATTTTAGCTATTTTTGATAAAAACTCAACTAAAATATAACTACTGCATTAAAAAGTCTAATAATAGCACATCCATAATTAACAACAAATATAGAGATATTACATCAACAACATAATGACTAGGAGGCATGTCAATATCAAGCTGTTAGAAATGTGTACTAAGAGTTAATACATTTGATGTAACAAAGGACACTAATTTTGTTATCTTTTGCACAATTAAAGAAATAATGTAACGTCCCTGACCCAATTTAATTGATTTAATCCAATTCAATTCTTTTGTGAAATTACAATTTTGCCCTTAGGAGTAGGGGTACTTCGGTCACTTTTTAATCCAGAGGGATTTTGGAGAAATGAGTGGCACCGTTGCGTAAAGCTCGCTCTCCCGAATTCGTAGACACATAGTGAGCCCAAATCGGAGTTTTAAAGAAGAAGTTGTGGCCAACGGAAGTGCGGTGGCACAATTATAAATTTTTCAATGTTGGATTTTAAAAACAGATCACCTATCTCTCCTCTCTCTCTCTCTCTCTCTCTCTCTCTCTCCTTCCTCCGCACGATACTCAACTTCAGGTGGCAATTTTGTTGCCGTCCGGCATCCATTTCAAGCGAAATTGGTTACAAAAGTTTCGTATCGACGTCCTCTATCTAACTGACCTATTTTCCCAGCTCAAAAACCCAGTGAAATTAAACTGGAATGACTGGAAGTTCGGGTGATTTTCAAAGTTTCCGACGCCGTTTCCGGTGACTCTGGCCCTCATTTTTGTCGAGTGAGGTATGAAACTTCATCTACTCTTCATGATCTATCCGTTTATGTAGGTATTGTAGATCGATTTTGAGGTTTTATAAATCGTCCAATATACCCATTTTTGGCAGACGGTTTCGGGTCCATTCCGGCTAGTTTTTGGCCATGGTCCACGAACTAAAACACTCCTTTGTTAGTCTAAACGTATTGGTATAGATATTGTAGAGTGTTTTGAGAATTTTTTGTCGCCAGAATTTTCTCAAGCCACCCACTCGCTGCTGACGGGTGTGGCGGAGCATGGGCCATGATGTGGTGGCCCATTGTGTTCTGATTTGATCCCCATGTCGTCTCAAGTGCAACGGTATGCTAGGATTTGAATTTGAATATCGTATGACAGTCGAACGAATTTACGCCCATTAGACGAGATCCGGGTTCGATATGTTCGGACAGTTGGATCGGCTCCAATTTTAAGTATGTTGTTCTCTGTACCCCCTAAGATCGTGTAGGAACTCACATATCTAGAATCGGAATCCTGGATACTCTGAATCAATGATTCTAGGGTTAGGTGAACTGGTGACCACCCGATCATGCGATCAAGAGCAATCCGACCGCTCGATTGAGACCAAACTTTCAGGACGTGTTCAGTAGACTTTGTTGGACCTTTAGGAACTTTCGGATTTGAAATAGGAGGTAATGGGCCTCGTGGGCCTTGTTGACCAAAAAATGGAAAGTTTGACTAAACCGTTGACCACGGGTCTTTTGAAACCATCCTGTCATTTGGAAAGTACTAGAGTAGCCTTAGGACTTTTCCAAGGTGACGGGTCCACGTTAATTCCCGGGAACTAGGGTTTGATTTTTAATGCACGGTTGAGAATGTATAACGAGTTTTGGTAGTGTTTGGACATTTGATTTAGTGTGCGTTACTCTTTCAACACTTGAAAGATATGTTTATAGTACTTTAATTTTGAGATTGGAATATTGTTCAATTGTGGTTATTGGCTGTTATATTGATATAAATGAAGCTTTGGGGATGGTATGAATTGATGCATGATTTGATGTTGAATGACGATAATTCCTGTGTGAATATGGAATTCAATTATGATTGTGAAAATCAAATCGGTTGGTATTTAATATTTTGGTTTGACGTTATAAATGTGTGGGGTTTGGAGTATATGTTTTTTAGAGCTGCTGTCTATACTACAATATTTTGAGTTTTGGAAGAGATGATTATGGGATTTCCAGGGATTACTATTATTATTATTATTATTATTGTCATCATCATCATCATCATTACTATTATTATATATAAGGATTTGGGGTACCTTTGAATAATTGGAAATTGGATTTTGAGAATATTATCTTTTATTATATATATTAGTTTATGAAAGTGGATTTTGGATCTTGACGATGCCACGCCATCATGTACACCCCCCTCCCCCTTCCCCATTGGATACTGATATTGGAATTGATGGATAATGGATACTTGGAAACTGTGGTTATGGTTTGGATATGTTGGAACCCGGACACCCTTGACGGAATGTTACCGTAGACCTTTAGTGGGGTAGTCTGAGCTCGTAGGACTTGTCACAGGCGCATGAGTATTGAGGATTCTGATGTGCATGCTGGTGAGCTCAATCCCCCAGTTGGACGGCTCATCCCTGGCCACATGGTTGTTGAGGATTTCTCTGTGTGGTTTAGCCAAACGATTCCCGTGTTAGATTGTTTTCCTCAGTACATGATGTGCACTATCATATGTACCTCCCCTTGGATACTGATACTTGGAAACAGTTGATATGGATACTTAGATACTTGGATACTTGGATATGATCGGAACCCGGCCACCCTGGACGGGGTGTTTCGTAGACCCTTAGCAAGGTAGTCTGCGAGTGTAGGACTTGTTACAGGCGCATGAGTATTGAGGATTCTGCTATGCATGCTATTGAGCCCAGTTCCTCGGTTGGACGGCTCGTTCCCTAGCCACATTTGACATGTAGATAAAACTCCATATGAGAACTACAGTTGATCATGTTCAATGCACTTAGTCACTATTGAGCACCCACATACCTGTTTTAGTGTCACTATACAAATGGTTTGAGACAAACCATTCTTGTAATTTAGCATACATAGTATGTGCTAATCTTAACAGTTTATCAATGCCCATTTGATAGGCCCACAATTAGGAACTTTTGGGATATGATAATTTGGACTTTGTTTTTTAATCGACGCAAAAGATAACAAAAGAAGTTTGCCCTTTATTTATCATATAGGAAATGTGTTCTAAGGAGATTATAACAAATATATTGGCTCTTAGGATACATTTCTAACACAAGTAACTAGCACAACTACACGCACATCTGATGACCTACCAAAAGTTGAAAAGTAGCTCCCCCTTGTTTTTCTTGCTCACCTAAAGAATCTAAAAATAAGAAATTGTGAGCAACTTTTTAATTTGGTTAATCCAACATCTGATATAGTTTCAACTATCATAACCCCAAAAAAAATATTGTTCATCTTCCTCGCAATCATCTCTCTCCGGATTCCTTTCTCTTTATAAGGTTAGTGTGTTTGCTAGCGTGCCACTTTTGGCAGTGAAAATTCCAAGAGACTGGGATTGTATAATATATCATGCACACCAATATTGCCTTTAATAAAAAAGAGACTGTTAATTGGGTGGGGAACTGGTCCAAGAAGAAGACTTCAATATTATTCTAGTGCAAAAGACAGAAACCAAACATAAGACAAGCAAAATGAATAGTAAATAAAATCTAAAGATTTCTATGTTAAGACAACCTGAAACAAAGGGCAAAAAAGTAAACAATAAACAAAGTTTGAAGATTTCTCTATTCAGACTTGGAAATTATACTAAGCAAAGAAGAAGGCACACCAATAAAAATAAAGAAATTCCTTAGGAGTTGTCAACTGGAACTTTAAAAAAGAAAGCAAATTGTTTCAATGTTGAAATCTGGTTGAGATATTCAAATTGAGACGTTGTGTATGTTGAGAGAGTTGAAAAATATTTAATATTGATGGCTTCTCCTTTTATTTATAGACTAGCCTCTCCGCACGCGCTTTCACGCCTGCGAGAGGTTTTTTTTTTAAAAATTTAAATTTATTTTATAATTAAAAAAGATAATGGGTAGTTAGTTGTGTTCTATAAAAATATGATCAATTATCTGATTTTTTTTGTAATATGAAAAAAAAGTGAATTTACCATATTATCCTCATTTAATTAATAATTTCAATTCTTAATATTTGCATTAATTAAGAGCATTTTTTGGTATTTTGAATGTTTCACAATTCTCTGCCTTTTGCTTTATATATATAGATAAATGGAGGCGAGTTTGATGTTTGGTCCAGCTGCCAATGAAATTTACCCATTTGCCATTGATTTTTGGTAAGTGGGTTGTTGAAAAGAAGGAAAACCGAACATATTGCTATAGTGTCCCTAAGATATCTTCCAAACAACACATTTTCCCTTCATTATCACACTTATTTTATTGTTATTTTTTAAATCAACCCGAGCCTCCATGCCGACTCATGTTTTTCATTGACAGAACGAAGGTTGGTTAGGAGACCATTTAGCTTCTTCTCTAAACATTCTTTGAGGGGTGAGAATCCAAGAAGGCCACATTAATCCAAATGCTACCAAATTTGGATACGTTGTTCAACACATATGGCAGAACAATATTCATGAAGAACACAACTTCCTTTGAGCAATGGGAAGTCATATCAGGCATGATTCAAACTGACTGACCGTCACAAACGCTTTCTTCGAACATAGTTCAGGTTTTTACAGTTTGAGAATGCTGATCCAAAAGCTCCCAAATTTGGATATCTTGTAGTAGACATCTAAATGAACAACTTTTGTGAAGAAAGAAAGTTCATTTGAGTATTGGAAGCTGCTCATTTGGGCAAATCGAGCAATAGATTGGGCATGTCATGCTTCAGTATTTGATGCCCTGAGAAAGCTATACCTGTCCATATTCTCTCGAATTTGGACATAATGTAGTAGACATTCAAATGAACAACTTTCATGAAGAAAGAGAGAAAGTTCATTTGAGCATTTCAAGTTGCTTATTTGATTGCTTCGATCTGACTAAAAGTCTGGGCTATCAAATTTAACCTTATAATATTGGATGAAACATAATTCATTCATTCTGGGTATATTTTCAATTTTGGCTCAAACACTTCTTATCATTCTTGGAGGAAGCCAAAAATTTAACTTTGAATTTGTTAACATATTGAAACAATTGTTAAAATGATATAGATAATAAAATTACATAACGAGCACATCTATTGATGTCTACAAATAGATTCAATTCAAGGGTCTTGTATTCGGCCTCATGGGTCTTTTGAATGTCCTGAGAGTGTATTTGTAAGATAAGAGAAGAACAATGAACACCTAGGCACCAGTGTGATACCGGCCTAAAACTCTCAAATGATATAAATTAGGGATTGTCCTTAAGATACATGTAATCCAAACTACATAAACAAAATTGATCAAAGTGAAATTATAAGGACGTCAATGGTAAACTACGGAAACCAAAAGTGACATTTTGCCTTTAAAACTAAGCTGATTTTAATTTTTGAAATCTAGAATTTCTCTTTCTTTTTTTTTGAATGAAATCGAGAGTTTCAGTCGTCAGTTATCTTTAAACAATAGCAGAAAACCCTCAAATCCGGTTTGTCGGTGTGTAGTAGAAAATTCCCAGCTCTAATATAAGCTCTAAATACTGATTGGTTCCTAATCTTAAAAATAATTTAGCCCAACCATATTATCCCACGAAATCTCTCCATCTCCCGCCATCTCAAATAGCCCAAAACCCTAAATATTTCCCGCCTTCGAGAAACTCAATTAGCCAAACCCCCATTTTTCAAGGAAAGTTCACATTTTCTTCAGAGCCAAACACCCATCTTCCTCTGTCTTGTTAGGGTTTCGCGAACCAATTTAGTGCACCACCCCTAGAAAATTAGAATTTGGAAGGGTATTGGAGATGACGGAACTAAACTGGAGACACCAGACGGTCATTCAAGCTCTGCTTTCACGCGGCCCACTCAAGGAGGACCAGTTCCACCGCATCTTCACGGGCCTCACCGGAAAAACCCCAGGTCTTCCTCTTCATAATTTGCCCAAAATTCCCTATTTTCTTTATTAATTTTTGAAATTCAATGGTTCAGTAATTCTAGGGATAAACTGATATTTTCCTTTGGATCGATGTGTCTTGTGTCAAAATTAAAAAAATTAAAAAAAAAAAAAAAAAAAAAAAAAAAAAAAAAAAAAAATCAATTTTGCTAGAAATGGTATATTTTTGTGTGAAATTCTTCGTGCTGTTAAGGTTAAAGTTTCTGGAAAAATCTAAGAAAACAATCATTGTTTTTAAAAATTGTGTTTTTAATGTTAGAATTATTCTATAGCAATGATGGTGACTTCTTGGTTGTAGGCAGCGATTAGGAGGATTAACAGGAATTATTTGAGCACTTACCTTATGACGATGTCTTATTTGAAACAGGTAGTGACCGGCAGCGATTTGATGATTTTCTTCTGAAGATAAACAAGGCACTTTCTTATGTTCAGTTTGAGTTGCGGGGATGCAGATTTCAATATGATGGTCAAGTTTATTATGGAGTTGTCAATAATGTTTCTGACGAAGAATCAAAGCTGGGAACAAAATATTCAGTTGCCCAGATTGCTTTCTATAAGGCTATTGTAAGTCTCAAAAACTCTTTTAGATTTCCGGCATTTATATAGTTTGAAAACTTTGATTACTTCTTCTCCATGGTCAATTGATTTTATGAATGGAAGAGATATAGCATTACTTATCAGCTAAACCCTACAAGCATATTGTCTTGCAGTGGGTTTCAGAAAGTTCAGGGTCCCTTGTCAGCCCTTAACTACCCATTAAGAATGACTAATTGTTAATTTCAGTCAGTCAGAGTTGACATTGTAGCACATTGTGTATGAGGATTAAGATGGCTTTATAGAATGAAATCCAGTTAAAGAAGTAATCAAATATTGCTTGCCATTGATCCTCCGATATATAATCTGCGAAGCTTAGGTTTAGCTTGTCGTAGTTAAACTGACAAACCAATGATCATACAAAGCTCTGTTGAATTCAAACATTTGTACCACTAGAGGAACTCTTTTGAGTCAATGATTAATGTCTTTAATATGCCAACTTATGGGTTCCTTCTTAATTCTTATATACCTTATGTGTTTCTTGTCCTCCTGTAATATTCTTTGAAGGCAATCATGCGATTTATCAATTTGCAAATCTCCTTTACAAGAATCTCCATCCTCCAAAAATACCTTGGAAAATGATTTATCAGCTGAATCAACAAATTCTGTTCGTTTGTGTTTCTGAAGCAATATAAAGTCGTATGACTCTCCTTCATGCGACTGAGAGAGACATCCAAACCATAATACAAACAAAAAGGTTAACAACCTTTTGAATCTCCATGCATTTTTCTTATAGATTGCTGCAGTTGGTTGAAAATGGGGTTCCTCCATAAGCTGTCTCTCGCTCATTCTGACAGACAGAAAGAGAATTCTGAGCTTATTCTCTTTAGTTTTTATCTAAGTTGTGTGCTTAAAATCATATGCAAGTATGTTGTTCAAGCAAGCATATGCACATGTACATGTGTATATGTGAAGAATACTTCCTAGTAAGTTATATAATTCGTCTAAAAAAATGAAAATTCATTTCATTGTGCTGTCCTTGCTGCTCATAATAGAGGAAATGTAGACATTCAAAAAGTACAAGAGTTTGTTCATTATGGATGAACAAGAAGCTGCCCCAGTCATATTGTCATATGTGTTGTATAAGTGGTTGAACTCCAGTTTAGATGCTTGATGATAAGCTTCCGTCTAAGTATTGGCCCTTATATGAGACTTTTAAGAAAAAGTAGATAAGCTGCATATCTACAACTACATGCAGATTTCTTCTGAAGTTGTATATTGACTAGTGTTTCCGTTGTATCATATTCTGATATTTACATAACTCCATTCAAATTATCTTAGTATGTTATTTGATATTGAATATCAGATAGAAGCAATCGTGCAAGATGGTGCAGCTCAAGGAACCATATCTAACATTGATGCTCTTAATCTACGATTAGAGAATCAGGTTTGGCAATTTTTGCTTTACAATAAAAGCTCTTTTTCGTGCAATATATAATCTTTTCTTTCCATTAATATTTTGTATACAACCACTGTTATCCAGCGACCTACTGGCATAGTTAAATTTAATAACATTTTGGTCTTCTTTTAAACGTTAGAATGAAACAGATTCATAATTATTTGCCTGCAGACTTACTATGATAAGGTCCTATTTTATTTTCTTCAAACATCAAGCTTTTGTGGTGGCAGAGTTCTCTCGATGATTAACGAGATAAAACTAAACTTTTTTTTATTTATATTTGTTTTGCCTGTTTTCAGAAAACAAAATAAAAAATAAAAACTAGAGTTCTCCAGGCATATGTATGTTGTTAACACTTAAGTGATGTGGGCATGTTATTAATACCCCAGCTTAGCAATTTAAGGAATGGACAGAAATAAATCTGCCTCATTAGATGAGACTAGATACAAAGAACTTTGAGTAAACTCGCAAATGTTATTAAACCTGTTCATGCCTTTGTTTGCTTGATAACTCTTGTGTTCTATCTTTAGGTTCTAATGGGTACAACGTCGCAATCACATGGAGGTCTACCTCATGTCGCTCCTGCATTAAAGAATTTCTCAATATCTATGAAGGAAAAAACTCTTGATGAACTCGTACAGGACCAGTGGCTTAGCGTTACTCCAAATAATTATATTGGACTTGGTGTCAGATCCTTCCTCGATCTACGAAGTTGGTTTCGCAGTAATGATGTTCCAGCGTGTGAAGTGTGCAATGAAGCTGGGGTGAAGGTTGTCTGAATGTTGCTTTGCCTTGCTAGTGTTAATTTTTATTTCTTTCTACATCCCTAAATATTCAAAAGCTTCATCACTTGTTTACTATTGTCAAATTATTCAGCCCACTGCCTTGCTCCTATGTTTTCTTTCTTTTATTATCTTTGTTTTGTTTCTTGCTGGAGGATGCCTATATTTAATCATGTGCATTGCTTCTGTGAATGCTTGTAAATTATGGAACCCGAGAATCTTGTACTAAACAAGTTAGCGCCTGTAATTTGCCAATAGTTTTCTGATGCCGTTGTATCTGACAAATTTTGGGGTTATTTTTGACAGGCAGCGTTGTGCCAAAAAGAAGGTTGTACAGCTCGAATCCATGAGTACTGTCTTAAGAAATTGTTTTCAGAAAGAAAGGTAATGATCAACTTATTTTTTAGTAAAACTGAAGAGTTTTTGGTCTAGGTTAATCTGCTTGATGTATTTCAGGGGGAAAGAGTTTGTCCAAGTTGCGGTACTCAGTGGCAATATACGGTAACCAAAGCAGAAGCTGTAGAAGATGATGAACCAAATTACCCTACTCAGAGCCAGCCACCTGTAGGATCCAAGAAAAAGAGGCCGAGAAGAAATGAAATTGGTGATGGAGATATATCTGGTTCCTCTCAAGCTTCTTTACCTGGTGGTCCTAATCTAAGAAGATCAACTCGAAGCTCTATCCGTCTTCAATAATTCGATTTCATGTCGCCTCTTACAAGTAGTATGGAGTATATTGTATATTCTTCTCCGAACAATCTTGCATTTGCTGAAAACGTCATGCAAGTACGAAAGTAGGGTTTTTGTAAGACAATGCTGTAGAAATCTGACGTGATTGTAGGATTTTTATGAGGGAAGGTTGTAAAATTCTGGTGCATTACCCCTTAATATATTTTGTGCTATGATCAGGAACTTGTTTTTAAAGATGAACATGAAAGCTATCTAATTCTGGAGTGGACAGGAGTGAAACTCTGCTGTTGCGATGTGACTCTGCTGTCTCATGCGTCAGTGAAATTGTAATTATTATTATTGATTCAATAATGTTCTTGCTGTTAGTTCCTAGCTAATTATCCACAATAGCAGGGCAGTCATTTTTGCCACTGAACGAAGCCAAGCACTGCTTACTTTTCTTGCCAAGAAAATATTAACAAAGAGTAATTGTTCTCTTGACTCTTTCCTGCTCATTTCTTCTAGTTTCTGTCATTATTAAACAATTTTATTCCTACCGTATATAGAAATAGAACCAAAAATACATTATTTTAGCTAAAATCAAGGGACCCACAAATGAATTGCATGGGCCGCTATAAAAAAAAAGAAAAGAAAAGAAACCGACCCCAAATGAACAGAAAGATGACCGTTTGAACTCTAAATTAGACGTTGGACTGATGAGGGAGGGAAGGGACCTTCCTGGCTAGTAATGGAGGCCCACGCGGAAACGAGGAACCCACCAATGAATTACAATGTGGAAAATAATTGGAAGTTGACTGGAAGGTTCATTGAAAAAAAGAGAAAAAGAAAAGAAAAGTGGACTTGCAGAAGGCTTTAACAAGAGCAGAGCAGACCAACAAGGGGAGCTGTAGTAGCAGAGTTGAGAGAAAAAAGAAAAAAGAAAAACCAATCAAAGAGAGAAAAGATGGCAGAGCTTGCTGTTGCAACTGCCGTGGAAAAGCTCACAAACTTGATAATTCAAGAAGCGATTCTGTTGGATGGGGTTGGTGAGAAAGTTGAGCAAATCAGAAACGAATTGAGGTGGATGCAAAGCTTTCTCAAGGATGCAGATCATGCAGCAGAGCAAGACAGAAACGAAAGATTTCGCAATTGGGTGTCTCAGATCAGAGAAGTGGCCTTCGATGCCGAAGATGTTGTAGAAACTTACCTCAGAGAGGCAGCAGCAGCATCACAAAGTTTATGGAAAAAAGTTGTAATGCCAATCCATGTTCACAAAGTCAAGAGGGGGATTGAAAAAATCCAAACAAGGATCGACCACATTTCTAAGCAAAAGGACAGTTTCGGCATTGCAAGCATGATCGCTTCGTCTCGAGAGGGAGGTGAAGGGAGCATTTCAACAAATGAGAGACTGCGATGGTGGAGACAGCCATTACCCCATATTGAGGAAGATGATTTGGTTGATCTTGTACAAGACACTGAGGCCTTGCTAACACAACTATCAAGCATGGAGCCGAGGCGCCGAGTGGTTTCTATTGTAGGTATGGGGGGTCTGGGCAAAACTACTCTTGCAAAAAAATTGTACAATCACATTGAACTAAGGCACCAACTTAATTGTAAAGCGTTCATTTATGTGTCTCAAGAGTATAGAAGGAGAGAGACTCTGCGAAGAATCATCAAAGATGTAAACGTTCCATATATAGGTGATTCGGAGGAAGTAGACGAAGAGAATATGGTAAAGCAGCTGTACGAATTCTTGAGAGGGAGGAAGTATCTTGTGGTTCTTGATGATGTATGGGAAAAGGAGGTTTGGGATAGTTTGGAAGCTGCATTTCCTACTAGTGGAATGGCAGGAAGTAAGGTGATGCTGACAACCAGAAACAGGGAGGTTGCCTTACATGCAGATGCAAGGAGCACTCCCCATGAGCCGCGAATGCTGACAGAGGATGAAAGCCTGGAATTGTTTCGCAAGAAAGCACTTTCGGGAATGGATCATTTTCCCTCCGACTTGGAGAATCTAGGAAGAGAGATGGTGACGAAATGCGGTGGTCTACCCTTGGCATTGGTGGTGCTTGGGGGATTACTATCCAGGAAAATGAAGACTAGAGAGGAATGGGAACATGTCCTTCAAAACATCAGTTGGCATCTGATTGATCAAGATCGTGTTTCTGCAATTTTAGCCCTGAGCTATAAAGACTTACCTTTCTACTTAAAATCATGTTTTCTCCATTTGGGTCTTTTCCCTGAGGATTTCTCCATACCAAAAACGCAATTGATGCGCTTGTGGGTAGCAGAAGGATTCTTACCCCAACAAGGGGAAGATACAACAGAAGGTGTAGCTGAAAATTGCTTGAACGAGTTGATTAATAGGTGCATGATCCAAGTGGGAACTCTAACCTCACTTGGGAGGGTTAAGACCATCAGCATCCATGATCTTCTTAGAGACTTCTCTCTCTCCGTATCGAGGGATGAAAATTTTCTAGGAATTTGTACTGGTCGTGAAGTTGAATCATCAGTTTCTCCATCAACCAAATCTCGAAGAATTGCCTTACATTCTAACCCTACGGAGCATTCTGTCCTACCCTCACCTTTCCTAAATCCATGTGCTCCCCATTTACGATCGCTTCATTTTTTCAACCGCTTTCTATATCCAGAAGTCTATTTTATTAAAAATAAGGATTTCAAATTGTTGAAGGTCTTAGATCTGAAGGATACAATTGGATTCATGCGACTACCTAGTACTATAGGGATCCTAATTCAGTTGAGGTATCTTGGATTGAGCCAGATTCTTAAAACTTACTACATCCCACCATCGATTGGAAACTTGAAGAACCTAGAGACACTAAATTTGGGATCTTCTTATTCACCCATCCCCAATGTCATTTGGAAGATGAAACGTTTGAGGCATATGCTCCTTCGTGATGTGTCCAAACCAAATTGTGTCAAGCTTAGATTGGACACCTTGAGCCATTTACAGACCCTAAAAACTATAAGGGCTGGAAGATGGATAGAAGACGGCGGCTTAGCCAACATGATCAGTCTACGACGACTGGGAATAGAAAGATTATCACAAGAAAGGGTAAACTTGGTGATTTCAAACCTAAGGAGAATGTGCTACCTGCAATCATTGTCGCTGGAGGTGATGAACAACGAAACATTCCCAACATCCATGGGCCTCTCTCATTTCCAACATCTCCACAAGCTGTGTTTGAAGGGGAAAATAGAGAAGTTACCTGATGTATGTGAATTTCCGCCAAACCTCGTCAAGCTAAGTTTGATTGGTTCTGAGCTCCAGAAAGATTCGATAGTTCAACTAGAAAGGTTGCCATACCTGAAGATGCTTGTCTTGGGGAACCAATCATACAAATGGAGGGAACTGGTTTCCTCTTCAGAAGGGTTTCCACAACTGCAAGTTCTACACCTTGTTTCTTTAATGGAGTTGGAGGAATGGACAGTGGAAGAAAATGCAATGATGAAGCTCAAGCATCTAAAGATAGAAGATTGCCCCAGACTGAAGAATCCAGAAAGATTGTTGTCGAATACTGTTACGATATTACAGGTTGTTACAAAGTACGACCCCTTCAAAGGACGGCGTTCGCCTGAATGGACAAAAGCTTCAAACAACAGATTAGATTGTTTCAAATGTTTCCAAGATTAATGTAAATTTGTCTTTCTTAACAAGTAAATTGACCTTAATTATAAGGCATAATATTAGTTATCAAGTTTGATTACTCCTTTCTATATAAATACCATGCAGGCTACTCTGTTAGGCTCATATTCATAGTGGTTTTTTGAACCGTCCATTTCTAAGACCCCTTTCAAAGACCATTCATGCCAAAAATCAACCAAATTCGAAATCGATATGAACATTAATCAATTGCTAACTTAGTGACAACCTAAATGTTCCTTTACGTTCTTGGCAAGAAGATGCTTTCAATTCTGGTGTTTCGGTTCAGGATCGATGCAGGAAACAATACCATGCTAGAAAATGAATATTTATTTTCCCGTGTTGATTATAAGACATAGAGGTAGGAAGAAATGCTTTAAGAAGTAGACGCAGAGTTGGCAATACAAAGAATACAACAAATTGTAATCATTATTATTAAGATAATATTCTTGTTAGTTTCTTGCCACAACAGTAATCATTTTTGCCATTGATGACTTAAGTAGACGAAGCCAAGCCCTGCAGCTTCTCTTAACTCTATTTCCTACTCATTTTCTTCTAGTTTCCCTCTCCAATATCGCTTGTGTAAAGGTAAATTAAACAAAAATAAAAATACCACTGAGTACTGTATTATTAAACAATTTATTCCTTTTCGAATTTTGATTTCCGTATATAGAATAGAACCAAAAATACGTTGTTTTAGCTAAATCAAGGGACCCTGCATGGGCCACTATCAGCAGAAAAGAAAAGAAAAGAAAAAGGCAAAATGGACATGGGGTATGGAATAAGGTTCTCTCCCTTTTGACTGATGAGGGAGGGGCCGGAGGTGCACGCGGAAGCAAGGAAACCACCCATGAATTACACTTCGGCAAGTAATCGGACGTTGACTGGAAGGTTCATGGAAAAAGAAAAAAAGAAAAGTGGACTGGCATGGAACGCTTTAACAAGACACCAACATCAGAGGGGGGAGCTGCAGTAGAAGTTGAGAAAACAAAACGAAAAAGAAAAGAAAAAAGTCCAATCAAAGAGATAAAAGATGGCGGAGCTTGCTATTGCAATTGCCGTGGAAAAGCTCACAAACTTGATGTTCACCTGTTTTGATGTAGTTCCTGTGATGGTAGGGTGAAATTCCCCATTATCTTGAAAGCCATTGGTGGTCAACAAGTCAACTTCTTTCGGTCTGTGAGTGTGCCACTGTTAGCGGCTAAAAACCTTAACAGACTTATAAAAATTTATTAACTTGCGCCTCAAGCTATTGACTTTGATCAAGTGATTGTGAATTTGGGTGAGGAATATCTCCCAAGTAAATTCTTTTCTTGCCTCAGATGGGTGAGGACTTTATAATTTCCCACAATAAAAACTAGTC